TTCTTTTCTAAAATGATCAGAGGTTTCCAGATACACTTCTGAAATCGTGAATAAATACAAGACTCCCAGTGGAAATATAAAAGAAGCTTGATTTTAATTTGCTTCTAAAATGGCAAAATTGGTGACTGCATCATCAAATGGTTCCTCCAAATCCTTGATACAACTCGTGTCTACAGTCTTCACGACACTAATAAATATAACAAATGGAAGGTATAACGTAGAGTTATGTAGGTCTCTTTTGCTCCCTCTCTTCTTTCCCCTTTAATAATAAAAGTTTGGCTTTTTAGATGATAATGTGAAGTTTTGTTTTCCTCTGTGATTCTCTTAAATTCTCCACTTTACAACAGCAACCCACATCATGTAAGTCTTTAAAAGGGATCAAGAGCAAAATAATTTTAGGAAATAGTGAGTTATGTCTAAAGCTGTCAAATATTAAGGGTAGTAACAGAGACTCGTGGGGGGGAGCTATAACTTGGGATTCAAATAGTAAGATATAGAGATTGCTTGTCAACATCATTCTTGTAGTTTGAACATCCCATGCAATGTATTTCTTCAAGGGTTACAAATTCACTGAATACCTCTACCAAACATCTCAGGAAGAAAATAAGACTTCTGGAACTACTAGTTGGTATGAGAAATATATATTTGAACAGGAAATGTTGTAGAATAAACTTGGTTTATAGGTATTCCTTTGCAATAAGTTAGCTTAATCATATTAACCAAATTTTCTGAATCCATTCAAAAATAATAGGAGATATGCTTTTCCAGTTATTATCATCTTAGTAGCCTGGTTCTCACATTTAACAGAGCGGGGAAAGCACTGAAAGTGTGACCAACTCCCCCCCCCCCCATTTCTGATGTTAAGATGCAAAATGGGAACTAATGGAGCTCTCATCCACTGTGAGATCCACAGGCCTCCCCCTCTCCCAATGATTTATGGTGAGTGATAGCCATGAGTCCCACATTACAGCGGGTGTATGTGTAGAAAGCATGACACGCTTGAACTTAAGTTGGAACAGGCTCCAAGATCAATCACAGAAGAACATGGATTTGTTATAAGGTTATGGATAACAGATGGTACAGTCAGGAGGCCAGTTTCAAAATTAGAGATCATGATGGGATAGAGCAGCAGGGGAAATCGCTTGATGAAGTCAACCCAAAGCCACAAGACTTTCCTTATCAAAACTAGTATATTGATTTGTGCTTAGGTTTCAGGAAATCCATGCGTGATCTTCAGAAAAGGGATTGTGTGGCAACCTCTCTCTACCCTCTTTAGGAAGAGGATAACAATATGAGTAACAGCAACTTTAAATCCACAAGTGATCTGTGTAGTGGTTATAATGTTCTCAATTGAAGTCCCACAACAGAATATCAAATTCTAAAGAATCTTGAATTATTAGGCTAGTGTATTTCAGAAACAGCACATCATTTTAAGAGGTGGGAGGGTGTATTTCCAACATAATCTACTCCATCTAAATTAAATGATCCCCAAGTCTCACCCTTCTGATATATGTGGCTCAGATGATCCACTGAGTTTCAGAAAGATATAAAATTGGACATGGTAGCTGCATGTAGCAGATTAACACCCTTGGCATCTTTAAGCAGCAAACCCATTGTATTTTCCATGAACTGGTGTGACACATGATGTATGGTGGGATAATTCTGCAAAAGCCAGTCAGGAAAGTGGTTTCTTTTATTCTCTCACTCCAGAAAAGATTCTAGCTAATGACACTGTGATAAGAGTCAAGCGTAATGGCCATTAATCTAGGAGAAAATGATTTTTCATATAAATTGCTCTCGCTCTCACTCTCTTTAAAGTTTCACAGGCACAAAGAAAATACGATCACTGAAAGGAATGGTTGTTAGGACAAATGAGCATGCCAGGACTCAAAGGAAACAGAGCAGAGATAAAGCAAGAAAACTCAGAATTGAGCTGAGCACTGAAGTATATCGGATGAAAGCGCCCCAAGGCAACACTCATGTGATGGTTGCCCTTCTTTTCTCCTCACCGCTCCAAATAAAGCAATGGTTTTTATTTGATTTCAAACAAACCATCCTACCTACTACTTTCTCATTGAAACCATTTCACAGTCCACACTTACCCAAGCAATAGCAAGCCTTTAATAAGGTCAGGTTCTTAATGTGAATTAAGTACTAGAGACGCAATGCATTTTTGTAGTATCTTTTGTAACCAGTAGAGGCAGGGAGAGGGAAACAGTCACACAGACTATTGGTATACAAAAGCAGAGTCGGAAGGGACCTCAGACTAGTCCAACTAGTAAACCTCATTAAATTAAACAGAACTGAGTAGACATAGTTAGGACTATGCTGTTACTCTCTCTGCCTCCTCCCCAGACACAGTGTGATTATTAGTGCTGCAGAAAGGACGACAAATGAATTCAAATTAAAAAGAGGTGTCCTTATCTCATCATGAAGTTGTTGTTGTTGTTGTTTAGTCGTTTAGTCGTGTCCGACTCTTCATGACCCCCATGGACCAGAGCACGCCAGGCACTCCTGTCTTCCACTGCCTCCCTCATCATGAAGAAAGGTATATAAATACCCAAGGTATTTAAAAAACCACAGAAAGTTACCCAGCTAAGCTGTCTAAGGAGAATATGACATTTTCTTCCTTAGAGTTTCCCTTACACCCTCATCCCCCCAAAAAGGGTAGAGATCTCTATTTTGGGTACCACAGATTTAGGGTGCACAGCCTGAGGGAAATTACTTAGGGGCACCCCTTCCAACTGTATGAATCTATGCAACTGCTAAGCACAAAAATGCTATGTCTTTTACTAGAAAGGGCAAGATATGAGTGCTTTTAAAACATACACAGACACATACATACATATATGCAATATTACAGCTTTCACTTTGATTCAATAAATCATTCTAGCAGGCTACAGCTTAGCGCATGCTTTGCCTACATGGATACTACCAAGAGCACCCAACTTTGAACTGTCCAAAAGAATCTAAGCGAGATTCTGCCCCCCCCCCCCCATGGCTTGAAGTCCTCTGGGCTAGAGGTCACCTCTAGAGTTGTTTTTATTGAAAGATGCTTTATTAGATGAACCCTTTCCCCCAGCATCACTGCTGGGTAAGTCACAAGATGCCACTTTGCTGTCAAATCATAATACTAATGTTTATAATAATCAGTTGCGCTACTGCTTGTTCAGTCTTTTGTTACGTTGTAGTACATCCTTGTCACTTGATACTATTTACCTAACAAGAGGTAGGATTCTTGTGGTAGAAAGCCGTATCATGTTCAGTGGTGAAGACCTGATTGACAGTTTGTTATCTCACCTTCCAGCGATACTCAATTTTCTATAGACTCCAGCGTTCATAGAGAGATCCATGGCAATTTTGACACTGGATTTTGTTACTTTGTGCACCCCATTGCAATGCATTAATCACCTTCAACTAAACTGTTGCACCTGCACAGTGTTTTTCAACCTTTTTTGGGCAAAGGCACACTTGTTTCATGAAAAAAATCACAAGGCACACCATTAGAAAATGTTAAAAAATTTAACTCTGTGCCTATATTGACTATATATAAAGTAATTCTCTTGAATAGGAATCAAATAAACACAAATCAAATAAACACAAACACTTAACATCAGTGGTGGGATTCAAAAATTTTAGTAACCAGTTCCAACATTCAAGCATGGTTTAATATTTTTTTCTTTAATGGCAAACAAAAATGTTGCGGACCGTTCTCTGCTCAGCGGGGATTGATCCGCTGATCCCCGCTGAGCCGGCGGATGACAGCTCCGTCTCCGCACTGTGTGCGGAGAGGGAGATGTCAGAGCCCCGCTGCTCTCTATGGGGAATCGGATGAGAGCGGACCGCCTGTCCGCTCTCATCCGATCCCATCCGATCTGATCCCCACCCAGGACGGATGGAAAATAGGGTGGACACAGTGGGCGAAAATTCGCCTAGTGGGCGAAAATTTGACTTTTTTTTAAAAAAATCTTTCGAATTTTTCAATTTTTCCCACGGCACACCAGGCAACATCTCGCGGCACACTAGTGTGCCGCGGAACAGTGGTTGAAAAACACTGCACTAGCAGACGTCGGCACAAGGATTCCTGCTAGCAAAAGAGGACTTTCTTCCCTTCACCCTCTCAAAATCTGCTCAGGGGGATTGAGAGAACCCCCGGAACAGTGCAAAGGAGAAAAAGAAAGGAGATCACTATACAGTTTTTACAGAATGCTAAAGACTCTTTACACTCTTTACCACTTCTCCTTGTACAATTCTTTAAAAATATACCCCTGCCTCTCCACTCCTTTGGTGAAAGCTCTTTTCCTTGTTTTGGGCATCCTCTGTCTAGACTACTGCAACGTTTACCTCCCTGGCCTCCTCTTCTTACACATCAAGCCCCACACCTCTGTCCAAAACTCTCCCAACAAAATTGGCATTATTTAAACAGTATGGCACTTCTCCCGAATTCCTGACCCAGGACAAAACTCACTGGCCTCAACTTCAAAGCCTTCCATAGGCATATCCCTGTGTCTGAACTAACTTTCTTGGGAAAGGAGTCTAAAGAACTGGTTACAAAGTTCTAGAACTTATTGATAAACTAAAAATGAACAAAGTTCCTCAATCCAGATGGCATCTACTCGACAGCTCTCGGAGAATTAGAAATGTGAAGATGCAGAGCTTCTAATGAAAATTTGTAAATTATGCCTGTACCCGAGGACTGGAAAATGGCCAATTTAATACCATTTTTTATTAAAAGGATCTGGCTGGATCCCAGAAGCTATAATCTGATTATCTTCACATCAGCAATATTCAAGATAAAATTACCCAGCATATATAGCCTTGCTGAAGAAGAACCAATGTGACTTCTGCAAAGGTAAGTCCTGACTCACTAACCTTTGACAATTATTTGAGAGTGTCAATAGGCATGGAGATTTGGAAGATCATTGTGCAATGTCAGCAAAGACTCCTGAGCAAGCTTAGCAGGCATGAGCTAAAAGGCAGGCATGAACAGGAAGCAGAGAGTGGGGATAAATGAATGATTCTGACAATGAATAGACACAAGAAATGGAATCCACCAAGGGACCAGTGCTTTTTAATGTTTTCATAAATGTTCTGGAATTGCGGGTGAGCAGTCAAGTGGCCAGATTTGCTGATGACACAAATTGCTCAAGCTGTTAAAAAAAGAAGCAAGCAAAAAACATATATATGAGTTCAATCCAACAAATGTTGGGCATTACCATCTCCCACAGAAATTAATGAGACTTGAGTTAGTAACCAAGTATAGTTCCTTGACTAATTTCACTGGATTCTGCCTACTTTCACCAGAAAATATTATATTTCAGTGCATTGTTGTTGGTTATGTTTTTAAAGAGCATTACAGGACAAGTTTCTTTTGTTTGCTTCTAAATCAGCACCTGGTTTCCCCAGTAATTTTCACAACCTTGGTTAGCTGTATATAAATATTAGTACACCAAGGATTATAGTACTTGAAATTGTGCTGACATTTCTATGGTGGAAGGTTGAAGTGTGGTAAATGACAATATGCCATGGAATGTCCAGCTCCGCATCCAATCAAAAGCAGCTTTGCAGAACTCAAAGTCCCAACAGGCTGAGGGACACAAACATTGGCTTCTGTTCCATTGCCACACATCCCGTGTTCATTCCATCCCCAGGAAAAACACTGGCTACCTACAAGAAAGGAAGACATGTTGTAATCATAGCATTAAAGCAACTAATATAGCACCGATATTCCCGAGGTCATCAATTTAGAAATCAGCAACAGCCTTGCAGAGCACTGGGTATGTTTCAGTGGTACTTGCTTAAGAACATAAGAAGCTGCCACATATGGAATCAAACCACTGGCCCAACTAGCTCAGGGATCTTTACACTAACTGGCAGTGGCTCCATCTGGAAATGCTGGGAATTGAACATGAAACCATCTGCATGCCCAGCTATAGCCTTTTCTCAAAATACTTTCCAAGTAAACCTGCACAGAATTGGGCTGTTGTGCCATCACTTTATTCTACAAGAGCATAGACTGGGAATTAAAAATCAGGAATCAGGGGTCGCAAATGACCTAATATTTTCATTACGGATTACTCAAGAAGGGAATCACAGTGTGAACTTTAAGGTCTCAATCCAACTTCGTACATGCAACATTCCATTATCTAAGTCTCTCTTACATTATCTGTATATTTTTCCTGTTGCAGATGAAGAACCGCGTTTGCTGGTGATATTTAGGGCTCTGAAATTCAGTACAAAATTCTCAGCCTTATAAAAGGGGTTGACGCCAAAAAGTCTGAAAAGTGGCAGCTCAGTTTTCTGGAAACTATTTCTGGTATTACTGTGCTCCTTTTGGCACCAACAATCAAAGAAAAACGCTTTTACAAATAGAGCGATACTCTTTCTTTCAAACTTATGCCAGTGTAACTGAATCACACTTAAGCAATAACAGTGAGATATCAAGTAGGCTACTGCTCTGGGAAAACAAGTTCTCTATTTAGCTCAGTATTCAGACACAGAAAAAGTATCCTACGTATTCTAATAGTCAGATCTAAAACTACACGCGCAAATCATTGACCTAAAACTTTCAAGTTAATATTAAAAATTAATGTTTTAGCTTGTGGGATATTTCCCCAGTCTTTTTGAAAATAGCCAGCCTCAAGAGTGAACATACTAGAACCCTGCCCTTTGTGAGAGAAGAAGAGGGGTTTGGATTTGATATCCCGCTTTATCACTCCCCTTCAGGAGTCTCAAAGCGGCTAACATTCTCCTTTCCCTTCCTCCCCCACAACAAACACTCTGTGAGGTGAGTGGGGCTGAGAGACTTCAGAGAAGTGTGACTGGCCCAAGGTCACCCAGCAGCTGCATGTGAAGGAGCGGAGACACGAACCTGGTTCCCCAGATTACGAATCTACTGCTTTTAACCACTACACCTCACAGCCATCTTTCTCTCCCTCCACCCCTCCACACACAATGCCTGTGAAATAATACTGTGTCCAGACCTGGTTGCCTTCCCGAAACATTTTTTGAGAACATCGTGGCCTACCAAGACACCAATTTGCCAGCTCCATTGCTACAAACAGTGGCAGAATAATTTGTTGCAAATTTTTTTAATGCGCTACTGCTTCTTGTGAAAGTAAGCCACTCCTAAGGACTTTTCTCCTGCTCAATTTGCTGACTTTCATGGCTTGCAAATGGCCCTTAGTTAAACAAACCATGGTTTTCCAAGTACTTTGTGCTAGGTGAAAACTAGAAGGAGAAACTTCTGATTTCTTTGCAGATGCAAAAAGAGAAAGGAGGAATGAATAAACCACTCCGTCTACACCATTTTCTTAATAACCAACTGCCACCACCTTTGCAGGGTCAAACAGGCAAGCAAATCCTCCCTCAATCACTGTAGTTCTGATCTTATTGATTGATTGATTGATTGATTGATTGATTGTCTCCCGCATATACATGGTTTCTCCTTCCATGGTTGCTATTCACTTGGAGGGGGGTTGAAAGATCCAAAGAAAAGATCCAAATTGACCCATTTCATAAACCAAGATGGGAACTTCTTGCTGTTGAAGGTACAGTATAGAAATCCCTTATTTAATAAAGCAATGAGGAAAAATTATGGTTCATCCTGAATCACATCTAATTTGGCTGTAACATTTAACATGTTATGGAGCATTAATAGGTTTTCTTGTTGGATTTCTGACACTATTAGCCTTGATGGAACAGAACACAAAAAAACCTGGTTTCACGTGTATAGCTGAAATAAACTCCTGAATCATTCTATACCTCAAAAAATAATAATAAATAATGGGGATGTGGGAAAGTGTTCCGTACTAAAAATAGCATCTACCTCACTGGGTGGTCCTTTTATGTCTGAACCAGTTTCCATGTTGCTACTCCAGTTCTTCAAATGTGAGCTGAATAATGGACTGAAAAAAGGTGCTGCATATCTTGGGACTTAATGCCCTGTAACATGTTAAATGTTACAGCCAAACTAGATGTGATGCAGGAGAACCATAATTTCTCCTCTCCTCCCTCCACAAACCTTTTTTGCTGATTAGAACAAGCAGTGTGTCTGTATTTCCTTCAGAATGGCTGGTTTACTGCTACATAAATTATACTCTGAACCAACAAGCCTTCCCAGCTGTAAAATGGAACAATAGCAAGAATCCACCATGACCCCATACAGAACTCCTGTATTTCTAAATGGAGGGACCATGGCTGCATACCCTTCCTTTATACCTAGAGAGAGCAAGGTTTTTGATTTTACCGATACTGGATAACATTTGAGTGCATGTGTAGAAAAAAAGTTCTAAATATTCTAAAATCAGTTTTCGATTATTATCCTCATCCACTGAGTTGGAATGTTGACCACTTCAAGAATAAAATAAGTACTGTCATCTATATATAACATTTTCAAAGAACAGCAAAGAGTATTGCGGCTCCTTAAAGGCTAATATATTTATTATGGCATATGCTTGTGGGGACTGCAGTCCACTTCATCATTAGACTGTAGTTAGTTTACTCTAGTCTCCCAGATTTGCCCTTTAAGGTGCCACAGGGCTCTTGGTTGTTTTTTGCTGCAACACACCTACACCTCTGAAATTTACAAGAACGATCTTCACACAACACAGAATTCACTGTCAAAAGGTGTGCTAGCCAATCTTACATAATATCACATAGAAAGATGGAGCATGACCAAAGTTGACAGAGGTTGGTGCTAGTGATTAGAGGAAGACAGTTGGGCCTGAGTGACTTATATTACTTAACAGTAGAAGGATTAGCATGTACAGAAGAGCACAGGGGATGAGAAGATGAAAGGTCCTGCACCTGACTATAGCTGCATTTCTGAACATAAGCATGATTCGCATACATAAGGGGTTCTAGAATGTGTTCTGCCAATGTATCCTTTAACTGAGACCTTGACCACATTGTTAATGTAAGACCTGCACAATCTGTTAAAGCAAGCATACATCAAACGCTGATTCTGTAAGCTGGTCAAAAAAACAAGGTATTTTCTCGTTGTTAGGATTTTTCAGAGACACACAATGTCTAGAAAGGGGCAAATTGCTCCTTTTTGATGAATTATGAACAATCCACATCCAAGAGAGAAATATCATGAGTCTAAAAATTAGAGGTTTCCAGGAGAAGAGTGTGCTTCCCTCCCCCTCCCTGCTTCCCTTATCTTCGTTAAATGCCAGCACAGCCCATTTTCATGCAGCAAACATTTAGGAAATGGAAAGACACTTGATTGTTAATGTAATTCTGCTGAATCTAATACCTCTGCAGTACATGATGCAGGCTGGGTTGCTTTGAAAGGATGGAGATGCTGGGTTGCTATGGAAACAAGAAGGCAAGTCTTTAGATTGCTCATCCCTGAAGAGCCGCCCTGTCAATATCTTTAAAGACCGCTAATAAAATTTTAATCACTGATTAGAATAAAAAGAATTCCAATCCATTGTTTACTACTGGTGTCCCAGTTCAGAAATTGCCACTTTTTTCTATGTTGGCCAACCCCAACAATGTACTTGAGTAATCTAAAACACAAATGAAAGAATGAAACACAAATGAAGATCTTAACATCCAGTTTGGCTGCTTGAGATTATTCCTCACAGCATTAAGATTCCACCCTCCCTGTTTAAAATATGAGCACCAGTTAATATGTGCGTTCATCAGACAATTTGCTGGCAGGTCCTTTCTTACATAGCCCTTCCCCCATTCCTCAAATAAACTGTTAGAAAAGGATAATCAATTTCAAAACAACCGTGGCAACAAACCAGGAACCTAAATCGGTTCCAGAATAAAACTAACTGCTGGTTTCATAAATTCTGAATTACTTCCCTGAAATGATGGCTTCTGCCTAAGTCTGGCTTGCTCCCAAAGGTTTTCCAAATCTTGTGATAATGAACAGCTAACAAAGCACTTTGCTCATATTGTACTCATACTGACTAGGGTGGGAGGTGGGGGGGGGACACGGGACCTTGTCACTGCGCCAGCACCACTGGAGCAGCCAAGGGACCAGGATCAGGCCTGTTAACAGTACATGATGCAAGTAGGGGTGGCTCAGGATGAAGTAGAACCTGTGCTGGCCCAGCATGCAACCCCCCCAAAAAAAACCATTTTGAGGGGTTCCATTGGCAGCAGTAGCGCCAGCAGTAGCTTCCACCCATTTACTGCTTGGACAAGTGCACTGGGGTGCTCCTCACTGGTTGGTTTTCACCGCCAGGTGAGCTAGGCATGGCTGGAGAAAGAGAGGCATCAACTCCATCCTGAACCTCCTCTAGCCCAGTGGACTGGAGCTTTGGATTGGTCTGCTAGTCACTCAGTCCCATTTTCTATTTTGCTGCTGGTTGTATTTTTTAGGTTGAATTGCTATTTTTATTGAGAAATTTGTATGTTTTTATTATATGAACCACCTTGAGAGGGCTGTATAGCCCTGAAAGATAGCACACAGATTCCTAAATAATCATATTTCTTGCATACTTTTATTGGGCAGACTGGAAGGCATATATGGCATTATACAAGCTGGAGTTCTTGGTAGATCTGGAAGATTGAGAGGGGCGTGGAGAATTAAAAAGGCTTATTCATCTTATGGTCAAAAGCAAGCAAGAAAAATTCAGTTGCTATGGAAACCCAGTGATTTATGATTTTAGGGCAAGTGCGGGGGGTGAGGGAATTGACTATATTAGCTCTATACAAGTTGCACCTCCAGCATTTATGTGTATATAATTGATTCATACTATGGACCAGTGCCTGGACTCGGCAGTGAGCTGGATGAGGGGCAGCAAACTTTCTCTGAATCCTAGCAAGACAAAAGCACTGTGAGTGGGCAGTTCCTGAGTCCAGATAATTAGTAAATTACCTGCTTTGGATGGTGTTGTACTTCCCTGGAAAGGGCAAGTTCATAGCCTGGGGTTGCTCCTGGATCCATTTCTGTCACTAGAGGCCCAGATGACCTAAGTGTTTTGGAATGTCTTTCACCAGCTTTGGCTAGTAAGGCTACTGGTGTTTCTGGACCAGGATAGCCCAACCACTATGGTCCATGCACTGGTACCCTGCAACCAGGGTTACTGAAATGCCATCTATGTGGGGCTGTCCTTGAGTTGGTCCAGAAGCTGTAGCTGGTGCAAAGTTCAGCTGCTCGCTGGGGCAGGATATTACTAACATTTTACATTGCTGTTGAAAAACATTACACAAGCAGTCAATTAGCTGCTGGGTTTAAGTTCAAGGTGGTGTTTTGTATAAAGCCCTATACAACTTGGGATCAGGATATCTAAAATATAGTTTTACTCTTTAACAAGTTGATCACTGTGCTGAGGGTCTCCTACAGGTACCATATTATCAGGAGGTCGGTTTCACACAACATTGGAATCAGGCCTTTAGTTTTGTGGCAGCTACTCTTCGCAATTCCCTCCCCTTAAAATATTAGACAGATGCCCTCTCTGTTGTCTTTCTGCTACCAACTGAAGACCCTTCTCTTCCAGCAAGTCTTTTAAGCTGAGATCTTTCCCAGTCTGCATGTGTACTGGAAGTATTAGTGTTTTGTCATTTGTTGTTTGTCACCCTGGTCTCCTTTGGGAAGAAGGGTGGGATATAAAGTCAATAAATAAATAAGACTGAAGACAGCATACCTCTGTATAAGGGAAATCCTGGTGACAGCACAAGCAGCTACTTACTACTCCCTTCTTACTCCCCTTAACCACAAAGCCATTTGTTGGACAAGTGGGGTAAGAGGTCACAGATGTTTCAAACTCTTGAACTGCATTGTGAGCATTCTATATTTTCTGCAATGAAAAGGCCTAACCTGAAATGCGGGCATTCCGATAGCTAAAACTCTTCTCTCTTCAATCAAAGCAAGAACTCTCAGAAGGGCAGCACTTTAATTGCTTCATATTATCTTCCAATAAAAATCACCATTAATATTCTATATTTTTAGATCTACCCTTCTTCTTTTTTTAAAAAAAAGGAAATGCAACAGCAGCTTAATGTGTTAATACATCTTACACAGCCCTCTATCTCATGCAGATTAGAGATTAAAGAACAATGTTCCATTAGCAAGATAATTTCAAGTTAGCTTAACCGGGGTGAGGGGGCAGAAATGGCACTGGAGAAAGGGACTAAGGTGAGGCGAAGTAAGATAACAGTACATAAGCAAGGGGAGGTGATTTCCCAAAATAATGAAAATAAACATGCAATAAGAGTTGGCAGGCAGGCATAGGAGACAACAGATGACCATGAGGTAGAGTAACGATGAAGCAATTAAGAGGCATTTCTTTACATATCCACAGAATAAATCTGAAGGTGCATCCTCTCCATGGCAACATGATGTTCTCTAACTGGATAACAAGAAATGTATTATTATTATTATTTTTAAAAGGGTTTAATAAGCTTCAGCGCTTGTGTTTATTTATAACAGCATTTTTCTTCAGAGAGTGTAGGAGCTGAAGAAAACCCCTTAGTACCCTCCTTTTTCAGAAACATTTTCAAGAACCAAAATCTTTATTCTGAACACACACACACACTACTGAACACATACAAGAGTATTCTAGCATCCTCAGTTAACTCCTGCAGTATGCAGCACTAGTCATACTCAGACCCACTGAAATCAAAGTCCATTTATTTCAGTGGATCTGTTCTGAGTACTGTAAGATATCACCCATGATGCATATGGGCTGTAACCCATATAGCTTCCAATTTTCCCTTCAGAGTATTGAGTCTTTCATGTTGCCTTTCCGTGACTGAAGAAAACAAGTACCTTGCCTGAGACACCCTCTTTGAAGACTGGTTCACATATTCCTTTCCTTTGACCCTTGAACTGGTCTTGACCAGAGATGCCAGGCACTGGGGTTGAGGATGAATTCCTGAGGTGGCTAGGCTTTGTAAATGCTTTCACAAAGAGTTAACAGAAGCTTTAATTCTCATCATCTATTAACTCAAAAGCGGGATATCTATTAAGCCTTGCAAATATGTACTACTCGAGCAATATACTCTGACAGTTAATCACCCTAAACCAAGAATTCAAATTAATGATCTATTTGAGTACTCGTTTTTGCTGTTGCTTGTGAGAAGCCCGGCTCATCTCAGGTGTTAGAAAGACTTTCTCTTACAGTTCAGATGGATGCCAAGGTCACAAGGATTCCCAAAGTGTGTCACAATTCAAGGTTTCTGATGCCTCTAAAGATCATTACACCAATTTAATCACCACACAGCTTTTGAAATGTCATGGAGCTCAGCACCTCCTTGGAATCACTATAGTTCTGAATTTATTTATAAAGCCATCATGCTTTGTTGGAATACAGTGGTTGACAACTCTATAAAAGTTGCTAAATCAGTTAAATGCCAGAACAAGACTTCTTTGAGGAGGTCTACCCTAGAAATCTGATTCTTGACCGTCTCTTTTTTATTTATAGGCGACTAAGGGAAGGTAACAACTCTGATACACACATATAAAACTGAAGTCATCTTTGTCTGAGCTACACCAGTTACGAGGATGGTAACCCTATTGACCACAGCACTGCCTCTAGGCCAACAAATAAGCTAATGGGTTTTATAGCCAAATAAATATGAGTTCACTAGTGAGACATCAATTTTCCTACAATTTCAAGGAAATATTATTGCCTTCTCTACTATTTCATTAATGCTTTAAACAAAATATAAAATCCAGACGTTCCTAAAGTTTCAGGGCGGACACACTCATTCAAATCCCTGATGACATGAGCCCCATAGCACTATCAGGACCAGGTTTGGCTTGTCAGGCAAGGGTGCAAGAGGAGGATGAAGAAACAGAAGGAGGGCACGAATTGTGAGACTGCCTCTTTCCGTCCTGACTTCAGCCACTTTGGAAAGGAGAAGAGATGCCACCTCCCATCTTCTTGCAGAGCAGAGAGCCCCAGTGGAGGCTCAAAGGAGCAGCTGAGTTGAGAGGCAGAACAGAAGGTGGCAGCAACTGAACAGGAACCCAAAAAAGAGGGCACAGTCTTGTCACCTAGAACCAGGTACCGCCTTTATAGATGGGAGAAGACCTACCCATCCCAATGGAGTGCACTTTTGCAATCCAAACATTCTTGCAAGTCATGCCTCATATTTAAAGGCTTGACAGGATGTGGAAACTTGTTGGGACATCTTCATGGCTTCCTTCAAGCTTTGAGCCTCTTGTCCTCCTCTTGAACTCTTGAAATCTGACTCCTGCACTTGTACCATTATTTGCCTGGGTGAAGACGTATTTCTTACTTACAAGTAATAGCCTCTTCTTGTGTGTTTTGGGGTAGGAACTAGGTCACCTACATGGAAGAAGCTTTCTTGCTTACATGAATGGTAAAAGTCACTCATGGGTTACTGTTTGTCTGTGTTCTCTCTAGATATATGTGTGGGTGTGCATATAAGAAAAAAATATGAGGTGTTGGTACTTCTATATTGTGCCCTGGGTACTAGCAGAAAATGGCTGCCATTGGTAGCAAAAACTAAATTTGTTTTAATTCCAGCTGTTATAACCTGGATCAGAACACTGTGACTAACTGAACATTTGGCCACAACTTAGTGATTTATTCACTTTACTACATGATAAAACATAATTATAAATTAAAGCCTCTGGAAAGATGCAAACGCATCAAAAATCAGTTCCTTGTTGCAAACATAGAACACAGCTGACGCAAGAAACAACTGCAGTCCTAACAACATATATTTAGAAAATATTGAAATATGTGCTTAGGATGGGCTGTAAATCATGTAAAGTACAAGATGAGGGGTCATTTTAAAATGAAATGGAAAGCAATATGGAAAATGTCTGAAAGCAATAATCACTAAACAGAAATAACTTAATTTGGTGAAATTACACTGAGTGATATCCAACATTACTTAAGTCTACTCTGAGTGTAATTAATGTTGACTATCTCCAAAATGGTTAGGCGTAATCTACATTTTCCATTAAAAATGAGAGGGACATAAATCACATCATCCAGGAAATGCTATCATAATTAATCAGATCCTTAATGGGTTAACAAAAGGCCTGGCATTTGAAAATATTATTCCGAATTCTGTTCACAATAAAAGAGCCAGGAGAAGAAAAGGCTTCTTTTGCAGAAGACATACATACTGCGAGGAATATCTGGCAAACAAAACTGTGTTGTACAAATGTATGTGTACTATGTTCCTGTAATGCAGACAACTCTATATTTAGACTTGCCAAGGTGAGTCAAACTCATTCCCAAAGGAAAATACTGCATGCAATGGAAGTAAAACGAAACATGAAAAGTGAAAATGACAGCAAGCAATCTGTCAAGCGAGACATTAGATGAAACCTGGTGAAGACTGGCCTTGTAAATATGCACATTTCCCAGTTAAAGGAAGCCACGGCTGTATGTATGAGTGTGTGTAAAATTTCTACACTGCCCTTCATCCAAAGATCACAGGGCTGCTGCCAAAACCTAGAATTCTAGCTGTCTTCTTTCATACTGGACAGTCTGGTTATTACCAGTGCAGCCCAGGATGGTGCCCTCATTTCCTCTATGGTAAACTGAATGGCTCAGACGTGGGGAGGTTCTGAGGTGACTGGCAGGTAGTGTTTCTTTGTTTGTGTGTTTTAATAAATGGGCAAGCAGAGCTGTTGCACTGTGCAGATTGAAGGCCCAAATGTTTATTGGAACTTATGGAATATGATGACTTAACACTGCCTTCAGCTTCCAGGGACAATGAAGAAAATAGGGTGCCATTATGGGCACCCTATTTTAATACGTTTGTGCTTATTTGTGTAGGAAGATAAGCAAGTTCTAAGGCAAACAGCTATACTGTAATTTATATGCTTCAGTTTTGAGTTAGGACTTCAGAAAATGTGGAAGATAAAAGACACATCTCTTGACTGTAAAATTAGTTGTATGTTTTCTTGTTTGGGATACTAAACACTTATGAAGAAAAGTCCTCAAAAAGGAAAGGGGGGGTGAAACAGCTGCAATTCTGTATCCATAAATCAAAAGAGGAAATTTTATACACAGAGGATTTGAAACAGGAATGGGATTAAACCAGGGAGCAGATGATGGAAACTTCTGCAGTTTAGAAATAAGCAAAGAGTAGCTGCCAGCCACACAGTGGTATTCGAGCTATGCTGTGATCAGCACTTGAAAGAGGTTGTCAGCCAACAGGAAACATGCTCTAAAATTATAGCTAAGAGCCTGAGATGCTCTGGCACCTTAACATATTGTACTAACATGACCCTGACTGGGCACTTACTTCTGAAAAGTTGCCACCCATTGCCAAGCAGATGTTTGTTTGCTTCAAGCAAAATTATTAGCTGTTCCATATTTATGCCATCCTGTTTGGAGGAGTGGAAGAGGTGCTGAATCTGAAAGATTTAATTTCACATCCTTTCTTGGCTATGAAGTTCACTGCATACAAATGGGAATTTCCACTCGGAAATTTAACTCATAATGGGTTGGATCCAGGTGGGCCATTCAATGATCAGACGCGCTTCTATTCATGGAACACACAGAGATCTGTTCGGGGCTCCCTCCCTACTGGAAGAAATGGTAGGTGGTCTTCCCTAGTTCCTTGTTCCTCCTGCAGGCCTACCCCCACCCAGAAGCACACACTGCTGCTCCAGAGGCCCCAACCCTTGTAAGCACCTTTTCCGAGGCAACATTGGATTCAGTCCAGTGTTTCTGTCATAGTTTCACTGTGAGGGCTTTCGTGGCTCTCCAGGTAATGGCCGTAATCACAAGCCTATCAAATAATTAAGGGTATAATTTTTACAGGAGCACCATACTCCAAGCCGCTCAACTGAATTCCTGCATTCAGATCGGAGGAGGACATTAGCTAATGCCCTTTGCATTTAACTGTATCCATTTTCCTCCCTAATTTAAAAGTATATCTGGGTGTAAAATCTCAGAATGAGATAATTACTGCTCTTGGCCTTTGATTTGGAGAAAATTAGGACATGCATTCATATGCCCTGTCTATTTCTAAGTTTATGATGGATTTTTCACCCAGAAAAAAATTCTTTAAAAGGCTAAATTAATAGATGCAAAAAGCATTCACTGTTTTTAGAAGGAGTCCTTGCAGAGACAGAATATGTGAAATGCCTGTGAAAGTTACTCCATTTCTTTAACTGCAGTTCTACCCTTTCCTCCATCCCTCTATTTAAAAGAGTACATTCGTAGATAGTTTTAATCACCCGGCAACACAATCCTGAGCATTATTTGAATGCCATGACTCGGTGCTGGTTTTGGCCACTGAAGATCACGATCCAGCTCATTCAGCACTGCCATATAACAGAATAATTTCAGGTGGCATTTCACAGCCTACCACAAACATAGAAGGATTCAACAGCTCATCTACTTCACCTCTTTTTCTAAAACAGACTAGCTAAGAACTAAATCATCTGTGATAGGTGCTTGTTCAATTTCCCCCGCCCCTTGACTTTCGAAAGATTTCCATGGCTTCCCCCGTCAGCTCTTTCCATTGCTGGGCTGCTCCTAAAAAGTTGTTGAGGCTGTTTAACCTAAATCTTGTAGAAGTCATGGAGGTGGGAGGAATGCATGAAAGCACAAATCAGTGACATCCATGGGAACTTAGAAAGCTGAGTGTTCATCTATCCGTGAGTACCTGATCTTGGAAGAGTTGAACTACTTTTAAGACTGGTGAATAAACAAATAATATTGGACTTGAAATTGAACTTAATTGGGACTCGGAACGTGAAGGTCTAAACAGGAAGTCAGCCTTCCGTTCTTTTGTTACGTGAAGAAAGCAAAGACAAAATATACTAAAGCTTGAAAATTAAATTCTGAGAGAACTAGAATTCAACATCTAAGATTTCTGAACCCCCCCTTTGACTGCAGGAGAAGAAGGGGGTTGTATTTGGACTTTTCAATCCTGCGGAAGTGAGTTTAAAATAAAGCAATTTTCCACCGCCCTGAACCAGGAGCGGGCTGTCAGAATTGACGTTTTGAAGTTTATCCAGCTCGACAGTTAGTTAAAAGAAGGGTAACATTTTGATTCTACTGTTGCCTCTTGAATTTGGAAGGGGGAATTTTGGATAAAGTGTTTCTGGAAAAAGAAAGATTGTTGCTGTTGCTTTTATTCCTTTTAAAAAAAAAAAAAAATTTCCATCTAGTGGAATTTAGTGAAATTGCAACGCAGAGAGTTTAAAAGAGAAGGACTATTGGACTATTGTCGTGGGAAGGAATTTTCTTTGACCTTGAAGGACAATGCTAGTACAAAGGCTTGAACAATTGTTCCTGGAAGGTTTTTCAAAACTAAGTGCCCAGCTGGACCAGATGCGTCAGGAGACGACCTTGATGATGGAAGTTACCAGAGCACAGCAGCAAACAAATGAAATTCAGTTAAAGGCTATACAAGCATATGAACCTGCTGTAGTGACGGAGGCTTCAGAGATGGAGGGACCTTTGGACGGGCAAGATCAGCCTTTGAACTTGACAAATGAACTTGGGACAAACCAGATTCGGAAAGATGAAATGTGGTCAGATTTGGAAATGGGGGGATGGATCGACCCCCCTCTATATGGTTATTTGGACCTTCCGAGTCTAGTGAAGGGCTATCAGAGGATTGGAGTAGCCGAAGTCTCCAAGCTTTGTGGAAATTTGAGAAAGCTGAGTGTTTATTGTGATGTGTACGTTTTGTTCAGCGTTACAGAATATTTCTCAATATCCAATGTGTGATCACATATAAATTGAACCTAATTTAGAACTCTTTGATGAACAGAGATATCACCTATATCCATGAATTGTAGGTGGCTAATAGAATGGGCCTTTTGCCTCACCTTTCCCAAAGTTTGCTTCATTCACTTTTTATTGTTTTGTTTTTTACTTCACCTAAAGGAATCATAGGAAAGAAAACCCCTTTGGTTAAATACTGGACCTTGCAACCATAGATCTGGAAGCACAAGAAGCTTTAATATTAAACAGTAGGTGTTTGTGTGGGCCCCAAGATTCACCTTATATCTGTAGCTCTGCTTTAAAAAACCCCAACTGTTCTTGATTCTGAGTTGCTCTATGCTATCTGCCTGCTTCAATCTATAATTCAGGTTTCAGGTTTTTCTGCTCCCTCTCACCCAAATTAATACAACTCCAAGGCTTCAATCCATCTTAATCTGTCCTGATTATTGCATGTTCTAGATGCACAAATCCCACTAAGGTTCAATTGAGCTTATTCCTAGGTTAGTGTGCACAGGGGACTGATTCTTAAGGAATTAATTTGAGGCCACTAGGCAGTGGGAAGCTGCAGAAAGCAGAGCAATCTATTTTCATATTTTAAATGATTTTATTTATTTATTTACTATTTCTGTTTTACAGGTAAAATCATAAGGAAAAGCATGCAGTATTTTTCCTAAGCGCTTGGTTAAAAATAAAATAAAGCCTACTCTCACATTCTGCCCTTACAGCAGAATCACTGCGATAATTAACAGGATTTCTAAAATGCTACAGAACAATTTTAATTTCATTAATAATGTATTGGTCTCGACATTATTTGATTTTATAGCCCTCTTCCATCAAATAAAAGAGCAACCTTCTAATCCGTACAGCAAGCTTGGCTAAATATCCACTGAATGGACACCTTTCCTTCAGCAGGTTCAGAGTCAGCCGACTGAGGAGAGGCCAAGAGGAGAAAAGGGTTATTAGCCTCAAACTCTGCTTATGGGCTTCCTGATGCACCTGGCTGCCATTGTAGGAAGAAGGCTACTAGACAAGATGAACCTTTGGCCTGATGCAGTTTGGTCGCTCTTTTATTCAGAGGGACTCTCGCCCCACCCCCAAACCTTTGCTTATTTCTGGTTTGTTGAATGCGATTCTAGTAGCCTCGTGACTCCAAGAACCCATGCAAGCTTTGAGCGTCCTGGAAGACAGTACTTTCAAGAAATGTTTGGGTTTTAAACCATCACAGGAAATGTTGACTCCCATGACAAAAGCTTGACAGGACATCCCGGTATCAGCATGAACAGGCTTGCTAATAATGTTGTTCTTTTCTCTTTAGAATTAATTTTGATGCAGTATGGAAATCTAACCTGAGCCAATTCTCCAGGCTTTCTCAAGAAGAGAAATGCCAACATCCAGTGCCAACTAAATAATGAGAGGTCATATTAATACCTTCCCTCCCGATTTTCACTCTCCAAAGAAACCTAGGGAGGAGATCTCCTGCAGGGATCTATAAGCCTGTCTCTAATATACCTAGTGCAACTGGGATTCTTGAATCGGCCTATTAATCAAAATGCTGTTTCTCTGCACAGCAGGTTCAATAGCCTGGGCTGAACCTTTATGCCAACTCTAAAATCTAGAAATTACACCATACTTTTCTTCAGACAAGAGTATCGAAATAAGAAAAAGATTTTATGTGTATCACACTTTTCAACATATCATGCCCACATTATACAGTAGAGCCCTGTATAAAACCCTTATTTAGAAAGGTCCCAAATTACGTTTATATTTTGGTGTTCCCCATTGTTCCATATGCCATTCAAGGGAGACATTTCTAAGGTTTACTGTGCAGTTTCTAAAATCATAGACAGAACTTACAACTTGCAGATGCCAATATTTCCTGACTGTGAAAAAAATATTAGGATACTTCATGAAAAAATACACATATAGTACCTGGATAACTGAAGCCAGTCACAGGTCTGGACGGCAAATATAGGAGCAAACCCAAAATTCTCAAGTAATCACCAGTTTAGGGTTGAATCATTCAATGGAGAGCTAGAAGGCAGAAACTATCTGCTTGGCAATTCTATCTTTAACAATGCTTTCCACCCATTTTCCTGGAATAGATGTTAAGCTAGCCTACCTGTAATTTCCAGGAAACCCCACCTTTAGAAAAAACTGGTATTACATCAACCACTTACCAGTCCTCATGTATGGAGGGTGATCTTAGGGACAAGTTAGAAGACCAGCAATCTCATATTTGAGCCCTGTCAGGTGCCCTTTCATACCCAACTACTGTGTTTGTTGATTTTTATGTTGTCAATAAGGTTTAGAACTTAATTGTGTGTCACCACTATTTATCTAAGCTCCTCGCTTGTTTGTGGAAGTTAGTTCAGGCCCTGGGATCTGCCTCATGTCTTTTGTTGTGAAGACAGGTGCAAAGAATTCATTCAGCTACTCTGCAATCTCCTCATTCTCCCTTAGCACTCCCTAGCTGGTCTTCTGCTACTAATGTATTTAAAGATCTGGTTGTTGTTGGTCTTCAGGTTTTTAGCAACGTGCTCCTCAAATTCTTTTTTAGCATCCCTTATTGTCTCCTTGCTTCTTCTTTTTTTGCCGAAGTTTGTATTCCTTTTTGTCTTTTGGACAAGACTTTCATTTTTTTTAGGAAGCCTTCTTGCCTCTAATAGCTTTACTTTGCTTGTTAACCACACTGTCATTGTCTTGGCCCTGGAGGTACATTCCTTGATCTGTGACATATCTTCTAGCTGAGCTTCTAATATTTTAGTTTTAGACAACTCCAAGCATTTTTGAGAGATTTGACCCTCTTGACTTTCAAAGCCACAATATGATGATGATGATGCACAATGTCATTGGTGTTCAGAGTGTTTTACAGTTTATATAACTCTGTTATATCTAGATCTATAGCACATAAAGGTAACTGTAAAGGTACCCCTGACCGTGCTAACAGTCCAAATGTTAGCCAAGGGGACGGGTTACAAAGAAAATAAGAAAGAGAGAGAAGCAAGAGTAACAGGAGATAATTATAAGTAAGTATAGATACATATTTAGGTTTAATTTCAGTTGGGGGTAAGAATTAGGGTCTTAAGTCAAAGGCATCAAGGAAAAAGTGGGATATGAGAAGTAATATGAAGGGAAGGAAGAAGAGGTGGAACCATGCAAATATTTCAAGAAGTTCCAGGCATAGGGGTAAGCAAGAGACATTGTTTCATTCTGTCCTTTATGCAACTGTCCTCTGTAGCAAAAAAAAATAATCCACAAATGGTTTCCCCTCATTAACTTTGGAACTCATTTTCAGAGATCTTAATAGTAATAGCACTCCATAATCAATCATAGCAACACAGTAGACTTGAATATTTGGATCATCTTTTTTATCCATCCTTATGCTCTGATGTTCTCATTTAATTTTTTTTAAAATACAGGTGGATAGATATAGATATGGATTTAAAGAAAAGGGATATGCATATCAGCTGCAGTCAAGAACCTGACCTCAGGCACATCTAAATATAATGAGTAAAGCCTACTTCAGAGATTGCTTTACAAGCTATTTCACCTTGTTCCTCTTCCCCTTGAAAATGGGTGCAGAGGTCACACAGGTATTCCAACTCTAAATGCAGAATTATGTCACAATCACACTGTATTTCCTCAGTATTCAAGTATTCGGTGAGTTTTATGGGCTTCTGCCCCCACTGAAAAATTAATATGGGAGACAAAGCTGAAATACAACTGTGTTCTAAATGTGCTCACCGAAATGCATTCTGATATCATTCCCCCCCCAGCAAATTAAAATTATAATATAACATAGCTTCCAATATCAATTATCAGATAACAATGCACATACAAGAAAATAACACATAAATGAACCATATGAAAACACGGAGCTGGAAATCAATCAAATAAATCAGATTAGCAATATGCAACACCCCATCCAAATCCCAGTCACCTAATTCAACCAAGTGTATTGCGTGCATTACTTCTTCCAGTTAAGCAATAATTGTCTTTAATTATCATTTTGGGAGATTCAGTTTTCATTCCAGAGCTGAGAGAACACATGTGAAATGTCCAGTTTTTGCCTACAGTCCATTAAAGGGTGTCAGACCATGAAGAAATCCATTGGCTTTGCTTTCCCTTTGGCCAGTTTCATATCAGTTTTTCTGCCATGGCAACAATCCAGATTCTATGAAGCCATGCTTCAAACGTCAAAGTTTCTGCTAATTTCCAGCTTTTAGCTATCCATTGCCTAGCTGTCAAGAATAAAAATGATACTAGTGAACACAGTAAGTTCTCATTTTCCTACTCCCAGATGTTAAGGATTGCCAGCTGCGGGGAGAAGAGTACTGCAATTTCTTTAAAAATCAAAGCTCAGTAAGATATTATTTTAGGGTAACTCTAATGCATATGTATATATGACCTTCTTACTCCACATATTCTTCAGAAATTGTATCCTTCCAAATCAAAAATATATGCCAATGATTGGCACATGCCCTTTCTGATATCTAACTGTCCCCTTCATAAACACTGGTGGCAACTGAGCTGAAATTCAAGATTTAGATATAGACCTTTTGGTCTGATTGCAACATGATGTATGGCTTTAAGACTGTGCTAAGTATTCTGCATTCTTGTCCCTCTCCCCAATGAAAATTGGTTCAGAGGTCAAGAGGATATATTATCTCAACACAGAGAACGGGGTCTTGACCTGAACATACATATCAAACTTCATTCCAATAATTCAATATTCAATTGCACTGATACAAACAAGCGACACCAACCAAATCTAAATCACATTCATAGTCTGAGTTTGAATATGGAAGATAAATATAGGAGATAAACATTTAGGAAATAGAGTGATTCTGTCCAGATTGGTCCTTGCTGCTTACATTGTCCATCAGTTGTATTTAGGAAATGTCCTCATTCTCTGGCAAACACCTTACAGCAATGCACCTAGCAGTGAGATTCATCAAAAGAGACACTAATTCATTGGTGATGTTGTATCCTGAGATGCATCAAAGCCCACAGGATGAACCATAGGCAATGTGAATTTTACAAGCCCTGTCACGAGAGCCAGTGCATAATATAATGCCATTGCTTGTGACAGGAATGCTCTCATCCCCTCTAATCCCACACGGCACCACCCTGAATACAGAGTTATGGGTTGGTAGAAATGGCCATTCTGGTAACGGTGGTTGAATGAGTACAAAAATGGAAACATCAGCATGCCCATAAAAAAATAAAAGGAGACACTACAAGGCTTTCACAAAACGCAAAAAAACAAAAGGCTACACAACAAGGATATAGTTACAAGGCTCTCATTAGGACTCTCTTAATATACAAGCAGGCCTCCAGAGACACATTTGTAATTCATAAATCACGGGTCTTTAACGCCAAAAAGGATAAATTTTCTTCCCTGTCTGAGGGGGGGGGGATCTTATTATGCATTTTAGATTTCTATCTGCTGAGTGCACCATTTTTTTCTGTGAGGCAAGCAAGAAGAGAGAAACACCCAGAGCAGTTTAGCTCTGGATGCTAAACTCCTATAATTCATTAGGGAATTAAGCACATTAATTGGGTCTGGTGTAACCAGGCCCTAAGAAACTTCCTGAATGCCAATGTTAAGTAGCTCCTGACCATGCAGACCCCACTGCTATTATAGGAAAGACAGTAGAGCCACCAATGAGGGACACATTAGAGCTGGGAGTCCAAGAATACCATTGCCTTAGTGCCTAATTCCTGCTCTCCTGTTACCAAAGGACTAAAGCAGTCAAGCTGCCAAGGAGAAAAGGGCATTGTGTCCATTTTCAATCTTCCCAACAGTGGAACCTTTTCACTATGAATCCCACACTATAAAATATAACACAACTACATTTTATTATATACGAAGATACTTCCACAGGGAAAAATGAGCAGAGGCAAATACCTTCAACAGGGACAGTACCACTTTGGGGGCAAATCACACCTGAGCCTGCAAAAATGCCCTGCGATTTTTATTTTCAATTTTAGGGGAAATGGTTTGTAAAGGGTTTTCGGCGGCGGGGTTATGCACATACAGTGGTACCTCAGGTTACATACGCTTCAGGTTACATATGCTTCAGGTTACAGACTCCGCTAACCCAGAAATAGTGCTTCAGGTTAAGAACTTTGCTTCAGGATGAGAACAGAAATCGTCCTCCAACGGCGCAGCAGCGGCAGGAGGCCCCATTAGCTAAAGTGGTGCTTCAGGTTAAAAACAGTTTCAGGTTAAGTACGGACCTCCGAAATGAATTAAGTACTTAACCTGAGGTACCACTGTATATGCAGAGTACACAGCAGTTTATTGTGTCTATGGGGGAGGGGGTAAAGCCCAGAGAAAGACGACTCTTTAGTTATAGCTGTAAATACCAATTTGTGAATGAAAACTCCACTCCCTTGCATAGGCAGGCAAAGATGGACCACAGAAATGCTTATGGTTTTAGTTTTGCACTACAACCCTAAGGCATCAGACGTCAGGGGGTGGGTAAGAGGAGAGCATTCCTGCTGGAGCTTTTCATTACATGGATAATGAATGTGTGTGTTAGCACATGTTAGCAGGAGAGTAGGCTGCTCTTGTATGGGTGCACTGAGCTGATCATGATTGGTCATGAATTCACAGTGCATATGATGAGTTAGAAGGGACAGGTTTGTAGGGTGGAAAGTGTTTGAGATGACTATATTTATAGTAAACCAAGCTTGCAGTTTGCTTTTATCAAACCAGGCAAAGAGCTCTTCAAGGTGGAGATCTTTTTAGTGCTGCAAGAAAACAACATTTATACAAGTGTTGAGACACAAAAGGGGAGAGTAATTAAAATACAGTGTTGAAATGATAAAAAGTACATTTGTGCACAACTCACCTGCCTACCACAGCACACATCATATCTATAAAGGTGATGAGTTCAAGGGTGCAATTGATACTAGCCAAATCACATGCCTGAACTCCCTAGGATAGAGTAGCTGGCATGTTTTTAAACAGACCAGTCCATTGACCTGGATGGTAGGATTGTGTCAGATGTATTAAGTCTCCTGTACTTTGAAAACTAGCTTGATAGTGACTTGTAGCAAAGTTCTGAGTGTTAAATTATTTGGCAGATATAAGCTGACTCATGATTCAAGCCGTGTTAAGACAATTCTGTTCCTCCAGATTCCTCTTCCCTAAAATAGGGTTCCAGGGGCAAATGACATTTTAAAATGTGTTAGATGATTGTCAAAAATTAGCTGGCTATCATTGGTTTCAATTCTGTATGCAGTTGCCCCTATGTCCAGCCAATTTACTTGCATCTAGTGCAATTGTAACACTGTGCAGAAAAAGTAAATGCAAATCAAACACATCAAGTCATTTGAAAGCTAATTCCAAGTGCCAGCAACCAAAACTTAATATCATAGTCCTCACTGTTAAGTGATTCATCTGTGTTCCAAAATACTGTTCCTTGTGTCTATCTGCCTTGATTAACTGCTTGAAAAGTACATTTATAGGCCAGGAAGGCGAGAGATGGGAGCCCTGTTATAGGGCAAAACAGTGACAACACAGATTTTCAGACAGCCTGCTCAATCTTGTCAGTTTCAAAGCAGTCTCTTAGAAGCTCATCTTTACAATATGATGATGACCCAAGCCTTTTATACCATCTGCCTCTCACACTGCTCAAAACGAGTCTTTAACCAATGTGTAAGATATATGAGTTGCATTAGATTTAAAAAGCAGGCTTCTATATACAGTAATGAAATTTCTCACATGCTGTAAAAAAGAAACTAGCCTTCATGGTCCAAAGATGATGAAGGAAACATAGCAAACCAAACAGTGCAATGAGAATCAAGACCTGCCTGCTATGTGCATTGCACACATTTTTAAATGGTGCTTCACATAGCTTAAAAAAAAATGTTGCAACATCAACCAGGATTATAGTGTTTTTACTTTTCATGAAAACCCCAAACAAGCATTTACCTAGCTTCTGTGTTGTTCCAAGTTTGAAAATGAAACCACAGTGCTTTCCCAAATATGATTTCACAATGAAAAATTCAAACATTGATCACGTGATGATACTTAATCTGGTTTCTCCACTTCGGAGCTGCCTTGTTAAAAGAGGAAACAAGCCCCTTGAGAGGAGGGGGAAGACTGCTCATTTATCAGTCTGTACTACCGTGCATCCCCTGACCTATTTTATTACTAAAAATAGCCCTTCTTAGGTCACTACTGCAAATTGAATTCTGCTGCTTCATTGCCCACTGCAGTCTCACTGAGCTGCCCGCACACACAGCATTAAGAAGGTTAACCCATCTGTTGCCATCTGCGTCTGGTCCTTCAGGAAAGGTGAGAAATTTGAAGCACATTACCTGATATACTTGGTTTGGGTGTGCATGCACATTTTAAATATTTGTGAAATTGTGGGCTGCGTGTGATGTGCTTGTTGGAGATTCTTGCTTTATTTCATTTTCACCCCACATTTTAAATTGAAAGGATTGTCAAAGCAGTGTGCGCAATTTAAGAAAATACAATAAAATGACTAGTCTAAGACCACTGAAATAACTGATTTCAGTCAAAACAAAACAACACACAGTGTAAAATAACAGGAAAAGGTTTTGAAGTGTCCCTAACAGCAATTGACCAGGCCCTATGAAGTCACTACAACAGAAAAATGTCCCTCCAAGCCCCTTAAAAACCAAGACAACAGTAGACTTTGAAAACTCAAATTGGCAGAGGAATTCCACGATGAAGAGACCACTACTGAGTGGCACGGAGCTCAGGCATCCTCAAAAAGTTGGTTTTAAGACTCCAAGGAGCTGCAATCAAGCCCATAAAAATTCCTGGAGGACAAGGGGAAGGATGCGAGCTGGGAAAGAGGAGGAAACTGTTAACATCAAGCCATTCGCTGTCACTTCATCAGTCCAAATCCCTCTTGGAAAAATCATGCTGTCCTTCCAGGCTGGGGAGAGCAGAAATGGAAACCCCTGCAGCCTGGAAGCTGAGATTGTCCACATTGCCCTTCCCATCCTGCAGCACCATCTTTGAACATTTTGAGGTGCCATAGAGTCTTCAGACAACAACTCCTAAAAGGACATGCTCAGAGAATCTCCTCGGGCTCCGTTGAAGGTGGTACACAATCTGGGCAAGAGCCGCAAAAGAAACCACCTGGAGAAAGTTCATAGTCTTTGCTGAAATGTTGTAGTAGAGTCCCTAGAGTACCCATGGATATCTATGGCTAGAAGAAGCTGCCCAGTTTCTTTCAGAAAAAAGAAAGCGTGTCATCAAAAAGGGGGGGGGCAAATCAGGCCACGGATTTGCATAAAATTTGTATGTACTGATTTATGTACAAACAATTTTGTATGTTAATAATTGTACATACAATCTATGGATATCAGGCAAGCACTGACAATGAGGTGCTTTTATGTTGTAAGCCAGCAGATGAAGGGTGGTATACACATTATTACTATTATTATTATTATTAAAAAATTCCTTCCAGTAGCACCTTAGAGACCAACTAAGTTTGTTATTGGTATGAGCTTTCATGTGCATGCATACTTCTTCAGATACCAATCACAAACTTAGTTGGTCTCTAAGGTGCTACTGGAAGGATTTTTTTTATTTTGTTTCGACTATGGCAGACGAACACGGCTACCTACCTATTACTATTATTATTAATTATTATTATTATTATTACTATTACTATTATTATTATTTAGGGGCAGGCAGTACAATCCTATGCATGTCTCCTCAGAAGAAAACCCTATTCAGTTCAACAGGGCTTATTCCCAGGTAAATGAGTATAGGATTGCAGCCTTAAAATAGAGGGAATTCTAAACGTCTAAGGGAAATTACATTCACCTGAGTATTGTGAGCTGAGCAAATTCACTTTTCAAAGTAGTTAATTACTAACTTCAGAAATATCACAAGGGAAGATCTCTCTATGGAACTGCGGTGGGAACTGTAGGTACATTTCCAGGTCTGACGTAAACCACTGTGGATCTCCCTGATTCTCTTAGCAATGTGTCGAAAAGCAAGCCATTTTAAGAATCATTGTGTCAAGGAAATGTTATTAAATGGAGTACCAAAACTTTTTTTTTTTTTTTTGGATACTTAATTGTCAATCAGACACTGCAAAAACTAGCAGGAATTTTCCAGAAACAGCCTTCTAAAAAGTTGATATTTTCATGCAGCTGCCATATTCAATGTTACATATTTGCATTATAGCAGCATTCATTGGCCAATCACAATGGGGCACTACTCTATACCTTTCCTGAAGAGATTACTATGTGAAAGACAAGATAACAACAGGTGAGTAGAAAAAAGCAGTTCAACTCCACATCAAACAAGAAATAACTAAGAGAACCAGCCTGAAGATGGTTCAAATATGGGAAGGATGGATTTGCAGTACAATTTTCTTTCCAATGACTAGTACAGAAACAGTACTAGTTTCTGTTGGCAACCCAAGTTGGCAACCCAATGGAACATACACACATCTGAAAAAACCCACCAGCTCTCATTTGTGTACATTTTCCCACTTCTGTTCTTAAAATGACTATGGGATCAAATTGTTCATTAATTGTGAAAACAGCTGGAAAAGTACAAGTGTAAGTTAAACCAGTCACTGACCTTTGTTTCAAGGCCCTCATGAAGCCGGAATGCCCATGGCATGAAAACCACACAATAAATCTACCATTACACATCAAACCTGTGCAAATGCCTTTAAATGGTCTTCATATTAGTATGAAAGAATATTTTAACCTTCAGCTAAGTTCCACTTGGCAGATGATTAATATCTGGATTCACCCAAAGTGACCCTGGGCTGCAAAGACAAAAGGTGTTGGGGGGGCAGATATTGCTTAATGTAAGAATAAGGTCACTTAAGACTTCAGTGGTGTTGTTTATTTTGCCAAAAAAAAAAAAAATTGGTGGATGTCTTAAGGGGAAATGAGCAATCTGCTCTTCTTGATTTTAGGCCAGCAATATACTGAGTGCCTTGCCATGTGGAAGGTAGCTCAGGTCACCATGTGTCAGCTGTGTTCTTCACAGCTTGTACATTAAGCTTTGTGGTTTATGGAGACAGGAATCCAACTGTGAGAAGGTACTGCTTTATCAGGAAAACATTACGAAGTCTTTTCAGAGAAAAAGAAGTTAAGATTAAGGATCTCAGACGCTTCAACACCACTTTCTATTGCATTCTGCCTTCTGGGGTATCACCAAGTGTTGCCCACATAATTGTAGGTTTTGGGGTTTTTTAAACATAGTGGAATAACTGACATCCCAGCAACAGAAATAGAAAGGCCTAGCAAAATTGCTACCTGTGGATCAGCAATTTACAGGTACTCCCATTTCCCAAGGTATGTATGATTATGTCTGTCTTTCATAAATATGTTTAAAAGCATTCTTTTGAACAGCACAAGGCCTGAACAGGAAGCACTTAATAACTCTGTAGCCATCTGGGTTATGAAACAGCCCACTCTACTAAGCCATAACTAAATTGTCTGTTAAAACCAATTAAGATAAAAGCTCTTTGAATATCTCAATGGCTGTGATTTTCTGTTAAGTCAAAAATAAGATTTCTCCCCCAGCCTTCTCAGTCCTGGAATACAGCAGCCTTACCTTACATGCCACAAGTGACCAACATCCCCTGAATGAGCCGGTTTTAACATCTGAAACATAGCAGCATGGATCCAGACTAATCTTGACAAAAGATACTGAGTTACAAATGAATACAAAATGCCAACAAACAAGTTAAACCAGAGGCCTCACTTTGCTTAACCAATAGGGAAGGCTAGTTATTGTGAATCCCCTCAGGGGGAAATATTCTTCTTCACATCCCCCCCCCCCCAAATATATAATGAACAAACTTTGTGAAAAACTGGTGCCCACAGTCCACAGCTTCTACATCTCTATTCTCTATCCTGACCATTTTAAATTCTGGCCAATCCTCAGAGAACAACAGTCTTACCTCATGTGCCACAAGTGACCAACATCCCCTTTAATACTGGGTAGGTTGAATAAGCTGGTTCTTGTTCTTGTTTTTATTATGTACTTTGTGATTTTATTCTGTATATTATGCTATGAACCGCCCTGAGATCTTCAGATGAAGGTCGGTATAATAATAATAATGCATAAAATCTTTCCCGTGGCTGCTTCAGACTTTTACTTATGAGTAATACATGCCAGTTCAAAAGATTTATGTGATCCTCTTTCCTCTTATTTTAAAAAAGACTACATTTCTGAAACAACACAGTAGCAATAATAATAATAATTTTATCATTTATACCCACCCAGCCACTCTTAGCCACTAATTAAGACACTAACTACTGATCTGACGAAATCTGAAGATTCCCGTCCCTCCATATAAATGCATATTCCACTTAGAACTGTCATCCTTAGATTCAGAAGTGTCATAGAAGGGACACATTTTCAGCTGCAGCACTCTCAGGATCCTTGAAAGCTACTGGACAGTATTTTAAGCATCCGATTGATTGTATACTTTGCTAACAGTAAGGTCACTTCACCACTCCTCTTTTAAAAATGCCAACTTTTGATATTGTGCTAAGTAAGACACAAATGCAGTTTCACACAAAAACTCCTCTCATGGAGCAATCCAAACCCTCAATCTACCCAGTTCTGCTTCTCCAGCTTCCATCACTGGGGAATCCCCATTACTGATAGGGAAGCTCTACTGGAAAGGAGTGCCCCATTGTACCCATCCAAATGGTGGGTGGAAGCAGTGCCGGATTTACGTATAAGCTAAACAAGCTATAGCTTGGGACCCCACTCTCTTGGGGGCCCCCAAAAAATTAAAGGGGGGGGGACTGGATGTACATTTCCAAAATATAAGATAAAAAACAAATAAAATAAAACCTACATACAGCAACAGTGTTTTGTGTTGTGTGGGCTTCTATGATGTAAATAATGCTAGCTTTTTGTTACGTGCAAAGGGCTTTAGATACCTATTAGGTCCATAAATTACCATATAGCATATATTATATAAAAAAAATAGCGACAATTTGTTGTTGACAAAGCACAGCTGGACATATAAAGGGCCCCATTACCTTCAGTAGCTTAGGGCCTCATCAAACCTAAATCCAGCCCTGGGTGGAAGCTACCACCATCAATAGCCAGCAGATAACCCCAAAACAGAGCACGACTGTGTGCAAAGCAAGACCTTGTGTATGGATCCTGTGCAGACCCTGCTGCCATCACACGACGAAAACTGCTCCCACCTGAGAGTTGGTAGTATCATTCCATCAAGTTCTGCCACGGCTGGCCAGGAACTAGGATTCCAGCCTTAATACTGAATGGAGTAGCATTGCATATTTTACCCCACTGCTTTGAGCAACAGTCCAGTCACTTCTGGCATTTACAAAATAAATGTATAGGTCACTGAAAAACGACCTTTTACCACTTGGATCAAGATACTTGGGGAGTTGTGGCAAGGTAAGCAATTCAATTTCCCTTGAGATGACGTGACAGATGAGTTGTCCTGCTGGGTTTGACAGATTGCTGTATCTGGAAGAAGCTTTCCTCCAGGTAAGACTAGCAGGGACTGCAGCAGTTGCTTTTCCACTGCAGCATGGAGACTTGAGAGCTATCTCAAGCTAGCCAACACTTATATTGCATTCCAGGTACTTTTCTGTTTTTCTTTGAAAAACAGAACCACAGCCCAGGTTTTGTAACCATTTGTAACCCCTTTCATTCCTTCTATTTTTATCATACTTTGTTGTTCCAAACAAACTCAGTAATGATTACAGTGAACTGGAGCGTATTGTAGGTTCAAAGGCCTTACTTATCCACAGGCCACTGATTCTTTTGTATATACCAGCCTAGAGAATCCCATATATACTTCCACTCCTTTGGACTTCTGTTGACTTCAGACTTTTGAATGTCAGAGCAAAGAGCAGAATACAGCATTTCCATTTTCAAATAAATACTTCCTAAGAGAAACTTGGTGCAATGTCCTGGGCACACCCAGCCCGATGAGGACAAGTGTTTGGAAGTTTATTTCTTGACTGGCAAAGCACTTGGCTACATCAGCTCCGAAGGTGCAAAAGTTGTACACACCACCCCTGCTAACCAGCTGCCTAGGTGATTTACCTCTACAGTCCTGCGCTCAGTGGCGAAGCTACCTGCTCCGGCACCAGGAGTGGCGTACATCTGGGGGTGTGGCTGGCGTATGTCCCAGGGGGTGTGGCATGCCACCCACGGGGGTGTGGCACGTGTCGGGGGGTGCACAGCAAGCGGCGAGCATCCCGGGGCAGGCGTGATGTCACCCCCCAAAGATGGCACCTGAGGCGACCGCCCCCCCACCTTCATCCGCCAGTCCCTGTGCTCTGACACAGTCAGTTGGGGCAACAGTGTGACCATGCCCCTTTCAGCTTACTTAAACCCCTTTGTCTGACACAGTACGTGCAAGCACCCTATAACTCCTGAGTGGCAGCTCCAGTTGCTCTTATCACTTTAAGCGCCCCCCCCCCTTGTGTGTAGAGACAGTGGAGGGGTGGACAGGAGAGATTCCAGAGGCATAGCTATCTCTGGGACTGATGCAGCGTCTTCTGTCTCCAAGACTCCCTGCAACTCTTCTCCCGTCTCCTCCGCCCCTACCCATCTCAGGCTGCCTGGTCTTTTCTCCTTGACTGCCCTCGGCCACCAACTCGGCACCTGCCTCACGGGTGGCACAGAAGCCCACAAATTGCTGCCCCTTCCCCTGGATCTTTCCCCTGCTCCCCTGCCTGAACATCCCCTGCTCCTCCTCAGACTCCTGCCTGTCCCTGACATGCAGTCTGTAAAAAGACTTTTATTTTTAGAGCATTATAATCCAGCTGAATTCTCTGTGCCAAATTGTAATGACAGAAGTAGGAGACCAAAGGAGGATGCGGAGAGGCTCATAAAAACCTAATTCTCTGATGGGAAAATCAAAGTGATGTTAATTAACATCAGAGTTACCCTCTGGAATAAAATAATAATTGGGACACAAAAAGGAACACTTAATGTTCGAAGAAACCAGCGAATATAAAATGAAAGACCAATTACAGCATGTGAGGGTCCAATTAGGTTTTTGTTTTGTTTTTTCAGAAGGGTAGCAATGTTAGTTGCAGGGGGAGCAAAGTCTTGTGGTATCCTAAAGATCAATTCTTTTGTCAACTAGAGTCCTCTTCGTCAGATACATGAAGTGTTATCCTGAGTTAGTAGGTAGTGAGCATCTGCTTTAGAGAAAAGTTCCCAAACGGAAGTCTGTGGACCACCAGTGGTCCATGAGATCCACTCATGTGATCCACGGTTTACCTGTAGATGAAAACTGAAGTAGATATTCATATTAATTCTTAACTGTACTTTTATTACTTTTTGATTTCTTCTCTTACTTCACTAGATGAGCCCGAGTTCTATGCAGGTATGCACTGCCAGGTGATTACATTTGCAGGTAGGCCCCCCATGTAACTTAGAAGCTTGTGCAATTAGGATTTTAAATGGCATGGGGAGCCACCACACATAGAGCAGGCTCCCACCTCAAGAGTTTCCTCTCCATGAAGATCAATGAGGCCAGGGCCAGTGAATGCAGCTCTTCCTCTTCATCACATGATTGTAATTAGGTGAGGGAAGTATGCAAATAAGTCTCTAGTTTTATAATAGGGGGAGAAAAAACTATCCATCTTCTCCACACTACACCTAATTATATAAACCTCCATCAAATAATCTACTTGGTTCAGGATGGGGGTGGGTTAGGGAGAAGTGTTACATAATAGGCCAACGCACAAAAAGCTTAATCAGTCATGTTCTAGCTCCTCAGCAACTTCCATCAAAAGCTGAAAAACTGAACTGACGTCTGAGTGACACTAAGACCATCATTCCACTCACAAATGACAGGCACCACAAGATTTTGCTACAGGGGGAGAGCACATTGGTACATCTGTCTCATCTGTCTCTTATAACTAGCTGGTAATGGTATCCCGTCGCTGTCAAAACACTGACAAATAGGGTGTGGTAGTGATGAGGAACCAGAGGGCACTGGACATTTTTGAATGCAAGCTTGTCAACTGCATGTTGCTGGCTTATTTTATCACGGCTTATATCCACAAAGATATATTTGTGGGTATCTGGTCTGTGATGGCTAACTGAGAAAACTCTCCAAAGAAGGTACAAGTTGTGGGACTTAATATTCCCTGCCCTCATCTGAAAGGAGGCTAGGGCATTTCACTGGACACACAATTTCTGCTGAGTCAATGCCTGCCCATTGTCAGAACTGTAAAGCACTTCTTATCTTATTTTTTATTTTTTTTAAAAGGTAAATAATGACAGACAGCTATTTTAACTTCCCCTAAATTTTTCTACCACGAAGCAAAACTGGTACAGGATGTCATGCTTACACCAACACCTACATATATATCTTTACTCAACACTCCTGGGATCCCTTCTCCTACTACTGTAGAGGTTTTATATTCTTGGTCTGGGGGTGGTGGAAAGAACTATATTTTGAAAAGTGTTGAAGGAGCATGAGCTCAAAAAAGTTTATTCCGAGAGGATAGGTGATATGAGTAGAGCAGAAAGATAAAGATGTTAATCTTTAGACTATATTAAATAACGTGAATAAATTAAAGTGTGTACTTTCCATTGAGTTATATAAATAGAGATTTAGCAAAGGAGCACATTCTTGTTTCCTATTCCCCCTGCAGTATAAACTACTATGTAACAATTTTATTGGCTGGTAATATAGAGGATTGTCTATCTGATACATTTTTGCAAGGTGTAATGAGTTTAAAATAGCTAAATCAAGCAGATTTTTTAGAGTTCTGAAATAAATCAGAAAATTAAATATTGGCATTTAATAGATAATAGATAGATAATTCTCTTGGCAGCTGGGAAATTACATTACAGAAATGGAGAACAAAACTTTTTTTTTTAAATATAGATGGTTGGAAAACTGCCCGAAATAGGCAAAAACCACAACTCATTAAAATGAATGCATTGAAATCAGTTCATTTTATATTTCTGCGTATTTCATAAACATATAAGCAAATATGCATTTTATATAAAGTCATGTCCTAAGAGGGAAAGCCCAGTGCAACAGGCAAATAATATTAGGACCAAATTGGGGGGGGGGGGAGGACTCACCTTAACAAAAACAATCTTAAGGCAATGACAGGTGAAATTTCCCTGCACAAACATACTCACGTAAGGAAAAAGTGTGCCCATGCACACTGCTTCTTTGTTTTACCAAGTGTGTATATGTTTCAAAGCCACAGCACCCATCAGATTTCACAGACGTGCATATGTAGCAATAGAGAAAACCAAATTTCACTTATGAAAATATACACAAGTTGTATAAGCATATCACATGTAAAGTAGCGGTCAACTAAGTATAGTGAAAATTAAGTAGGGTGGTACATGGTTATAAGGGTCCTATTAGAACTGTCTCAGCCCTATAATGACAGCCACTTAATGAAAGTTAGTAAGATGCAAAATGAGACATAGTCCCCTGCAATTTTGTGAAAGTTATATAGCACAAAACTACCGATGGCTCCTAAGCGTGATGACTATTTTCTACCCTCCACTGTTGGAGGCAGTATGCTTCTGAATACCAGTTTCTGGAAACTGGGGGAGGGGAGAGTGTTGTTGCACTCATGTCCTGCTTGCAGGCTTACCACCGCCATCTGGCTGGCCACTGAAAGAACAGGATGCTGGGGCTAGATAGTCGTTCAATCTGATCTGAGCAGTCTCTTAAGTTCTTATTCTATCATCTTTCAAAAACCTACAGAACGAGTCAAAGATTTATGACTCACGGAACAGCCCCAAAGCCCTGAATAGATTGCCAATCATAACCCCTTATTAGGTTCCCGCAAACTCCATTCTCTGGGTCTGAGTCACTGGACAGACCTGTGTCCTTCACTCTCTCACCTCTAAGGGACAGGCCCATTTCCCGTAGCCGAAAGATCCCGTGGTAATATAGCTTCCAACACCAGCAAACAGCAATGTGATGGGAAGAGGACAGCATGTTCCAAGCATCCTGAAAGGCTCATTAAATAAGTGTCTCTGACTTAACCTACATAAAACTTCAGATTAAATTATTCTGATGGTCTGCTCCCAGGCTTATTCTATGATTCACTGAAATGCATAGATTTGTACTGCTGGTGGTTGCTGTATTAGCAGGACTTACAGGCATTTAGGAAGGGGAAACCACCAAGGCAAATCTTGTTACTGAGTTTCCCTCAACTACTAGCTCCCGTTAGCTTCCCATTGAAAATCTAGATTGCTTCCAATATAAAGGCCCTTCACAAATGATGTGTTTCCTATAGGGGAATAACTCTAGTATAACAAAAATAGCAACAACCCTGTACACACCATGCATGTATGCTATTGTGTGTTTTCCCCCTTGGCTTTTTTCAAGAGAGGGATGTTTTTGGTTCATCTCAGCATTTTATTTCCAAAGCAGAGGAGCCAATATATAGTTGGGTTCCATGTTCGCATTTTACCTGGGAATCCCATAAAAATAAAACTGACTCAACAGAGGAGTTTAAAAATACCAGATCAATGGCTATGCTTGCTGAGGCTGATGGGAGTTGAAGCCCAACTGTCTCTAGAAGGCCAAAGGTTCTCCACCTCTAAGCTAAATGATTTCTCCTACTTTTTTTTAGTTATATACTAAGTAAATAAGCGTACAATTAAATGAGGGCACCTATGGTATCTGGGGTGGAGAGAGGATAATTAACTGCAAAACTAGCCTGGAAATGAGGATGAAGCCAAGCCTTTCTGCCAGGACTTCTTTGTTCATTTCGCTCCTTGGAGTTAGCCAGCATAAATGTTGCTCATTTCACATTTGTCATATTTGTCTAAATTGTGCTGTGATCAGATCAGCCTGACACCTCTTATATATGTACTGATTCGTGCTCAACTAGTTGCATTCCATTAATTTACTTGGCATTTAGATAGTCCACCTATCAACTCTTGCTTTTTGATCAGTTTGCATTTGCCTGTGCTCAGTGTAGCTTTTAACAGCTCTACTGTTGTCTCAATCAGCTTACATCCTAGTTAACACTGTATAATTGTAGAAGGACTTCTGAACCCTGGATCTTGAATGGCTGTCCCTGCCCCTGTTTAGAAACTCACATTAGCAAGGAAATAATACACAGTGATTAGAGACAAATTTCTACGGCCAACTCACATAAATGCTAGAATGAATAAATAATCGATGGTTGTTAGGAAGAATCCCTGCTAGGTGCCCTTTAACAACCTATGGATGTGATTAGGAGTGCAATGAGAAAAGAGCGCGTTCTGTTAACATGCCTCCATGCTGGTCTTCCAGGAAGCTCTTACAATGCAGACCCAGTTGAAGCAGAATTTATCATGTATAATAGATAAAAGTAATAGAATGGCATGCTGCGCTTTCTTGCTGTACACTAATGCTCTGTGCTATGCTAAAAGATCCCCCCAACTATTAGAGCAGTATGAAAAAGAAACAGAGAATTTATGATTATCTCCTAGTGACAGTCTTCCAAGTCCCCAGGGTTCGCACATCAGACGCATGATCACGTCCCTTGCTTTACAAGGCTGCCACGAACATCTAAATAACACTGTCAGGATCGCAGAGAGGTCTGTCCATCAGGCAGTTCCAGCCTTGCATCCCAATTGGTGCTCACTCTGCCATGGAAATATGCCTTTCATAATCTGTTAGGAGTGTTTCTTGGGCTGATGCTTTTTACCATAACATAGCTAGAACTCTAGAACTTAATTGAGAAGAAATTGACCTTGTGGGTTCAATGGGCCAAAGATTCCTTTACCTTCCTTTAAAGAAAGAAAACAAAGATTTGCTGCGTTGGAGTGGCATTTTCTCTTCTTATAATTGTTTTTAACAACAACAATGTAACAACTGATACTAATAATAATATTTCATATGCAATTGCTTGCACCACTGTGCAAATAGAAGAGACTTCTGCTCATGGGGGTATCATAAAGCCACTCTGGAAAGTCCCCTCATCCCTTAAAAGCATTTTCCCAGTGGGATGAGGGATGGAAAAAAGGTAGGAAAGTTGGCCACACATTAACATGGAAACCAAATCTTATGAGGAATTGTTGAGAGAGTTGGGTATGTTTAGCCTTGTAAAGAGGAGACTGAGAGGAGATATGATAGTCATCTTCAAATTTCTAAAGGGCTGTCACACAGAAGATGGAGCAAGCCTGTTTTCTCCTGCTCCACAGGGTAGGGCCCAAACCAATGGCTTTATTAAAAGAATGAAGATTCTTGTAAGGAAGAACATTCTGATAGTAAGAGCTGTTCGACAGTGGAACAGACTCCTTCAGGAAGTGATGGACTCTCTTTCCTTGGAGGTTTTTATGTAAGATGCCCATCTGTCATAGATGCTTTAGTTGAGATTCCTGCATCGCAGCGGGTTGGACTAGAAGACTCCACTATTCTATGATTTTATGTCTTCCAGGTCCTAAGCCTACTATTCTAGCCGCCAGGTCAAGCTGGCTGTGTACTAGATTCTAGTAAGTGGAAGATGTTCACCCATTGCATGATTTAAGATTTTGCATAGTACAAAGAAATAATGCACCACATTCCTAAACCTATGATATATGATCTGTATTGTGGTGCAGTAGGAGTTTAGCAGGAGCTGATATTTGTAATGCCTATGGCAATGATTGGCTGAACTGCCCTGACATCAGAGAGCCAAGGCAGGCAGAAGGGCTTTGGTCTTCCATTTGTTGAACTGCTCAGTTCTTAGGGAGAGGCAGTGCATGAAAAAGGGACTAGGAGGCAAAAGGATTATTGGCTTAGGAATTAGGAGTGGCGGGCTTATAAAAACAGCAAGGCAAGGGAAACTGATTGGAGCAGCTTAGCAAATGAGGATTCAACAATGGGAAGTGATGCAGAGGAATGAGAGCAATTGAGGGAAAAGCAAGATCAGGAAAACTGAAAGAGGGCAGAGGAAAGCTACACAAGGCCAGGAGCTGCAGAGATGAGAAAGTCCTTTTTTTGTTTGTTTGTTTAAGATAACAAGTCACATTTTTGGCTGTAGGCCAAAAAAAAAATTGTAAATGCATAGAATTTTCCTCCTTATACTAAAATGCAGATTAGTTTGTAAAGTTAGATTTCTTATTATCTGCTTGACAGTGAATGTTCCCATGTCAAAATAAAAGATATTTGCCTGATTTTTGATGTCAGGTGCTGGGCAGCTGGACATGGTTTGGAGGAAATGGCCTGGCAGACCAAATTAGGACCCCTGCCAGGCCTAATTAGCCCCAGGGGCTGGAGGTTCCACATGACCGTGGCATAGAATAGATGAGGAGCAGCCAGCTTGTTCAATATTGAGGGTTGCACAAAAATATGCCATGAAAGAAATAATAATGCTAATTTTTGTATTTGAGATCCATGCAGTTAACGTAATTTATCTTGTCTGTAATTTTCCAAACTTTCAAAGTATTAATAGAAAAAACAACCAAATGGAAGTCTTGAAACTGCTTACGCTTTTTTTAAAAAACGACTTTGCCTCTAAATCCCCTCCCACTTCAAATTTCTCCCGCCCCTAGCATTTTCAGTTTGCCAAGCATCTTCTTGAAGGTTACATCTGCAATCGATAAGTTTATGGGGAGTTAAGAGGCAGCAGCAGAATCTGCAGCCTCTTTTTAAAGAAATCCTTGACTGAAGGTCAATGAGAATTTTGATGCAAACTTCACTCGAGTCAGCATTTCACCAACAATTCACATTTTTCCCATTTCAGGTTATGTACATTATGTACAATGCTCATGTCCTCTGCCACAATTTCCACGTTGATCACAGTATACCGTAAATGATAAGTTTGGCACACATGATACATTCTTGGTTCTGCTCTAACTGGAAATGAATTGTTCAAAGCATTTGATAATGGAAGCTACTTACCAACTATTGCTAGATTGTGCTCCGAGCCACATGCAATCTGCAAAAGAAATGGGAACATAATGGTAAAGAGATGAGCTAGGCAACAAAGTTTATTGCTATCAGTGTAATTTGCACTGTCCAATTCTAAATCCAAATAAAATGGTGATGAAAAGAAAATCTGTGTCATTATATTTTGAGAATAACAGACTGCTTCCGTCATTTGATATGCATCATTTATAGTCTTCAGAGTCCTAACAAGGAGGTTTCAGCTTGCCTCATTGTAATCAGGGGCATCACTTCAGGTTTTAACAGAGACAAACAGTTTCCAAAGGGGTGGCAATTCAGCAAGATTCAAAGTCCCACTTGTGGATGTATTCCAAGTGAAACTGGAAGGAAGTGGTGTATTTTAAAAATTTGTTTTAATTATTTTTGTTATTATACTTCATAATAATTGTAGTGATCTTCTCAACACAAGGCAAACGCTTTTAAAAAAACCACCCAAAAATAAATTTGTGCTTTTGGCATGCCTTTCTAGTACAAAGGACCATTTAATTTTTGAGCTGGCCAGAGGTACAGATGTTCCTGAGGAATAATTGCATGTGATCTGCAACACAGGGATGGGGTGGGAAGGCAACCTGCCAGATTGTATATCTTGTTTCTTAGAAGCAATATGGCACTACTCTTTCCCCCCAAAGACCATTATAGCTGCCATTCATTTTATTAGTAATAAAAATTCTGCTCCTTCAAAGGTCAGAGAGCTCACCAGGGGAAAACAAAAGTGTAATCCACTAATTATATAGTAAGATATAACTGAGTCTGACCTGATTTGAAATGAGACCATTCCACTTTATTTTTCCCCTCTCACTTTGATCACTCCAGATAAGGACAATAAAATAACAACATACCCATACAACATCAGAGCAGGTAAAGGGAACCTCCCGTTTCCCTCTCATGAAAAGGTCCCACCTCTACAAGATCCAAGCCGTGAAACAAAATTCCAACTTCTGCAAATGATGAGCTTATCATTACTAATTAAGAAAAAGAGCAGGTTGCATACATTCCCTTCATATTCAAGCCCAGAAAAAACACCAAATGTATTCTGTACAAAGGAGGGCTGCTAGGGACATGTATTAGGACTTGCTAGAGGGACAACCTCTCACCCAAGCTGATCAAGTAAATTGCTTATTGAATAAAGTGGTACCTCGGAAGTCAAACATAATCTGTTCCAGAAGTCCGTTCGACTTCCAAAGCATTCGGAAACCAAGGTGCTGCTTCCGATTGGCTGCAAGAAGTTCCTGCAGCCAACTGGAAGCTGCGGAAGCTGTGTCGGATGTTCCGGTCCCAAAGAACATTCCCAAACTGGAACACTCACTTCTGGGTTTGCAGGATTCGGGAGCCAAAACGTTCAACTTGCAAGGTGTTTGGGATCCAAGGTACAACTGTACTTTGGTCCAGGGCTCTACAGAAATCCAAATTACAACTGATTTTGATCTCATCTTCTAAGCAAATTGTTGCTTTAACTCTTAAACAACACCACAAGGGGGATGATCTGTATCAGGACTACGGCAGGAGACAAAATTTTAAAGCCAGTGATACGATCTAGATCAGAAGGGAGGCACTCCTACAATTTCCTTTTTAAAGCCGTTCACCATTGGTCAATTCCTTCCATGGCAGGATTCAAGTGTTATGTATCTCTCTGTGGGGCAGATGCACAGGTTTGCATCTAGAGAGAAATAGGGAAAGCACTGTACAGAGTCAGAGAAACAGCAGAAGCCAGTCTCCTAAAGTCAAGCACTGGGGTGCAATGCTCATAAGGCTGCTTAGCTCAGAAGAATTCCAGCAACCTTCTGCTAGCTACTGAGATGGAAAACCTGAACTAATCAGAAACAAGTGGAATTAAATTGCAATCTGTGATTGTAAAAAGTGGCTCTTTAACTAGTTTGAGTGCCACAATCAAGAGTATTGATAAGCAATAATTACCCCCAAGCAATCAAGCAATAAGTGCCGCAATCAAGACTATTGATAAATATAAATATCGAACAAGGGGATGAGATCTCCTACTTATATAGTCCAAGGCTGACATCTCAAATGGAACAGATGCATCTCTAGTTCAAAAGCACAGAAGTGCACGCACACACGCACACGCACACGCACACACACACACACACACATTTAATGGCAGCATCTGGAGAGGGCCCAAATGGGAATTGAGGTTCCAGTGGTTCCAGTACTACCTCATGACCGAGTCCAGAAATTACACTTGGGAGAGTACTTTTCAGTCCCATGGCAGTTTGTGTTATGGGGTGCCATGTTGCAGGGCACTATTTTATCTCCAGTGCTATTTACTGTATTTTTCACTCCATAAGATGCACCTGACCATAAGATGCACCTAGTTTTTAGAGGGGGAATGCAAGAAAAAAAAGTATTCTTTAAAGGGAGCGCTGAGCAGAGCCTGTATGCATCCCAGGCTCTGCTCAGCACTCCCTTTCACGAGCCGCGTGGAGCGTGTGTGCAGTGCTTGCAGGCTTTTCCCCGAGGAGGGAGAAGGGCAGCCCGTCACTCCTAGGGGAAAAGCCCCCAAGAGCCGCACACACACTCTGTGCAGCTCTTTAAAGGGAGCTTTTGGGGGCTTTTCCGGGAGGTGGGGGAGGGGACTGATGTGCTGCCTCTGTCCCTTCCCTCACCTCCCGGAAAAGCCAGCAAGAGCTGCACGCTCTTTAAAGGGAGCGCGGCTCTTGGGGGCTTTTCTGAGAGGTGAGGGAAGGGACTGAGAGGCTAAGCCAGAAACTAGAGCAGCAAGAGAGAGTGCTGCGCAGTGATCCATCTTGCTGTTCTGGCTTCTGGGATAGCAGTGCGAAGCCTTATCAGGGTAGCAGGATGAAGGCTCCCCCTGTCCTGAAGAGCTTTGCACGGCTAAGCTAGAACAGTGAGAGGGAGCGCTGTGCAGCGCTCCCTCTCACTGTTCTGGGTTCTTGGGATAGCCGCACAAAGCCTCCTCAGGGCAGCAGGATAAAGGCTGCGCTCAAGAGGCTTTGCGTAGGTATCCCTGAAGCCAGAAGAGCAAGAGGGATCGCTGCGCAGCGATCCGTCTTGCTCTTCTGGCTTCAGGGATAGCTGCGCAGCCTGCATTCGCTCCATAAGACGCACACACATTTCTCCTTACTTTTTAGGAGGGGAAAAGTGCGTCTTATAGAGCGAAAATTACAGTAATATCTATATGAAGCTGCTGGGCGTGTTTGTTAGGAGTTTTGGGGCAAGTTGCCATTCAAACACTGATGTTACTCAGATCTGTTTTTTCACAACATTTGAATTGTGTGGCTTGAATCCTGGTAAAACAGAGGCTCTGTGGGTGGGTAATTCAAGAGATCATCTGCACTAGATGAGGCTGTACTCTCCCTGAAGGAGCAGATATATAGTCTGGAGGTGCTTCTGGAAACAGTTCTGTCACCAGAAGCCCAGGTAGCTTCAGTAACTAGAAGTACCTTTTAACACTTGGGCCTGGTACAATATTGCTGTGTTCATCCTCTGAGCCAAAGGGAAAACCCATGTTGGCTTTTGATGCAAAAGGCTAGAAAAAGTTGGGCACTGGGCAGCTGATGCTCTGACTTAGGGCAGAAGGAGTAAAAATAGTCTCCTCTGTTTCTGTCCCTTCTTCTCCCTTTCTGTCCAAAAGCATACTGGTCTGTTTTTATTGCTGCCATCATCTTCCACACAGTCAAAGTAATCTTTCTGAAGCGCATACTTATTCATCAGCTTGCTTAATCAGAAGCAATTGTATTTTCATTAAAACGAGGAACTGCAGCACAAAGAATCACGCTCCCCAAAGAATGCACAGCAATTCAGGTGCCTTAACAGTGCAAGCCTATACATGTGTATTCAGACACAAGCCTTCATGGGAATCACTTGCACATATTGGCCTGCAGGATTGATTTCAAGCAAAGGCTTGACTAACAGTGCAAGAAACCGTATCTTAGCCATGGCATTCGGAAAAGCTTCAGAAGACACCTAACCATTTTGGAATCTGCGCTGTCCACTTGCGATGGTCAACCTTAAAAAGGATTCTTTACATTTCCACAGAAACAGAGGTGCTTTCCCTTTTTGCCCTGTCACCCCCTTTTCAACCCCTTTGTACATGCCCCATGGACCAGTTATCTTTAGAAGCACCTTCAGAGCGTATGTGTGTCATTAGGGAAGTGTTAGAGTAATAAATAAGAATTCAATTTTTTAAATGGAACTCCTGAGTTATTTATGTCTCTTCAGGGACTTAGGTACCAGAAGGGTTATTACTAGCATCATAAATTTTAGATGTTTCCCTGCAGACTGTATGCTGCAGGATCTTTTGAATAAGGAGTAGCACTTGAAGATCTCAACTTGGGCGTGGAGATGCAAGTTGCTAGTTCTCATAGTTATATAACTATGACAACCCCCTTTCATAACATGTATACTAAAAGATCAGAAAGCAAAGGGGAAGAATTGCTAGTGGTCAAGCATGAATATTTTTTCTTTACGTGGATTAATGGGAGCAAAGGACAAAGGGAAAGGATTTGCAGTGCAGGAAATTATGTTTTTCCCCTCTGTCTTGGGCTCTACCTCACTATCACACAGTTGGGCACAGAGTTGCTCTCTGCTACCATCCAACTCCCACCTGGCAAAGGGGGAAGGGTGCATCTTAGGTTCAATCTCCAGCTGAGAAGAGGACTCCTGTCTAAAACCCCAGAGAATCACTGCTGGTCAGTATAGACAATATTATATATGTGCCACTTTGTGCATCTAATGAAGTGGGCTTTAGTCCACAAAAACTTCTACCATTTTTAAGGCACCACATAATTCTTCGTAGATTTTGCTGCAACAAATTAATACCAATACCCCTCTGTAAAAGTGTAGACAACAGTGAGCTAGAAGAATGTAGTGTTCAGCTCAATCTAAGGCAGCTTCCTATGAGGTATCTTGCCATATGAACGATCTCCATTTTAGCCCTTATCTTCTACCCCAGGCCACGTCTTCATTACTAAGCTTCATGTCCTCCACAACTTTTGTCTGTATGTAAGTTATCTGTGAGACAGATTTGGATCATGTCCACGGTTGGTAATCACACCAATTAAATTCTACCAGTGCTTTAAAATGATGCTTATGCAGGAGTAGTAGTTGCACAAGTACATGGATCAGGATGCGCAATCAAATGTGGACCCCGTGGAAAGCAATGCAATGTAGTTAAACAGCATCAAAGCTTGGCTGCTTGTTTCAATTTGTGCTTCGAGTGCGCATTTATGTCTGAGGCTCAAGATCCAGCAAGTTATGAGCAAAAGCCCAAAGCGGCCACTCATTCAAATGGATGGTCACCTGGAAGTAAGATCAAAGCATTCAATGGTGTTTACTTCCCAAGCAAATGTGTGAAAGGCTGCAGCCAAAGTACACCATTTTGTTATCTAAGGCACTAATTTCTGCACATTAGTGCCACATTTAATTAGGGTTAACAGGAGTTCAGAAAGGATCCACAATTTATAAATCCCCTGGAATATTTGGTGGTACAGAACTCTTTGAGTGGATTCTGACAAACTAGTTGTGTTGGTGCAAGGATTTTCTGATCGTGCAAATGGACTTACCCTCCTTCTCTTCTCCCTGCACACCCTCTGTGCCCTTCCCAAATCTGCTCTGGGTAATTGGGGCCCCCCAATAACAAATTTAAGGGATATTCAGGGGTGCAAGGAAAGAGGCGAGGGAGGAGACGTTCTGTTGCACACCCAAAATTCATTGACACTAATAGAACTACTTCATTGGACACCACCATTTATTTTTTAATTTACATTTTCTTTTCCTTCAATGAATACTTAGGGGCATCTCAGTAACTCTAAATCACATAATAAACATAAATTCATATTTCAAAGACGAAATATTTCCACCTTTATTGTGGCTCTTTCACCACAACCTCACCAGAGCACTTTACAAACAGCAGCTAATGATGTTTGCTTTGTTATAATCTGTCAGGGCAAGAGGAAGAAATCTGACATTCCTCTTGTTCCTCATTAAAATACACTACCACCCTGCAGTCCTGCCCGGACATTATCTAGTAGTACCATATATGTTTTGTGGATCTAATAGAAATAAGTGCATTTTGTTTGTCTCCCTCAGTAAAAGTCAGCACCAAATTCAGGAGCCAAAGGAACAGAAGTCATTGGAATGGAGAATATCACCATGTCAGTATCAAGAGAACACATGTACAATTTGTAAGTTACCAGAGTGGTAATCCCACCTCTCTGGGGCTGGATCCTGCAGGCTTCATTAACAATAAGCAAACAGATGGGGAAACCATATGGGATCATGTACCACCCCATATGCCAGGGTCCCCACCAGCACTGGCACTGGTAATATGTGAGATCCTAGCAATCCCATCATTTGTTTATCTAACAAGATTTGTATACAAGATTTGTATACCCACTAACCTTACATTGTTTACATAAAGTAATATAGGGTTTCATCCACCCCTGCCATTCCAGTCATATAACAGAACTTCCCTTTCTTCCCCTGAGGCCCGCACACCCTCAAGATCTGCTCCAGAGGGTTCTAGGACCCTCTCTGACATATTTTGGAGACAAGCAAGGAGAGGGTGATGAAGTCCCATTGTATGAGCAGAATGCCACTCACAGCGCATTAGATACAACCCACAAAGTATTGTTTTACAACATGATTCAACTAGCTAAATGCTACTGGAGTGGAATCTGGGCACACAGCAGTGATAACTATGCCATCCCAGGTAATGTATGGACTAAGGTATATTTATTTATTCGTAGGCGTATTTGCACCACCCTTCAAAGAAATCCCTAGCATGACACACAACAAAATCAAAATGCATTAAGATGAGCCAACCAAATAAAAACAGCATACTAAAAATAATATTCTCAAAGCAGGCGTGATTCTGGGGAGAGCATTTGGTAATCACTGTGTTGGTATTTAAACACCTAAGAAGGGGTTTTCCTCTGTTACCACCCACCACACCTTGGTAGAGCCTCTACTGAAGATTTTACTGCCTGGAGAAACAGATGGGTAAACCTTTTGCAAACTGACTTTTAGAGGGAGGAATGGCACAGTTTCACAAAATGAATAGCATGCCCTAAAGATATATGTAATGCCCCAGGGCATCTATATGCAATGAAGATATTCCTTAATAATTTTGTTATACTAAATCACAATGTGCAAGAGAAAGCAGTCCTGTCCATTCTATTCTTCTCTAGTGCATAGCTTAAAAAATAAATAAATCGCAGTCTGATGAGTAGATCAGAATGTATTACAAACGTGAAGATGAATGACCACTCTTATTTTAATACATGGCTATAGTACCAATAAGAGAAAAGAGAAATTAAAAGATTATCTAATGATATATTATCTAAAGGCTGGAACCTTTTATCAAAGTTTCCGATTTACATTTAGTCACAGGTATCTTAAAACCCCACTGCCAGTTCTTTTTTTGGCAACATAACCAGACAGGCCAGAAAAAGATTATATTCTCTCTGGGTTTAGAAGTCAAAAGGGAATGATAAGTAGTAACAGAGACTTGCAAATCAGTAAAAATCAACGCTTATGTAACACTGCATAATCATTCTTTTCTCCTGCTGCTCCCTCATGCATTTGATTAATGTATTGTACCATTGATTTGCACTGTTTGACATATCCCAGCTACATTTTGTATGCATAATTCCACAGATAAAGAAAAAGAAGTGAGAGTTTAATTAGAAAAACTGTCAGTTTTAAAGAATCAAAGATTTAAAACTTTCTGGATCACATCAGTCTTGATAAGCAGAAGGCAACTCACCAAAAACCCAAGTCACCTGCAAGCTAGCAACAGATCAAATTCACATTGCCAAGAACATATTTTTAATGATGTTAGTATATGTTTCAAGATTCATAAACTAATAGGGTATTTCAGGACAGTGGGATACTGAAAAGGTTTGCAAGTGGTTACAAAAGCTAATATAATTTATTCAGTTTACCAGGAAATTGGAAAATATCTACTGTATAAGATAAACAAAATATACTATTTAAATAATCACATGGTATCCAGAAAAGCAGTTCCGTTAGTACAAGGACCTCGGCTGTGCAATAGAATTACCCCTTGCTCTCCTCTCCCCACACATCCCTAAAACTGTTCTGGGTTTCCCCCAACTCTCAGGAGCAGCTTTTTGTGGGGGGTGTGGAAGGGAGAGGAGAGAGAAGGGAAGATCCATGGATCAAATGAAATTCCTTGCACTCACAGAACTACTTTACTGGATAGAACCTATGGAATCAGATTATACATCAATATTTAGCAAATTATATATCTACTTATCCCAATGATGTGTATATCATACTCCTTTTACGCACATGCCACATTTCCTCTTCGCCATATACTATGCTGTTCCATTAAGCCATTTCAGAACTACACCTTAATAACGAGGCATAGATGTGTGAACTCTCCTGGAGACCATTTATGGACTCCCATACTGCAGAAACTGCACAAAAATGCATTTCTGGTTTCAAGACCTAGTTTCAAGAACTGTGGCTTTGTATAAGAAAAAGCATCAGTAAGGACTGGCAAGCACAGGGGAGTTCTCATACTTCTCCAGGAAAAGTAGAAAGAAAAATTATAGAGTGGACTGTGCTTGTTATCTAGCACATTCTGTGGTAAGTGTAGAGGCTACTGTGCTCTCCTGTCATTCCCAATACTTTCTAGAAGATACTGGCATTTTTCAAACTGGTTCAATGGTCAGAGGATCCCACTAGAACTGCAGTGTTCAAGGTTCAAATCGCCACCTAGCCATAAAGTTTATATGGTGACTTTTGTGGGATGTGAAACACAGGAGCAGTCAATTACAACATTCCTAGAGTGTACATGTTCAGACATGGGGAGGGATGTTTGTCCAGCCAGCAGGTAAACTTCCTGTCTCCCTCTGAGCTGGGACAGACTTCCTCCGCATGTGACTAGAGGTGGGTGTGGCCTCACCTGTGCAGGTAATGATAAAAGCACAGGGCAGGGGCAGCCATCTCTCTCTTACCTCTCTTGCCTCTCTTCCATTGAACAAGCAACATCTACTAAGCTAAAGATGCCCTCTTGGCTCCCAGCCAGGAGAGGAGAAAGGGACTATCTTCTTATAAGATAGTCTTAGTGAAGTAATATACATTTGGATTCTAAGTCTGCCTTCTGGGATCTGATGTGAACAGAATGTGAGTAAACTCTTTTTATACTTTTGTAAAGGACTGTGTCGTGTCTTCTATTTTAAGAGGGAATAAGGGGAAATTACCAGAGTGATTATTATAGAGGCTTAAGCAAGCCTGAGCAAACGCTGCCGTTGCAAACTTAAAGGGGAATATTTTACTCTGCTGATATTGGAAACTTGTTAACACAAGTTGGATAAGGATATAATCTCACAATATATCCTCTCCTACATCCCTGAACATTCCCACAACTTTGAGCATAGTCCCCAATCCAACCTATTTCATTGCCCTGTGCTGGAAGGAAGGAAGGAAGGAATAATAAAACTGAATGAAGAAAATTTTAAAAATGAACTACTAAGAGCATCTTCTGCGTTTGTTTTAGTAATAAGGCCATCAAGGGAAGCCTGGAACATGTAATTCAATATTACATACGTTGGAGAGAGTCCACTGCTATTTCATTTTGCAAACAGGATGGCAGCAGCAAATAAATTCAATTCAAAGTACCACAAACTGGATCGTGCCAGAGGTGATGTATTTGGAAGCAGAGACAGGATACTAGCAAAGATTGTTAAAGAACCTATCGACAAACTGTATGTGCTGTTCCCACAGACAATTAAATTGCTCAAGCTGCTTTTTCAGCACAAAGAACCTATGAACATGCAGGCTGCAACCAGCTGTGATGAAGCTATCTCAAGTGCTGGCAAAGATGCTTCATTAATTTTCCAGGGATGTGAGAATAATGACAATCTTCCAGAAACATTACGACCACCGATGGCTGTTGTTGCTGCTTCCAGAATCCCAAAGCACATTTGTTTGCTGGGTTTTCTGGCATCCCAGATGAGTAAGAAACAGACCCTTAAGGAATCAACCTGGTGCTGTCAAGTACCACACTGTGGCGAAAGGATTGTAATCAGGAGTTTGTTCATAGTTTTCATAAAGTGAAACTGTAACCTGTATTCAGAAATGCTGTTCTGTTTGATACTCAGGGCAGAGAACAAATTCAGCTTCTCAGAAATAGATACTCTGATGAAGAAATCCCCCAGTGAACAACCACAACACAAGATTGTGGCCACACTGTGCACTGAAACCATGCAGTCCTAAGATCTATTGATGTACTCCATACATTTTTTTGTCCTGGACTCAGGTGAAAAGTCCTCAGATGCAGAGACAGATTCACCCACCAAACCTTTCCATGTGGATCTCCTGTCTCCATCTCCTCACTTGAACCTGAGGAGGCACCTAAGCTGCTAGACTCTTATGACTGGACCATAAACTCTTCAGAGAAAATACCCAAGGAAGCCCTCAAAGTAGTGCACACAGCTTGAAACCAGGTTGCTTGGAAGAAGCCAATGGCTGCAGAACAAAGTACTGGTCTGTTAACTTGCCAGATTCAACACTCAAGGGATGGGACTTTAATCTTCACTACCTAAAGGTAAAGGTACCCCTGCCCATACGGGCCAGTCTTGACAGACTCTAGGGTTGTGCGCTCATCTCACTCTAGAGGCCGGGAGCCAGCGCTGTCCACAGACACTTCCGGGTCACGTGGCCAGCGTGACGAAGCTGCTCTTGGCGAACCGGCACTAGAGCAGCACACGGAAACGCCGTTTACCTTCCCGCTATAAAGCGGTACCTATTTATCTACTTGCACTTAAGGGTGCTTTCGAACTGCAGGAGCTGGGACCGAACAACGGGAGCTCACCCTGCCGTGGGGATTCGAACCACCGACCATGCGATCGGCAAGTTCTAGGCACTGAGGTTTTACCCACAGCGCCACCCGCGTCCCTTCACTACCTAGCCAGGGCTAAAAAGCTCTGATAGTTGTTCCAGGACAATGTTGAGACGACAAGACTGCCAGTCACGATCCTGAATCTGAATCAGCACCTTGGTCCATACTATTTCAGAGCCATGCTTTAAGAAAGTATTCATCTGATAGATATGGTCAAGGAAAACACATCTAAAATCCAAAGCTCAGAGGGAAACCAGCAAAAGTACATTCTGCAACTTGAACACACAGGAAATAGAAAGCCTCTGTTCACAGAAGAAATGCAAAGTCAAATGTATTCAAGAACTCTGTGCAAAACTCCCATCCTCCAGTACAATCCAGAAGGCTGAATTAGCAACATATACAAGTTGGATGGCAAAAATATAGATACCACAAACAGGACCATGTATCAAGGTAAACTACTTCAAAATGTTTTTATTATTATTAATTATTATTATTATTATTATTATTATTATTGCAAATTTCTGTGCATAATTTTTTATAGTCCTGTTGATTATTAATTAATTTGCATTGTATTATTACACTGTAGCTTCATATCTCAAAAAAACTTGTGTTTGGTTGCTGTCTTTGACTCTGCCATGTAAACAGCTCCTGGTATGCAGTGCTCTGCTCTGACTTTTTACTTTTCAGTTCTTCAACATCTGGATTTAATTCTTTCATGCAGGTCTCGGTCTGTAGCTACCAATGACCCATCATTACACTTAGTCCTTATCATTTAATCAGATATAGTGTTCCAGGCCTTCACCTTTATATAAGGACATTCATCTCAAAGCCAAGTCTTCAGCCTTGCCTTCAGTCCTACTTATGATATTCCATAGTCTCTTGGGAGGTGGAGGTTAAAATAAAAATTCTAGCTGCTGTGGCTCTCCTGTAAGGGCAAACTTTAATCCTTGGGGATAAGTACAACAGGAATCAGGGGCGGGGGGTTAGGAGAAAAGAGCATGGATGCCCAGGAAAACCTATTATCCCTGAGAGGCAGTTTATTAACTCTTTTACTCACATGTCCCCAACAACAGTAAAATATTGAGGAAGTGTGATATTAACCCAAATGAAGCATTGTATTTTGGAAAGCACATGTATCCACATGCAAAGGAACTTGCAGTGAACATTTGATAAATTATAAATAGATTGTCCTGAACAGACTTAGGAGCCTGAGGGCTATTGTTTTTCCCTTTTCATAAGCACCAAGCCATGATGATGGGATGTGACATCCTTGCAATGTTCACTTCTCACTGCATGATCCTAAAAACAAATTGTTTACAACAAAGGGATGACAATATTACTGTATCCTACATACAGATGTGCGTGGCAGAGAAAACTAATAAGAAGATTACACTGAGTCAGAATTTCCAATTTTAAGAACAATTGACACTTTGGTGGGGTGGGGGATGTGTACTGTGTGAAAACCACATCAAAAAAAAGCCCCATCTGCAAATCTCCTGACTTTCATCATCCCCAATATGGAAGATAAAGAAAATGTGAAAACAATTTCTCTCTGTGCTCTAAGCTGAACATTTCAGTTCAAACTTTGCTTTTTCTTCACACTTCAGCTGCCTCAGACTACATCTCTTTAATACTCAGGAAGACAGTTCCCTGAATCAATAAGCAACGGTACATGAGACACAAAAATCTCTGTTTTTAAAGATATGTTGGTCCAGGAGGGAGGGGGGACCTAACAAACTACAAAAGAGACAGCTCGTGTTTGTGGCACAAAAACGCCCAAAAATAGAATAAACGAAAGCTGACAACTATTAGCATGTGATTCTCAAAGGTATTCAGGGTAACCTGAATTAAGATCCCACAGAGATCCAGAACTGAGGCAATATTAAAGGCCATTCCAGAATATTAAAGGCCATTCTACACATTATGGGCCAGTAAACCCGTGTTTGTTCTTAAGCACATACTTGACCAAGAGCTGTAGCCAACACTGGCTCTCCAATGCATGATTCCAAATGCTATATGGATTTTCAGATATGTGTACAATTAAAAACATAAGCAGTCCCCGTTATATTAACCACATGTGAAATGATCAGAGCTACTGATAGATACAACAAATGCTGAAAACGAAGGGGGGAAATCAAACGTCATTTCCCCACCACCATCTCTTTTTTTTAATATAACCAGTAAGTAAGAATAGTTTTGTGTTTGTGTACAACATACATGTAGAATGTAAAAATGGCATCCTACCCTGCTCAAATATGGTTTAAAGTTCCTACACAATTACAGGCTCCACATCAGAAAATCTTCTGAGGCCAATATTTACAAATTCTTTCAATGTCTTATCGTGATCTTTATACATTTATACTCTTATTAATACCTATAGCACCCTTTAAACATTCATTTGTAGCACCTTTTATGCATTTATACACAGTGCCCTTTATGTTTACTTGCTTACTCTGATGTAACAGTCAAACAAAGACAGCTCTTAATATTTATTACCTTTAAATAAACTATTTGTTTTTAAATATGAACTCGAATACATACAGCAGGCACGTCCAACAGGTAGATCGTGATCTACCGTTAGATCACTGGACGTCTGTGGTAGATCACTGGCTCCCTCCAAAGAAGCTCATCAACTTTGGCTGCCCTAACAAAAGCTCATTTTTTGCCCTGCACCCCCCAAAAATGGGGCTTTCCTTCTCCCTAAAAAAAGCTCAACAACAACTTTGATCTGAATGCCTAAAAAACAGGCCTTCCTCCTCCCCCAAAAAATCTCAACAACTTTGACCTGAACCCCCAAAAAGGGGGTAGATCACTGCCAGTTTTTAACTCTGTAAGCAGATCACAGTCTCTTGGGAGGTGGCCACCCCAGACATACAGTAACTATACTCATTGCCACCTATTAAAACTTTAAATCTTTCCAAACGTTGCTTTTCTTTTTAGCAGATTGCTACTTCCTGTTTCCTGACTGTCTTTCTAAAACAATAAAAAGGACCTATGGCAGGTGCTTGTGCTTACCACAGCTGTTTTCTCTGTTGTACTAGACCCGTAAACATAACAATAACCAGCCCGCCCCACCTTTCAGTGATATAAAGCAGCTGGTCAAACTAAGGCCATTAAGCATGAAGTGCACTGAACTATAACAGCACATAAACTGGCACCAAGCTGAGCAACATTCTGGGGCTCTCCAAATATTCATTTGGGCAGCCATGTCCCAACAGTCATGCACAATATTCTGATTTTATTGCATTTCATTGATACAAACTTATCACTTCTGTAGCATAAACTGTGGCTGCTGTACAAAAATGACTCCTCTATCTTCAGATATTAAGGGTAATATTCTTCTCTTTCTACTGTTGATGCCGCCACCACCATTCTTCCATTGTTTCCCTATGTCCATTTTAGACTGTAAGCCTTGTAGGGTAACTACTTATGCAGGGAGACTGAACTTTTGTTCATATAAATCAGGGGTGTCCAACATCCAAGAGACTGCGATCTACTCCCACTCAACAAGAGTTGTTGAGCTTTTCTTCTTCTTTAATCGCGTGATCACGCAATCAACCGGTTAAACAGGCCTGATATAAATCAACTGACTTTCTCTCAAAAAGTAGGCAAAGGGTTTTATTATTTCAGCAGTAGGAATCGAAATAAATCTCAAATTCATTTTCAGTTGTCAGTGACCATTATCTTGGAAGAGAGAACACCTTCACAACATTTCCTCAATTTTCCACATGCCACTATTTGTGTGTGCCAGTGGAGAAGATATGATTATTCCTTCATTAGTCATCACCATGGATCACTAATGATAGTACGGTCACATAACAAAGCATCCCAAACAAACTCGCCAATAATAGTACCATTTTTGCATGAGATGTGCAGTACAAGCCAATAATCAAGAAAGACAGTACTTGGTAGTGAAACAACACTTTATCATCATCATCATCATCATCATCATCATCTAGACTTCTTAGTCACTTGTTACCCAATGGTCTCCAAGTGACTTGCAACACATTTAAAAACAAACATCAATAAATACCATTAAGAAATGCATACGCATCACCTACAATCCATACACACTGAGACACCTCACAAAAACCGCAGCAGGTATGTATTAGGAGCATCTAATATAGACATTTTAAAACATAATATTTATCCTGTTGTAGAGTGGCTAATTCACTTAAACATGTCTTATATGAGAAGCTCATGTAAGAGCTTAATACATTTATGCTTCTAGGTGTGGACCAATAGGATTTAGATAGCGAGCTGTATACAACTATGTTTTACTAAAATAGACCCACTGAAATTAATAGACCTAACTTAGTCATGTTCAATAATTTCAATGGTTCTACACTGAAAAAGCAATAGAGTTTAGTGCTCACATTACTCTGCAGATTACCCAGCACATCAGGGATGGAAAATATCTGTGGCCCTCCAGATACCGTTGGATTCCAACTCCCATCAGCTTCAGCCAGCATGGCGCATGTTGGAGGATTATGGGAGTTGTAGTTAAGCAAAACCTGGAAAGCCACAGGTCCCCCATCCTTACTTTACAGCAAGTTCAGGCTTCCTTGACATAAACATATTTAATGGCTTAAATATAAGAAATGAATTTAACACTGCAGGATTTCTATAGACTGCAAGCATGGCAAAATGTCTTAACATTCAATCTGTGCTGCTACCTAACTTCACTCACTTCAATGGGACTCTAGCAAAAGCCCTATTAAAACCAACAGGGGCTGCTGATGTGATCCCACCACATACAAAGATATTGCTATGATATGTAATGATAGACAGAAATTAGTGTTGCTTCACTGCATAGCTTCATAAATGTTCTCACAAATATATTTGCTGTTAATAAAGAAGGTGACAAAAATAACAATATTTATCTTGTGGTCAGTGTCTTTAGATGCAAGTAGGTATGTAACCATAGCTACATTCACTCGAAATCTGTGGTTAAAATGTTTCCTTTACTAGTTCTCAAAAGTTGTCTCCCTCCTCTTAAGACACCCATGTTATGCAAAAAATCTGGCAGTTTTGGAGAAAACATAACTACTCTTAGACAAAGCTGGACTTATTGTTGCAAGCACAGAAATGCAGTTAAAAGAAAGCCAGTTAAATATGCAGAACTGCAGAGGAAAAATTAGAATGGCTCAAAATACACCATCCCATTTTGAACTCCACCTGGTCAGAATGTGTGTGCCCCTGTCCAAAAATAAAAATAAAAATATTCCAAGTAACTCATGGGGCTTTTTAACGGCTCAGCATAAGTTTTTTTTTCTTCCCTGGGGGTCAAAATATCGACCAGGGGTATCAACCAGCAGGATGCCAAAATCTGAATGCCAAAATTGGTACCTACTTAAAAGATTAAAGATGGTGTGAGCTACCCCTACAACATGTATTATTGGGCAGCCATTCAAACAGAGTTAAATCAATCAATCAATACATGTGGGGAATGTAAAGGTTTAAATGTGGGGAATGTAAAGGTTTAAAAGGAGAGGCTTCATGTTTCAAAGCCCCACTGAACATTTGGATGCATGAGAGCTGAGCTGTGGGGGCAGTCTGCCATATAAACTTCCTCAAGTTCTCTTCATCCTATAATGTCAGGGGTAGTCCACACAGCGTATTCTAGAAGCCGTTGAATTATATCAACTTCCCTCAGCCGCAGGAGTATGACAAATGGCATGGGATGAAGGCACCTAGAGTCCAAGAGCATTGTAAGGTACCACACTGGATAACCTTGATATATACCTCTACAGCAGAAATATTACTTACTCCTCCCATTGCAAGAAATTCCTCCCACTCTACAAAGAATGTGGCAATGGCTTGGATTCAGACTTAGGCAATAAAATCAATTAAGCTAGTCAGGACTAAATTGCCTCACTGATTTCATTGAGTCTCTTATCATGACCAGGTCTGGTTCCAAATCAACATGTGTGCTTTTGTGTTAACCTACCTGACTTCTTCTGACAATACTCACGGCTTACCAGTGAATACCTTGACCCACAATACAATGTTTTCTGTTCTTATTTAATAGAATAATTAATGTTCAGTGTTGTGTCCAAATATAAGGAAAAGGGAAAGAGGAATGGACCACAATATGAAAGAAGCTTCTTCATCCTGCTAAACAAAGATGGGAGTATCTGCTGCTATGTTATGGCAATGCTTTGCATAAGCTGCAGTATCTGTGAAGCACAACCCATATGATGCAGAAGAGGGTGGGTTTTTTTCCTGCACACACAGTACACGCACAAAAGAAGCAGTTTCCCTAGCAACCAAGCCGCAGTGAAATTTATCAGGACAGCTCCTCACCCTCTACATATTATTGGATAACATTGTATGGATCAGCTGACACCTAGTGTCTGGTCTGAATGCTGCTGCATGAAACCATTTCCTAGGCACACTGTAGCAGGCAATGAGAATATTTTCCTCTTTCAGGACGACATATACTAATAATCATTAACACTCTCTCTCACCCACGCACCCACACACCACTGCCATCCATTTCTAAAAGCAGCAAATACCATTCCTTCATTTTCACTTCTAGTCGGGTAAAATTTATTTAAAAATAGGTTGAAAATGAAAGAAAGATAATGAAACTATAACAAACATTCTAGAAGCAACGGATGCTACGGCAACATATGCTGAACTACTTTACAGCCATGTTTGTTTTGAAAAAATGGTACTATCCTGGGGCTGGCATTCAGCTTTCATCCCTGCTAGCACAGCATCCCCTGCACAGAGTTCTGTTGATGGAAGGAGGGGCTGGATTTTACCTGCACCCCCTTGTGCTCTCTGCAAATCCAGTGTAGGAGGTGATGCTGAGTTCTGCAAGTGGGGAAAGGGGGAATTGGCAAGAGCCACTTTCCATCCTCTCCACCAGTGAGATACCTCCATTGGATCAAAAGCTTCCATGTTACTGACTTCGGCCATTGATGCCAACATGTTGGGAGGAGGAGGTGTCATAGACAGAGTGATGCTAGGGTGAGGGAGCTGAGTGTACTCGGAGTTGTGCCTCAGAACAGGCTTGTTGGAGGCACCACTCCTTTTGTAGGCAGACAGGTGGCACTGTGGTCTAAACCACTGAGCCTCTTGGGCTTGCTGATCAGAAGGTTGGCAGTTCAAATCCCCGTGATGGGGTGAGTTTCCATTGCTCTGCCAGCCTAGCAGTTCAGAAGCATGCCAGTGCAAGTAGATAAATAGGTACCACTGCAGCGGGAAAGTAAACGGAGTTTCCTTACACTCTGGTTTCCATCACAGTGTTTCGTTGCACCAGATGCAGTTTAGTCATGCTGGCCACATGACCTGGAATCAGTGCCGGATTTACATATAAGCTAAACAAACTATAGCTTAGGGCCCCACTCTCTTGGGGGACCCAAAAAAATTAAAGGGGGGGGACTGGATGTACATTTCCAAAATGTGAGATAAAAAAACAAATAAAATAAAACCTACATACAGCAACAGTGTTTTGTGTTGTGTAGGCTCCTATGATGTAAGTAATGGGCCCCACCTGCTAGCCAGCACCCTAAAATATCCCATATACAGGGCCCCATTACCTTCAGTAGCTTAGGGCTTCATCAAACCTAAATCCAGCCCTGCCTGGAATGCTGTCTGTGGACAAACGCCAGCTCCCTTGGCCTGAAAGCGAGATGAGAGCCACAACTCCATAGCCACCTTTGACTGGACTTAACTGTCCAGGGGTCCTTTACCTTTTACCCTTCTGAAGACTTCAGCTGCATGCATTAATGTCACGGTCTGGTTCACCAGCGATTGAAATCCTGGCAGGGGACGTCAGGACCAGGGGCAAGATGGTGGGGTGGGAGCTGGAACGGGGGTCCAGAAGCCAGGATTCAGGAAGCCGAGGGTCCGAGGGTCAGGAAGCAAGAGTCACAAAGTCAGGGGTCCGAGGATCAAGAAGCAAGGAGTCAAGGGTCTAAGGATCAAGAAGCAGGGAGTCAAGAAGCCAAGGTTCAAGGATCAGGAAGCAAGAAGCCAAACACAGCTAGGCAGGAAGCGTGTCACTGTGGCAAAGAGCTGAAGGGAAATGCTGACCTTATAACCCTTCCCGGCTCTTGCCACCAGGTGCTGTGAGTTACCAATCGGCCTCACCTGTGAGGTCGTGCCTTGCCTCTTCAGAACAAACTTAGGAAGGCCCCAGTCCTGCAAAGTCCTATTGGTCACAGGGCCTGGCTCCTGCACACACACCTGACAATTAACACAATGGAGGAGGGAATACTAGACACAGGTGGGGGGAGGGAGGCAGGGGCTGAGGACAGAGCTGGAAGCTCACCTCAAACCAGGTTTGCTGGAGGCACTGCCACTACTCCTCCGTCCCTTTCCTTCATGATAGTTCCTCAGCACAGGCTCCATGGAAAAGGGGCAGCAGTGGCAGAGCCTGGGGGCCTCTCATGCCATTTCCACACTGTGAGAGCAGCTGCCTCATGCTGCTGGTGTGGCGCTAGTGAGCAAGTGCCTCACAGAAAGAGTAGAGAGCACCATCATTTATGACATGGTGCCCTCTACTCTACTGTGCCCCCAGAGAAAGTATGAGAAAATGGTTAAGCGACTTGCCTGAACCCTAGCAATTACATTTGTTTCATAGAATCATAAAATTGTAGAGTTGGAAGGGGCACCATGGATCATCTAGTCTGACCCTCTGCAATGTAGGAATCACAACAAAAGCAGACCTGGATTCAGTTCCCTGTTACTGTAACATGGCATAAGTCACTTATATAAATCTATATTTAGCTACTTCAGGAGACTTGACGGTAGTTTTTGAATCCAAGCAAAAATAGCTATTGTGCCTATTTTGTGCTGAAAAGTATATTCAGAATATATGTGTGTGTCAAGGCAGAAATAGCAAGAAAAAGCTGATCACTTACAAACACTTCCTTTCCCTATAACCAGTACTTGAGCAAGACAAGTAGAGAAACAGATGGGAAGCACATTTACTTTCATCTATTTAATCCCGCCATGGCCATGCCATTTCATATCTGGCTTCTGTGCTTCCAATAGTACAAGCCGTGAGACCACTGTGACCCCAATCTATACTGAAGAATGCAGTATGCTGGGAAGAGACAGGAAATTGGGGGGGGGGGTTTCAATACATTGAAAATTAATGCTGAAGAGCATGAAATAAGCATTTCTTTCCAGGAAGAGAGAATGGCACAACTTAATGGAAAGAAGCTAAGCACTGACACAGCACATCAGAACAGAAAACTGCTAAAGCTTTCAACTTCAATGCAAAATAGCTATCACAACCCCCCGCCAAAGATATTTTCTTTAATTAGCTTCGGTTAAGGAAAAAGTAATAGCCTCCCCAGTTTTCCTTTACTTTTTTTAAAAGGACTGTGAACAATAGTTTTAGATTTAAAATTCAGTAGAGCTAACATAGCCTTTCTTACAAATGGAATCATTTTTAAAAGAAAAAAAGGTTTAAAAGTATACAATTACAAATCTGATTTCTCATTACAGAGAGAACAGCTATATATTGTGATAATATACTGGAATGATAAATCAGTCCAAATGCCACAACATTTGTATTCTACCGTCTTAGAGCTTCAGAGGTCAAGAGTTCTCTGGACAACAAGGATTGTGTCACAGAGGGCTACAATGGGAAGGAAGAATCATCCAAAACTGGACAGAAAAACCTTGAATGTGGGGGGTATAAAAAGTGTAAAAAAATTCTTAGTTAAAGTGTTCTTCCTCTCTTGTGTATCCTGTTGCCTGCCTCTGGAAATGTATTCAACTGATTATTGTCTACTGAATCCATACAGAAGGGTACAAGTTGCATTCTCTGCATAATTCACATTTTCCTAGTTGAACATCTGGATTAAGCTTTTCATGATATATTCATGTAGCAATTGGAGATAAGCAAAGTAATCCAAACCACTATGCTGAAGGGAGTCTGGGTGGAATGGAGATCTCTCTTCATGCAGTCAAGGAAGATCTACATGTCTGAAATTTGTTGGGGTTCATCTCTTCCTGAGGGGCTACCATGTTTCCAAATTTCATGCAACTCCATATAAAAATATGGCCATTTTGGTTTCCCAATGCAAGTCAATGGGAGGACCAAAATTTCAGATGTCCTGAGGTCCAAATTGATCCAATCCAAATCAGGGCTTGAATCACTGAATCAGATCCAAACCAAAGCAGAGGTGGTGGTGGTTGCACAGCCCTAATTACCAGTATAAAATATTCTTCTTTTCAAAGTATTTATGTACAAATTTACATGGGCTTCATTAATCTTGGTCTTCATGGTTCTACATGCAAATTTTTCATTGGTAAACAAATTCATATGCTCAACAGACATGACTACAATCACTGGCAATAAAACCGAGCTACATCATGAGCTACGAGACTTATGTTTTGGTCTGCTCTTGGCAGCTTTCTCCTTCTATACTTTGTAAGACAGTGCCATACTGTGGACAGTCCCATTCCTTTGCTGTTTTGCTCTGCAGTCTCTGCAGGTACAGTAGGCATGTTTTCTGACCCAGTTTCCTCACCAATCTCTACTTAGCTGTACACTGTTAGTGACGCTCCTGGCATGCCAACCAGATACTGCAGCCTGCAGTGCAGTTTGTTACAGCACGTTCACAGTTCCTACTTAAAAAACAACAACAGTGGAAAAGTACCGTTATCAACTAAGCCTAATTAAACTGAAGCCACTTTCATATATGTGCCTGGCACACTTACATATGCTAATTTGTGAATGCTTGTGTATCCTCAACAAGCAGAAAAAATACATTTTTTAGCTGTGTGTGTGTGTGTGTGTGTGTGTGTGTGTGTCAGAAAGGGAGGGAGGGAGAGAATTCCAATTTTCTCGTACGGTCATGGTTTGGGAAAGAAAGCTCATAAAACTATTAGCTTAAGCATGTCTTTTTATCAGTTACTGAGATACGGAACTCACTACATGAGAGACCTTGCTCAATTTGTCTTACTTTCATTTATCCAGCACTACAAACAAGCAGTTTGTAAAATCAGGTACAATAATACAGCGGAAGCACAAACACATGTACAGTCAAACCTCAGTTGTGGAACGTAATCCGTTCCTGAAGACTGTTCAACTTCCAAAACATTCAACAGCCACAAACTCAAAATGGAAGCCGCGTAGCACGTCCGGCTTCCGAAAATCATTAAAAAACTGGAGCAGTTACTTCCGGGTTTCCGACGCTCGGGAACCAAAACGTTCCAAAACGGAGGCATTCGGGAACCGAGGTATGACTATAATATGCACACATAATTGAGGGCACAGCCTTCCCCAGCAGATTTGGGCTAATGTCCAACTCATGAGGCTATTCTGACACTTACTCCTCAGCATGCTATGCTAAAATATAGTAACTACTGGAAATTAACTATTCAAAAGTTGTTAGCTGCCATGCTGAGAATATATCATCTTGAATCCGGGCCAAGCAGACACAATTTTTGGAGGATCAAGACATCATGAATACATAAAATTAAGATTTGTTTGAACAACACTTGATATAAAACAGTAGTGGATGGTGTGATGGGCCACTGATCCTCACGTGACTTTTGGTCAGTCATGTTGCTGCTGCTTACCAAGAGGTAGAGCAGCAAGGAATCTGGTGGTAAATATATGTTTTGGAAGAGGATATATTTCAGTAAGCCCATTACAAGATTTGCTTCCCGATAACCCAGTCCCATGGATCCTCATGGAACATCCTCTCAGAGTAATCTTCTTACGATGACAGCCTCAACTGCATCAGGGGCTACTGGGAGATTAAGTTCCTTTCTCACCTTTTATTCTGGTCAGGCTGGAGACAGCAAATGAACTGGTTGCTGTGGAAGTGCAACACAAGGCAACTTCTCTCTTTTCCTTTCTCTGCTCCCAGCTCCATTATTCTCTAAAAACACACACCTTGGCAATTTCTGGGTAAACCTAGAAAGCGGGGTGTTCAAAATTTTCAGGATCACACCCTGAAGAAACGTGCACCCTCAGATTATTGCTTGGAACCAGAAAACAAATGGGTAGGAGAAACAGTATCTGCCATAGACAATTTTGAGGGAGAAGTTTTACATGAATGTATTCATTTTCATGAGCATCAAAGAGCCTGCTTCCTAATAGTTTGGAAGGGGTAAAATCTTCTTTGGGTTAAATAAGGAGTGTGGGTACAGGGAAAGTAGTTGAAGTGCAAACTTCAGGTCATGCAGAAGGAGAACCCATGTGAAAATTTGGCTTTCTTCTTATGATAGTTGATAGTGGAATTTTACAAAAAGTAGTATTAGAAATTGGTGCAACCAACACTTCACGGAAGACAGGTTCCATGGAAGCAGTTGCTGTTGGAGAGACAGAATACCCCATCTCTCCTAGCCCCCAAGAGTCTAGAAATTTATTTTCAAGCTAAACAGCCTTTGTGAGCTTATTTAAAAGGTTAATATAAAATAAATTATTCAGAGAAGACTCCACACAGTAAAACAGGATAATAAAACTGCATATCCATAAGAATGTCAAACACATTTACATTTATAGTAGAAACACAAACAGTAAGTGAATCATTATTATTATATACAACTATCAGACACTGATCTGACCCAACAGTGAACCTCATCTTCAGAGGGAAAAGATAATCCAGTACAGCATGCCTTATGCCTGAACAAATGATACATATCACACGCTGCAGATCTTTGTTTAAAATAAGATGTGGTGTTTTTCAACATGTTGGGCAAAATAAATCTTCTCTTCTGCAAGAGCTCTTCCATAAAGAATAGCTCCGACTCTTATGACTCACTGAGTTTTAGAGTTTCCACTCAAAGTTAAAGCCAAATGTGTGAACAACATATATTCTATCACAGTCCTTTTAACTTCAGGTAACAGACTAAATAAATTATGCTCAGGAATTGAAATTATCTCAAATGGTAAGAATCATTTCCCTAAGTTACTCAAACATCCCCTAACTGCATCCTTTAAAAAGTTGTAGAAAAAAGTCATCAGAAAGTCACCATGGATACACATTTCTCTAATGCAGGCATCCTCAAACTCGGCCCTCCAGCTGTTTTGGGACTACAACTCCCATCATCTCTAGCTAACAGGACCAGTGGTCAGGGATGGTGGGAATTGTAGTCCCAAAACAGCTGGAGGGCTGAGTTTGGGGATGCCTGCTCTAATGTGTGATTGATCAGATATGAATACAAGGTATGCATGTAGACAAAGTTTCAGATAAAACTCATCTGTTGTTCTCAGGGTCTCACATCAGAGTAGACACACATTCTAAACATGGGCCTGAAGATATTTTCCAGTTTTCCAGGATTCTTCCAATGACAAGAACACTAATAATAATGTGATGTTACCTAAGGCCTGTATTTTCACTTACCAAACTGTCTACAGTGGTACCTCTGGTTAAGAACTTAATTCGTTCCGGAAGTCCGTTCTTAACCTAAAACTGTTCTTAACCTGAAGCACCACTTTAGCTAATGGGGCCTTCCGCTGCCGCCACGCCACGACTGCACGATTTCTGTTCTCATCCTGAAGCAAAGTTCTTAACCTGAGGTACTATTTCTGGGTTAGCAGAGTCTGTAACCTGAAGCGTCTGTAACCCGAGGTACAGCGCTACCCACAGCATACCCAATTCATACCCTGGATTTCATTTCCAAACACCTTGAGGAATTCGACAATGTGATCCAATTCCCCCAAATGATTTCTAGTAGACGTGGGAAGGAATCCACTCAGCAGATGGTGTCACCTCCTCAGGCAAAGTGGACAGCAATTGTGGAAATACAGCGAATGGCCAATTCTGAGCCATCTGGCATGACTAAAATAAAGGCAGTGCCAAGAAAGTGGCCCGATAAACAAAAGAAAGGTCTTTCGCTGGGAAACAGCACTTCTGCCATCTGAATAAAATAGATACACCAATAATAACTTCAATAAGAAAAGTGAAAGCCTTGTCTGATAAGGAAAAAAAATGCAGCTCTTGTGAGAATGATTGAATTAACCTCTTCTAAAGGGATGCAAGTAAATCAACATAATAAATTCATGGGGAAATGGTATTTTTCTTGATGTATTGGAATAGTCAATATAACACTGAAGTACAACCATGTGCTGTTTTCAGTTTATTGCAAGTTTACTTTGTTATTTGAAATTTTGTACTTTTGAAATACTGTAAAGTTTTAGAACTACTTTTAAAAATTCAACTGTTTTTTGGTTGTACAGAATTCGGACAAGATTGTCCCGTAGTACACTCATGGCATCCTGCTCTTAACACTTCCATTTTCAGAGATCAAACAAGAAAATGTGTCCACCATTTATTTATATTTATATTTATATTAAGCCAATAACAATGCTGTTTTGTCTGCTGTTATAAATGCATGGATGGTTGTTAAATGTGTTATTTTAACTACAATGGTACCTCGGGTTAAGAACTTAATTCGTTCCGGAGGTCCATTCTTAACCTGAAACTGTTCTTAACCTGAAGCACCACTTTAGCTAATGGGGCCTCCTGCTGCCGCAGCGCTGCCAGAGCAAAATTTTTGTTTTCATCCTGAAGCAAAGTTCTTAACCCGAGGTACTATTTCTGGGTTAGCGGAGTCTGTAACCTGAAGCATCTGTAACCTGAAGCATCTGTAACCCAAGGTACCACTATATGTGGTTTCAATGTGCTTTTAATTTTAGCTACTTTGGGGGCCCCAGCTGGGGCTGAAAGGCAGCAGAAAAAAATGAAAAGATGAATCAATATTTGAAAGCTACAGCTGATACAGAATGCAACAGCTTTCCTTGATCATGAGGGTTGGACAGCAACAGCATATTATACTAGTCGTCTCACCTGGGCACCCTGCAATCTTTCAGGCACAGCAGACAGTGTTAGTTTTGACTTTCAACACCTAAAAAAAGCTTTGATGCTAACATGTATTATTCCCTTTATTTCATGATGATCTCCAAGTTCAACCTGAATTCCCTCCTGACCAGCTTTATTTACATTCCACAACTTGTTATGTTGGCAACTGTATGTGCAAAGCACATCCGCATTCTTCTGTTGGCACCTTGCTTATCAACTGTAGAACTTGTACCATCTTTCTGTACTGTTTATGGAATCTTAAATGGGTTTTTTTTAAAAATGGTTTTAAAAGAAGATCCAAGTGCCTCTGTGTTAAAACGAGTCACACTAGAGAAATGGATAGTAAAGAGTGTTCAAAAGTAGGAGCATATTGTGCTCAAAAATCTTCATATTAATTCTTTTTTCTCCATTTTCTTTCCAGTGTCACAGAGTTAGCAACGTGCAAGCTGGAAAAGTACGGCCACCTTGCAAACACCAGTTCTGCAATTTCAATGGACAACGTGTTGTTAACATTGCTTTGACATACATACAACCACATTCTGATCATCACTATTGAACTGCAGAACATGAATTTTAAGCAAGTAACCATATTGGGGAAAGGGGATAAATCCATTCATTTTAGTTTATCGTGTTGGTAGAAAAGAATATTTGCTAAATACTCATTTCTTTATCTCTCGGGAACAAAGCGTGATTGGGAGAGGGGATCTATGTTGTTTTTGAGGATGAGAAAAAGAGGGGTATGGATTTCATTTCATCTATTTTTAGTGCAAGCTGAACTAGTGCATCAGAACTAAATGAAATGAAAAATTACCATTGGATTTAAAGATGCCGTATGTCAAAACTATTATTACTATTATTATTTATTTTAAAAACCCATCTTGGAGACATTTTTCTTATGCTCCAATGATTCTTAAATACTGCTACAGATTGGCTTGCTGAGATAGGATCAATAATAATGTAGCCTAGGAGAAATAGTTGAATCAAAATAACTTCCCCAAATCCTGATAGACACTTCCAAAGAACACATTAATGACACCACTCCTCCAAAGGCAGACATGTTATCTTTAAATAGTTTCCCTCATTTACCACTTTTAACTTTTTTTGCCTGATGCAAAACCAGAATGTTAGCAAATACCTGTTGATGGTGATGCTTGTTTATTGTTGTTCTTTCAGTTTATTATCCACCCTTCACCATAAGATCCCAGAGCAGGTTACAACAATTTAAAACAAAGTACTGTCAGAAGAATAGGGTATATATACCTTAGTAGCCCACCTGCTGTTGATCAACAGAACATTGTAAGGTCATAGGACAATATCAATTGCTTAACTATGTTCTGTCAAAGACTGCAGGGCTTCAAGCAGGAAACCTCATTGTCAGAGACTTATCCCCATACCACTTGTTCTATTCAAATACTGACAGCAAATACAAATGTGATCACTTTTAGATGAACTTGACTGAGGGCTGATTATTTTTATTCACACACGAAGGACAGGGTCTCACCTAGAACATTGCCACTAATTTTGATAAATATATTGCCAACCTAGGCCCCCATTAAGATCTGCATGGTGTGATTAATTAATTCAAAATTTCATCCATGGGTTGTATGAGTGGAGTTCCACTCACATAACTGGAAAGTTGTTTCTACTCTTCCCTCTTTATGTCCCCATAATCTGCTACAGTGGGCCCCCAAACCAGCTGGAGCTAATTTGGAGGGCACATGGGAGGCTGGAGGGAACAGGAGAGAAAGAGGAGGCACTGGTGCGGACACAGGAATTTGTTAAGAGAGTGAAGCTGCAGCACTGCATACAACCCCGTGGACCAGCCTCTCCCACTCAGATATTGTTGCAGATAAAGGTACTCTCTCCTTTTTATCTTCCTCTCTTCTCCAGGGACCTGTGAGTATTATTAACTTGCTTTTATCTTGCCACATCCACTTTTAGATACCAATACTGTGTTTTTTCTAAGTGGTTTTTGTTAGTGCACTTTGAACCTAAAATATCATTCCAGAACAGTTCATTCACAAACATGCACACCAAAATCCCTGTTCAGTCATGTCATTCCTTTGTGAAAATGAATGGAGGCAAAATATACCGTATATTTCCGTCTATAAGACACCCCCATGTATAAGACACCCCCTATTTGGGGGGACTCAGATTTAAGTAAATGGGGGGAGATGTATCTGTGTATAAGACACCCCCTAATTTTTGACATTATTTTTTAGGAAAACTCTGCCCAACAGTGAACATATTTCAGTCGTGTGTCATTTCGGGGAGCTCACCCCGTTATGGGGATTCGAACCGCCAACCTTCTGATCTGAGTCCTAGGCTCAGAGCTTAATTTCCTAGGAAGTTATTCTATTCTATTCCTGGTGGATTGTTCCCATAAATTTTACACTGTGCAGCTGGAAAACAAAATAGTTTTTAGTGTTACGCTTTTCCTTCAAAATGGGCAGTGGTGGAAACCGTACACTGTCCTAATTTTCAGGTACAGCAGTGTTCTAAAGCACTGCTTCTTTTGGCTGACTGTTTAAATAATTCACTCTTCTTAAAAGCACCTTCACAGGCCTCACCCAAAAGAGAAGCATTCTGAAGGGCTTAGGGAACCCAACAGTGCGAGATAATGCAAAGATTTGTACTCAATATTCTGGGATCTTGTTTTCAAGGAAAAAGGAAAACATCACAATTCAGCCTATTGATCCTATACCACAGATCACACTCTCTGTCTCGTTCTTGACTTCTTACAGTGCCTGTTAAATAAAGATTTAGCTATTTCTCTAGTTAGTGCTACATATTCAATATTCAACACTGGATGCAACCATAGCTGCTTGGCATTTGCAAGGAAAAGGCGAGAGATCAGCCGCAGAGCACAAGCTTTGCATGTAAATGGTCTCAGGCTCAGTCTCTCCTATCTTCAGGTAGACCTGGAAAAAACTCCTGTCCTGAATCTCTGGAGAGACTCTGCTAGTTAGTATGGACAGCACCAAGATAGATGGACCATGTATTGATATAAGGCACTTTCCTACAAGTTGGGTAGGAAAGTTCCAGAAGTTCACCCCACAAATTCACCTATCCAAAACAAAGTCTAAAACTGAAGATTTTCATACTATGTGATATCCTTTTGTCTGTTTTATTACGAATTAACCTCATATTATGCAAACTACCTTCTCTGATATTACAGTGGTACCTCGGGTTAAGTACTTAATTCGTTCCGGAGGTCCGTTCTTAACCTGAAACTGTTCTTAACCTGAAGCACCACTTTAGCTAATGGGGCCTCCCGCTGCCGCCGCACTGCCGGAACACGATTTCTGTTCTCATCCTGAAGCAAAGTTCTTAACCTGAAGCACTATTTCTGGGTTAGCGAAGTCTGTAACCTGAAGCGTATGTAACCTGAAGCGTATGTAACCTGAGGTACCACTGTATTTCTACTTTTACGGTTTTCAACAACTTGTATATAAGTAATATGCAGCTTTTGGTGTTCTACAATTACTTTTATTTTTTGTATGTGAACTCTCACTTTCACTGATTATAAAACATAGTTTTAGGGACAAGGATTTTATACTGAAGATTTTCCTGTACCGATCTTTTAAGTTACTCATTACAGTGCTACCTCTGGATGTGAACGGGATCTGTTCCGGAGCCCTGTTCACATCCTGAAGCGAACACAACCCGCGTCTGCGCGTGTGTGGGTCACAATTTGCTGCTTCCACACATGTGTGTGACATCATTTTGAGCGTCTGCACATGCGTGAGCGGCGAAACCCGGAAGTAACACGTTCCATTACTTCCGGGTGCCCACAGAGCGCAACCCGAAAACACTCAACCCGAAGGTACTTCAACCCGAGGTATGACTGTATATGATTATATCGGTTTCCTCCAAGCTTATTCTAAAACCATTAAAATTAGTATTAAAAGTACAGTTAGGTTTAACCACTGTCATAATGAGAAATAGCTATTGAAATGTTTATCAGTATCTCAGACAGAAAACCAAGACATTACTGGAGCGATTTGAATAAGTTGGTTAGACATCAGATAGGTATCCACTCAAGACAGCAACTTCACACAAAGGCCTATGAACATGAAAGACCCACCCTGCAGATGCTCATACTTCTAATTGCTTCTGGTGACCTCAGCAAGCCAATGAGCCAATTGGACTCAGAGTGTGAACCTGGACATTTCTCTCCTCCCCAGCCTTGAATGTTTGTGCTGGCATGGAGAGCCACTGCACATGAGCAACTTGCTGTGTGAGAGGGGGATGGAGACCGGTTCTTAAGAGGTCTGACACTAGTCAGATTTTTCCTCCCCCCCCCTTTTTTTGTGTTCTGTGGAAGATCAGAACTAATTTCTATCTGGCTTTTCCCCAAACCAGTGTAAGGACTCTTGAGCAAGCTGCTCACAGCTTGTATTATTCAATCTACCTTGCTTTACATTTTCCTACATCTCCCACCGAACTTAAAACAACTTGTAAGGTTACTAATGAGAGACTGAATGTAATAGTGGAAGTTCCTTGTTGTTAACATTATCTTACTTAACATAGCAGAAAGCACACCCTTTTTATGTAAAAGTCTAAACCGCAAACATGAAAGAAAATTTCAAAAAACTTGGGGAATGTTTTTAAATAAAGTGACTTTGTTCTAATTATTTTCAGTACGGCTTTCTAAGCATGGAATCAGTGTGAGTTAATAGCCTATTTCCTCACTGGCTCACAGCCAATCTGCCTCCACACTGACACTGTACACAAGCCAAAAGTCACCTCCAAAGATAAAGCACTTGTTCAGTATGAGTACAAACCTAAACCAGAACTGAGGAGAATTGAGACACAAATAAACAGAAAATGCCATGCTTTTTTAGGTCCAAACTAGATATGAGGCAGCAGCCACATCTGTATATTGTCACAGACAGGCTGGGACAAATGGGCTTGTAAATTAGGGATGGGGAATCTGTGCCCCTTCAGAAGCTTAATTTCCATCAGCCATAGCCAGCATGGCCAGCGGTCTGAGATTATGGGATCTGTAGTCCGACAACTGGAGGGCCACATGTTCTCTGTCCCTACTGTAAGTGACAGAGATTAAGGAGGAAAGTTCCAGAAAAGGCACAATAGTGTACAAAAACAAGGGGAGGCAGTAATGATTCTGCACCTAAATCACCTCACACCTAAAGATCTATCTTTACAATGCAAAATTTTCCGTGTGATTATTCTCCTTTTACACTGAGCTTATTAAAAACAGAACAGGACCCTAGTCTCTGAAACATAAACATGATAAGCAGCAGGGATGGCCAGCTTCTGTAACCTTAAGGTTATCAGCTCTCTTATTTCTTACCACCTGAAAAAATTTCTTCCCCTTCCCTAATAGTTAAAATCGCAAACAAACATTTTACCATGGTTTGTCTAAATTTTTCATAGGGCCATCAGAGATCAGATAATTCAGAGGCTACTCTAGTCCAGAAGCCACCAGTTGGCCAATCAATGGATAATGATGCTGTGTTGTAAATTGCTCTTTTTTTCCTTTCTTCTCTTCAGTTTGCTGATATTAAGGCAAGGGAAAAGATCATCATCTTCCTCCTGCTATTTTCATCAGCTGTTTTTAAAACAAAATTAACTTTTCAGGGCACCAGGAAAGAGCAGACAATTAAAAATGCACTTATTGCATTATCCATTTCCTTAAGACCTACGGTTTTGGTAATCAGCTTAGTGATACATCTAATGTACTGAAGACATGCTCTTGGCAGCTGAATAGCAAATCTAGCTTCAAAGGCTTATTATATTCCCTGAAAGCCTTTGTAGTCCACATTTTTACAGCAAAATGTGTTCAACTCCTGATACCCATATTCCCCCCAAAAATATGCAAAAATCTATAAACACAAACAGAATTCAATAGACTAGATTTGGATAAAAGTTGCTATTAATACTGTATTGATTTCATTTATTTATTAATTAAATTTGTATACCACCCTTCATCCAAAGATCTCAGGAAGGTTCACAGTATAAAAATACAAAATACCGTATTTTTCGCTCTATAACACGCACTCGACCATAACACGCACGTAGTTTTTAGAGGAGGAAAATCTGTAGGCATGCCACCCGTAGGCATTCCCTCCATAACACGCACAGACATTTCCCCTTACTTTTTAGGAGGAAAAAAGTGAGTGTTATGGTGCAAAAAATACGGTAAAACAATATGCATAATAAAAACGAGCAAAACCAAAACAAACCCATAATCCCATTATTATTGTTATTATTATAGATTATTAGTATTATTGACCTAATAACAGGCTAGGCAGAGAGACAAGGCATCACGCAAGTTCATCCTATCAGCTTCATTTTTGGGCGAGGATTTGAACATGTGTCTCCTTGATCCTAGTCCAGTGCTCTAACCATACTGGCTGTTCAGAATTGAAGATCTGATGCTTATTCAGGTTTCATATTGGTGTTGTTTATTTTATGTGCCTCACCAAACACAGCCATTTACAGTGGAATATAGTTCAATGCAACAGAACATTTCTCCAATTTGCATTTTCTCTTTATATGTTTAGAATTCCGGTAATAATATTAGAGCTCAAGGTTGGAAGCAATCATATGTATAAAGAGAAAATATATGTTACTTCGGCACAGTGACAGCTCTTCAATGATTTCCAAAGTGTGCCTGTGCTGATCAACTTGGAATAAGTTGATAAGTTGAATAAGTACACTTTGCACTTTCATGGGACCCTGCAGCCAGACACTGAGGTTCCCCAGACTATACCACAGAGGAATGGCACATGGCGAGGCAGTGACAGCACTGCGCTAGTCAAGGCTCCAGCTGCCCACCAACCTCATTTCCCAGAATGCCTCTGGGCCCAGAGAAGAAGATGGCAAGCAGCTGGCAGCAGTTGCACTAGTTAGCAGTCTATTTAGAGTCCATCTTAAAGTACATGTTTTAACCTTTTAAAGCCACCCACCTCTTAGGTCCAAGTTATTTGAAGGGCACCTTCCCCCATATCAGCCACTCTGTACATTAAGCTCAACAGTTGAGGCCTTCTGCCTCTCAGAATAATCTGGTTGGGCAGAAGTGTGAGTGTGTTTTTTCCACTGTAGTGATTTTATCCTTCTGAAATGTACTGCTGATGGGGGCAAGTCATCCTCATTCCGTACAGTCATTTAGGAGAGTCCTTATAACCCATCTGTTTTCACTGCTTTTTCCTTGAAGGTATGTTTTGCTTTATTGCATTGCTGATTGTGTTTAGCTTACAGCTGGCTGGGTGTTGTTTTTTTTAATGCAAGTGGCTTTCATTATGCGTATTTATTTTGATTATATTATACTTTTATCTTGTAACTTGAAAGTGCTTCTACCCTTAAAGGCAGCTTTCAAATATTTAAAATAAGATAACCAGAACTATTCCAGGACAGGCAACTTAACATTAATGTGGAAAAAAGACAGTTTTATAAAGGCAAGTATGCATGAATGTTGCCATGCCTCATATTATTATTTTCTGCTGTATCATCCTTGCTATCACATTGCTGGAAGACTTGATAAACTGCAAAAAGGAGCATTAAAATGTTTCTACGGGAATTTCTTGCTGTGTTCCTATATGCCAGCATCATTAATAGGTGTACACAAGGGAAAGGGGATAATCCTTCTGTAGAAGAAAGCATGAAGACAATGCTCTTGATGAAGAATACTCCTACCTACAAAATTTCATGTTCCATCAACTTTTTAAAGAAAAACTAATTAGATTAACTTATTCAAAAACTCTTTCTCCCTCTCTCTCTCTATATATATATGTGTTTCTTGCTTTGGAATGTGAAATTTTAATGCATATGTTAATTGACCAGAATTTTTTTTCCCTGCTCAGAAACAGCCTTTATTTTAAGGGCAGGGGGAACACCCAATCTAGAAGCATTTGATGTGCAAAATGCTTCCTTGATGTAGTGTTGCATTTGCAGTTGATGTCACCAGTGATCAGTGATGGGGTCTCTGTGCTGTGAAATGCCCCTTGTCACAGTTCAAGCTGATGTGGGCAGAAGACTTTGACACCTAAGTATTCAGGTGTTTTACTTCTGACATTCTCCACAAGGGACAGTCCCATTTTTAGCTACATTCCAGGATTGTGACTGCCACCAGCTAGTGCCAAAATGTCAATATTGTTTTTATATAGATATATATTTTAAAAAATCAGTTACACTTTGGTTCTTCATGATCTGATTATATCTGACATCTCAAGGTTTTAGCTATCCAATTCATCCCTGTAAGCTCTTTCATTCTATATCAGTAGCAGCTTAAACACTGCTGATCTTACTAAGATGTTTATTAATAAAACAAACTCTCACTTCCTCCCACCCGTGAGTTCACAGTATTCAATGTTTCTAAAGTTGCTCTTTTTAATTGGCCGAACTCTAGGCAACTTGTTTTTTCATTTAGGTATAAGTCCATTACATTGGCCACCTCATGAGAAGAGAAGACTCCCTAGAAAAGACCCTGATGCTGGGAACGATTGAGGGCACAAGGAGAAGGGGACGACAGAGGACGAGGTGGTTGGACAGTGTTCTCAAAGCTATGAACATGAGTTTGACCAAACTGCAGGAGGCAGTGGAAGACAGGAGTGCCTGGCGTGCTCTGGTCCATGGGGTCACAAAGAGTCGGATACAACTAAACAACAACAACATAGGTCCATAGTCCTTTGAAACTCTCAGCTCCACAAAAGATGGTACATCAGAACATGTACATGGAAAAACTGAACTACAGATGCACTAAAATATAATATGCTGTTACTAAGTAGGGGTGGAGGGAAAACATAGCCAGACATATCCAGATTATGTCAAACAAAACTCAACACTTAGGATCGCTCTTAAAAGTAATATATCTGAAAGACCAACTCCCTTCCTACGGACTGTCTGGCGTGTTGAAATAGGCAGAGGAGGCCGTCTGGTAATTTCACCAAGCTCAGATTTGGAGTGGAGAGGGAGTGGCAACCCCTAACCAGTGAAATTCCTATCAGGTGCATCTGACATCTTCATAATATAGTTTCCATGGTATGCTGAAAACACACCACCTTGCCCTGGCTTTTGATGACCAAGATATAAATTTTAGAGCCCACCCTAGTCTCCTGACTGCAATTTAACTGGTTTTAGTACTGTATTTTTTAAATTATTGCAATCCATGCTGGGATCTCATGGGGAAGAACAGAGAAGGAACCATCATCATCATCATCATCATCATCATCTTCATCGTCTGGATTCAACTAACCTATTACTCTAGCAGAAGCCACCACAAGGACCCCTGTTAATGCAGCAGGGCTTTCCCTCACCCCATTCCCTAAGTCTTTCCCAAACCCCCAGAAGAAAATACACGGGGAGAAGAGGGGCAATTGTTCCATCTCACAAACAGAAATGCTTGCACTGATGAACAATCTCCTTGGCGCTATTTTGAATTCCACCCAATATATACTTTTAGATGCACAAATTTATCTGGGAAGTTTGCCTCTCTCTATATTGCTGCTACCGTAAAACTGGACTTCTATTTTCCATGTAACAGAGTCCCATCTTCTCAGAGACTGCTTCAATAGATACCACCACAGAGGTACAATATGGCAGTCATCTGTTGTTACCACCACAGCTTGGATGTTCTTTCCCAGTGTATAATGTCTCTGGGCTACAGATAGCCCTTGCTCAAAAGGTAAATTAGTAACACAAGACAAACAAATAATTAGAGGTCTGACCTTAACAAAATTCATGGTTTCTCCTTACCTCAGATGCTCCAGTGAGGCTGGGCACTGCAACAGGTGCACTGATTTGCTTTTTCAAACAGTGTTCAGTCGATTTCTTTCCATCCTCGCTCTCTCCTTCATTCAGCATCCTGCTCCATCCAAGTTGACCATAGTCTCCTCTACCCCATGTAAAGACTTTCCCTGTTTCTGAATAGAACACACGCAGTTGTTCAGCATTAGTCCTCCAGACAAAACTTAATCACTGTGAAAACAGCAGCAACTCAGCAATGTAAGAAAAATAACAAGAAACTAGGCTTTTTATTTAAAAAAAAATGCACTCCAACCTCTTCTGACTTCAAGGGTTAATTAACACTCAGCTTTTTTTCCTACTTCCCCAGTTCATATTTCTCAAATTCCCCTCTCCTTACATTTTCCCTACAAGTTCCAGTCTATCTCAAGGTAGTGGTAGAGGCTTTTCTGTACAATCACCTGAGATTAGTAATGAGCTGGATAGATAAAAGGTAACCCAGGCAAGAGGGAGCTGATGATTTGCCATGCTGGGGAGAAAGACTCAGAGGACCAGTTGGTCATAAAATATTAGTTCTACCCAGATGGGCTCCTACTCCTTGTTGAGTTGCAGGTTCATAGTCTGAAAATACTTGTCCATCCAGCAATTCTCCTAAATGATCAGGTAACAATAGTCCTGTAGTAGCATTTTACCAACTTTAGTTGCACCCCCTACTGGAAAAGAGATGCCTGCTACTGTCATTCATGCCTTGGTGGCAACAGGGGCCTGACAATGAAAGTCCCATGGCCTGAAGGCACATGAGGCTACCATCTTGCGGAAGCTAAGCATGCCTGGGTTAGGTCAGTGTCTGAATGGAGGTGAGTGCCTGGAAACCATGTGTTTATCGTCTTGGGTTACACAACAAAAGAAAGGTAGGATATAAATTTAAAAAAATAAAAACAATAAAAGTGATCTGGAAACTCCACCTAGGAGGACATATAATACCCATTCTGAAGCTCTCTTCAATAAGGAAGCTTGTAAGTACATCTAAGCAAACACCCCTTTCAGACTTTCATGCCAAACATGCCCTAGGTGGTCCATTTCTTTACTGCACTTGTCTTCCTTTCAGAGACAGGAAAAAGCATTTTTATTCCCTCAAGCTCAGGCAAGTTAAGTTCTTAAATTGTTGCCTTATGCTGCTCTTCATGCCTTTATTTAGGTTTTTTTTAAGCTGTCGTGTTTTTTATGATTCTTTAAATTAGTTTAATCTGCTTCTGTGTAAGCTACTTTGAGAATGCTTGTATGAAAAAACTGCACATAAATATCAAATAAATATTCTCTCCTAAATATTTTTGCTGCCTGTGGGCAAAGGAAAAGATGGTGCCTTTCCCATTCCAAACACAGAAGCTGTCCAGACTAGAAGCTGAGTTCAGTATCCTCCATTGCACCTGTGGGCAGAAACTATCTTAGAGGATGCGAGGTGAGTTAAATGGCACACAGAGTTCTGTCCACTTCCTGTCCCCCAGCATATTCCGCCAAAGGTGCCTGCTTCACTCTGCCTAATGATAGGGCTGGCCACTGCTTTTTTCCTTTAAAAATGTTTAGGGGTACTCTCATTTACCTACTCATATTGAAATAGTGCCCCTCAATGAGGCCAAACTTAGATTCACAAAATCATTAGGGGTATGCGTACCCCTGCGTCCCCCCCCCCCCAGAAGAAAAGCACTGGGGCTGGCCCTGAAACCCGTGCACTGAGGCAGACTGGCTGTTGCTCCTTCTACCTCAGCCCTCACACAAGGACTTTCCTCAGAAAAGCTTATGAGCAAGCCTCAAAATAGTGAACTCCCTTCTCCTAATTCCCCCTGCTTCCTTCACTACAGAAAGAGGCGAGAGCCCGCACCAGGAGATCTTGCAGCTATTTGACCATGTGGACAGTTCAGTTGCAAGACAGGCTGCCAAATCAAAGAACACTTGTTATTTATCACCACCAACCCAGGCTTGGGCTTGTTTAAAATTCAAGCTATGGTGCGCCTCTCACTTCTAAACTTTTAATAGCAATATCTAAATGCAGATAGCAGTCTAATTATAGTTATGCAATTAAAAACAAATGTAGCTCCTCATTATCCTTGCAAGTTTAACTGTTGCTCTGAAGGTTCAAGAAAAACATTGGTTTCTCATATTAATAACAAAAAACCATATAAAGGACAAGGAAATGATAAACCTGCTCATCTCTTTCAGAAGGCAAGGATGCCAAAACATTAGCCATTACTGTATTTGGAAATGCATCACAGGGTGACCAAAGGTTTATTTTATAGTGTGCTACAGTACCTACAGTATAGTTTATTTTACACTATTCAGATGTTTGTCTCAACATGCAGGTGAAGGGGTATAGGATTGTAGCCACTTGTGGCCTCAGGCTTCCGCCCTAAACAAATTCAGAACAGCATATGAGAGAATTTATGCCTATGCCCTGCCCACATGATCTCAGCTTAATTGTATGGACAGAATGATACACACAATTCATACACAAACAACTCCTTAAGACATGACACTGGACACATGCACAGGTGTAGCCAATAGCCACACTCTATCCCTTTCTGTGTATTTGAGCACTTGAACAAGTGGTAGCATTTGTTTATTAAATTGTAGGTTATCTCAAGCATCCTTCAATATCCTTAAAAAGGCATCTACATTTAGGTTAATAAGCAAGTTTCATAAAATTTAAAATTGATGAAGTTTATCAGAACCAGTTACTAATTTAATTTGTGGACAGTCATTTTTACAAATCATATTAAAACACTTTTATTAATTGTTCTGTGGCTTTAGCCATCCCCTGGAGCTAGTTTTTAAAGCAGCCCTGCAAGAATTTACCATCACTTAAAATCTCAGCTATTGTAAGAGAAAAGCCAAGCACTGCTTGCCTTTGCAATCCACCATTGTCCAAATACCGCAGATCAAGACAGATCTATTGTCTGCTCTAAACTGCTGACAGTAAGGTGGTAGGGAAATAAAAATATGTAGACATCAATGCTGCCCTCTAGAGGGTAGTTGCAGCACCACAAGCCAGATTTTCATTGTTCCAAACTTGGCCAAATTCCAACAAGCAATTAGACAATTTACCAGCACTGCTTTATCTAAAGAAGTTATGTAGTTAGCGATCCCTTATTGCTCCCTAAGTACCAGAAAGTCAAGAGAAGCCCCCTCCTTACACTGTGAAGTTTCCATCTTCAATTCATTCCTGTCCTCAATGCTCTCCCAACAAGCTCTTCTCCCTGTAATCCTTAGCCCTGGTTCTTCTCCTTTCATCAGATGTCGATGTTCATGTCTGTGTGCAGCTGAATGTCTCCAAAGGATGGCAAAGAGTTCATCATGCCCTAGAGTTCTGTGATTCAGTTGGGCCTCTTCCTACCTGTCAATGATTTGTTCAGTGTTTCCATAGCCATTCCAATTTTTATCTACTGGTACAACTAAAATAGAATAAAATATACAGATAAGAGATGTGCCAGAAAGCTTTGTATGTGATTGAACTGAACACACAATTTTCCTCCTTCTATTTTCACATCCACGCACGGATTGCGACATTACACAGTTTAGGCACCAGATGGCACTGGGCTTGGCTGTATCTGGGTGGTTAGAGGTTCCCTTTTGCTGTTCTTGTCTTAGGGAGAGAAAAATATGTAAGATTATTGCCTAACTTCCTAGTCAGACAATTGTCTAAGTCTTCCTTGACACTTGCCTTGAGACCTAAAGTAAAGGGACCCCTGACCATTAGGCCCAGTCGTGGCCGACTCTGGGGTTGCGGCGCTAATCTCGCTTTACTGGCCGAGGGAGCCGGCGTACAGCTTCCAGGTCATGTGACCAGCATGACTAAGCCGCTTCTGGCGAACCAGACCAGCACACAGAAATGTCGTTTACCTTCCTGCCGGAGTGGTACCTATTTATCTACTTGCACTTTGACGTGCTTTCGAACTGCTAGGTTGCTGACCTTCTGATCGGCAAGTCCTAGGCTCTGTGGTTTAACCCACAGCGCCACCCGCGTCCCTGCCTTGAGACCTACCCTGTGTTGAATTTTAGATCGCAGGTTCCATAGGACATGGCTTGTCTTTGGTGCTACTTTATAAAACACCAAGCATGTTAGGGGTGCTATTTATGATTATTAAGGAAAGCTTTTACTGTAGAAGAATAATAGTGTAGTGGGTAAGCTGTGAACCACGACACTCAAGTTTGATATCTCACCTCTGCCTTGCCTAAAACACACATCAGACCATATCAGACCATGCCATCTTGTTGCTCATTTGATGGAGAACAGGAATATTATACATATTTTGAAGCAAGCAAAGAAGCTTTGCCTCCAGGCTGTTTAAAGTCAGTACTTTCCTACTGCTAAAGTTTTTCACTGCCATAATTTTAATTTGTCAATCTCATGGCACTTCAAGTATGCACCAAGGTTTAATGTGATGTAATACGATGTAACATTTACAATTTAATTTGTGGGTTTTTCCCTGAGGGAGCCAAATGACAATCAAAATGAATAATATACTATAAATTCCTGATTCAGTGTAACTAGGTTTGACAAGGCCCATTGGGTCTGCAGTGATTGTCATAAACAGAAAATTTCAATCTCCTCAGTGAATTTCTTTGGACAATCTATTAAGCATTACCTAGAAAACCAAGCTGAAAAATATCATTTTTCAACTTATCTCTCTGTGGAAGCCTTTGTTCTCATAGCTGCCTCAGTCTCTACTGAAATAGTACCTCTCAGCCACTGTGTTTGGGACGGAATGAGAAGTGGAAAGCCCATAGATCACCACCTGGTGTGGCTCAGTTGTGTGAGCAAGAAAGCACTGGCCAAGGCAGAACAAGTTCAAATCCACAAAAGAAATGAATGTACAATTCTATAAAGCATAATATCACACACATCTCCCTCTCTCTCTCTCTCTCTCTCTATATATATATATATACATACACACACACACGCACACCACAATCATTTTCACGTTCTGTTTCAAAGAGATATATAAACATGAAGGGTGGGAATGAGGCATCTTGGCTGTCTGGCCTCCTGTTTAGAGTTCTGCACTTGAATCTGAGAGACCAGGATTTAAATTACCACTCAGAAGTGGGAAATTACAGGGTGTCAATGGGTAAGGCATTTTCTCTTTGTTCACCAGCTGTGGGAAAATGTGCCATAAAAGCAACTTGTTTATAGCAGGGCTTGGGAACTTATGGGCCTTCAAATATTATCAGATGCCAACTCCCATCAGCCCAGGTCAAAGTGGTCAATAGTCAGGGACGATGGAAGTTGTAGTATGGTGACATCTGGCAACCCTAAATGTTCCCCACCTCTGAGCTTTACAGGGTTACTGGCGGGATGAGTGTGGCCTGTAAAGAAATTAAGTAAAATAAGAATGGACAAAATAAAGAAAACAATCTTATGAGATTTCAGCTTGTATCAGAGGGGTGGGAAACTGTGACGGCCTTTGCCAACCCTGTGTCCTGATATTGTGGACTACAGCTTCCATCAGTCCCAGTCAGCATGGAAGGCACAAATTTAGCAAGGCTAATCTAGTTAGAGTTGTTGCATGAATCAAAGCCATTGTGCAGTAACTTCCTAATGATTCTGATTAGGTCTGCCTGCCCTTCAAATAAAGAACATAATAAAAACCCTGCTGGCTCAGGTCAGAATCCTGTTTCCAACAACAGCCAACCATATGCCTCTGAAAAGCCCACAAAAAGACATGGGAAATAGCAATGGTTGCCATACGTCTCAAACATATCTGTAATACCATAGTTGGTAGCAATGTCCAGGTAGAAATCAGCAAAACATAATTTTTTTATGCAAAACTAAAAAACAAAACACCAGCTTAACAACTTTGCCCAGTCTGGGTCTTTCCCCTCAGTTAGCTGGCAACCCTAGTGCTTATTCATATGGCTAAGTGGTAATAGATAATACATCTGGGGGCTGGAAACTCACTACTGTATGGGGATGCCAGTTGCTATGGACAGTGTATATCTATGTATGTATGTGTATGTATGCATTGCAGTGGGTTGGACTAGATGACCCTTGGGATCACTTCCAACTCTACAGTTCTATGAATCTATGATTCTATAAACCAACTCCATATTCTAAACACTCGGTTGTTATGTTCTCCACCACACAGTTGGAAGACTTTGCCCTAGGCAGATGTCCTAAGAGCATTAACTACATCTGAGGTAGTCCCAATATTTTGATTTTCAGCACATTTGTTTGGATATTTGATATTTGTTAATATCAGTGAGTTCATTTCTCAATTAAGTGTGTTTAGAATTGCGGAGTGACCCTGTCCTCAATTAAAATGAAGACAGGAGAACATGTTTTTCAACACAGAGCCCTCTACATTTTAACAATTTGGGGATAGTCACCCTAGATTATATACAAATTCCAAGGTTTAACTTATCTGTAAATGCATAAAACATTATTAAATATAGGGGGCATTTTTCATCAGATTAGTAACATTGGTTTCTATTGGATTCCAAACAATGAACAAATAGATAATGGCTCATTTGCATTTGTGATTCTCACAGTATCATGTGACACATGACTCTCTTAAAAAGGAACATCTACATAGCTCCCAACTTTCATCAGATTAGCAACATTGGTTTCTACTGGATTCCAAACAATGAACAAATAGATAATGGCTCATTTGCATTTGTGATTCTCACAGTATCATGTGAGACATGACTCTCTTAAAAAGGAACATCTACATAGCTCCCAACTAAACCCCTGTTCTACTGTCTCTTTTTATGGCAAGAATTAGAGACTTATGGGAAGAGTAGGTGAATCTCCATGCCCCTTTAATATTCTGATTTTGACAGGGGATTCCAAGGGTACACTAGAGGGGATGGAAACAAGAGAGAAAATATGTTAAAATCCAATATAAGAAATCATTAATATTCCTAAGAGCCTAGCCAAGGATGAGGTTGTTAATATAGCAGGAAGAACATTGTGCCATCTTTTACTGCTCTTCGGATGAATCATACTTAATGGATGCTCACAAGGCTTTTGTACAGCTCGTTTCCCAGTGTGTCAGGTAATGTCAATTATACAGCGGTTCCCCCCAGAACTGGACCTACTGAACATCTTCCAAGATCATAATGCCCACTCACATTATAAAGAGCCCATAACCCACCTACTCTCAGCAGCCAGAAACATTATAGCCAGACACTGGAGAGACCTGTCAGGAGTAAGCATGGACCAATGGTATCAAATAGTATGGGAAATAGCCTTACTAGAAAAACTAACCAATAAACTGAAACTGATATGGGGACCAATAGAAGATGCCTTCATCCCGGTATGGTTCCCCTTTATCACATACATAGCCCAACAAAACAACAAGAATCTGCCGGCAGCATACGAATAAATCTGGCTAACCTGATCCAAAAATCCACCCACCCACCCCACACTCACACACATAAACAAATCTCACTACGCCAACCAAAGACAACCAACCACACCCTAAAGGTAAAGGGTAAAGGGACCCCTGACCGTTAGGTCCAGTTGCAGGCGACTCTGGGGTTGCTTTACTGGCCGAGGGAGCTGGCGTTTTTCCACAGACAGCTTCTGGGTCATGTGGCCAGCATGACTAAGCCGCTTCTGGCGAACCAGAGTAGCGCACGGAAACACCGTTTACCTTCCCGCCAGAGCAGTACCTATTTATCTACTTGCACTTTGATGTGCTTTCAAACTTCTAGGTTGGCAAAAGCAGGGACTGAGCAACAGGAGCTCACCCCGTCACGGGGATTCGAACCGCCAACCTTCTGATCGGCAAGCCCCTAGGCCAGAGGTTGGCAAACTAAGGCCCGCGGGCCGGATATGGCCCACCGGGCTCGTTAATCCGGCCCGCAAACCTTGCAGACCCTGCCACCCGCTCAGTCAGTCCCCACGCTAAACAGGCGCGGCATGGAGGCATCACCGCGCGGAGACTGACTTCTGTGATGTGGCACAGCTTCTGATTAGCTGCAGAAAGCTCCTGCAGCCAATCAAAAGCCGCAGGTGACTCTGGGTGCCACCCCTTCCTTCCCACTGAGGTGGCAAAGCGGGAGGAAGCAGGCAAGTGGGAAGGAAGCAGCAGCGGCACAGAGGCTGCCTCCGCCGCCCAGGCCAGCGGCATGGACTCTGCACCCCGCCAAGACGGAGGACGCCGACGCTGCCGAAGAGGAGGCGGCTGCAGCAGCTGTGGCGTGAGTGGCATTGGCTGGCAGGGACCTTTCGGGAAGGGGGTGCTTTCAGGAGGGGGTGGGTCTGGCCCCCCACAAGGTCTGAGGGACAATGGACCGGCCCCCCTCCTGAAAAAGTTTGCTGACCCCTGCCCTAGGCTCTGTGGTTTAGACCCCAGTGCCACCCGTACCCCGATAACCACACCCGAGGCCACCCCTACCCTCTCTCACCACCAATGAAATATAACAAGCGAATAGTAAGAGAATCCGTACAAGTGACGCTGACACAAAACCCCACACATAGAAGAATAGAAGCATAACCACCCAACCCCACCGCCCTCACCATGTCCCCCTCTTTTCCTCCCAACCTAATACTGCATGCAACACTAATGTCTCACAACAAATGAAACTGATCTGTAGAAAGCACAATTCAGAAAAAGAGACAATGCACATATTTTGGTAAACTAAGAAATCGTTAACAAATAATAGTAATAAAATTATACAGCAGTTCCAGGGAGGTTTTACTAAAGGTTTATGGAGCTCTCTCCTTAATACAATAGGGAGTGGTCACTGCCATTTCATTTCCAGAACTCTCCAGCTCTCCCCAGCTTGCTCACACAACCTGTGCTATCTATTGTGGCGCAATTCTCTGAAGGGAAAGTGTTTGACGGCTTATCTTTTCCCATCTTAGTCACTAATTTCCATCTCTCACATCATCCTATTGTCTAAGGAAAGTCAGTAGGACCTAATGAAACACTATCAAGACCACTACCACAGACATGTTCTTTTACCTTTGGGGGGTGGGGTGGAGGGGTCTGCAAACTGCCTTAGGAGGTAGGCTTAGGTATCCAGTACCTTTCAATGCAAATTACTAGGGTAGTTTATAAAGAAAAGCACAAGCCCTTTTCAGGCATTATGCAAGTCAAACTGTGTCGGAGGCATGGCACTAGCCCGCTTCTCTTGAGGCCGAACCTTGCTGCATTCAGCAGTAATGTGGTGAGGGGGAGCTTGGAAGTATGTTCGCTTGAGCACTCTTACAAGCCCCGCCAGGATCAGGAACCCTGGGCGATCGGTGTCCCCGATTTGCTCAAGTGAACATGCTTGCAAGCCTCCTTCAGACCTTGCTACTAAACGCAGCACAGGCAGAGGTAGAGGCGGTGAACTCGTGTGTATGACCCCACACTTCCAACATGGTTTGACCTTTACAACACCTGAGGAGGACTACAGAATCCTAAAAATACAATAATAAAGTGTCAAACAGTTCTTTAAAAAGAGCATAGTCAAAGTGGCAATGACACAAACATATGGTAAAGTTCCTCGGATGGTAAATGCCTGGGATTTGTTTTTTTAAAGACTTTCCCTCGCATTAAAAAGGTGTTGAAAGAGATATAAAGAAAGCCTTCCTGAGAAGAGACCATACCTCTGCCAATATCACTTAATGACAGACTAGCAGCAATTTGAACCTAGATCTGCCATGTACAAAGCCCAGTAATGTACCCACTGCACCACATTGTCCCTCAAGAACTTAAACACTACAATTTAACATTGAGAAAATGAGCTGTAGAGAAGAAAGGAAAAATACAGTGCTAATTTCCAAAAAGAATGCTGGTGATTTACACCAAGTAGTTTAATTTCAGTCTATAGCAGGTGTGAGCAACTTCTTTGCTGTTAAGGACCAAATTCCTTCAGCTCTGTTATTTATTATTATTATTATTATTACTTATTAAATTTCTACACAATCCTTTCCCCCAAGCAAGTAATCTGTTGGAGGCCTCATGTTGGTGTTGGGCAAAGATAAATACATTCTAGATGAACAATTAAGGGGAAGAAAGATCCTCCTTTCACAGCTTTCACCATGGCTACCTCAGAGGAGAATTCTCAACCCTACACAGAAGTAAGGCCCACTAGGTTTGGTGGGGTTACTCTCAAGCAAGTATACAGATGGTACTGTCTTGCTGTTTTTAGTACAAAAGGCCAATATACCTACCAGTGCCAGCCCACCTAAAAGTAAAGGTAAAGCAGCTGTCTCGGGCAGCAGGATCCACAGGGGCAGCAGATGTGGTGTAGATATTTATTCAGGACCAGCCCACCCATGAGGCAAGGAGAGGTGACTGCCTCAGGGGCTGGGCTCACCAGGGCAGCAAATACCAATGTAGATCATCCTCCTCCCCATTCTTCCTCCTGATGTCAATCTTCTTCCCTGGCATGGAGGCCGGAGCAATTTTGGAGCCCAACCTGGCCTGAAGGAGCTGAAGGAGGAGCAGCTGCAGAGAGCTTGCTTCAGCCCTTCCCAACTAATAAGAGGTAATGCCTGAGTATACTTTCTTCCTCCTCCCCATCCATTTTCCTTTTCTAAATACATTTTAGACTGGAAGCCTATGGGGCTTCTGTATATGCTGGGAGCCACCCAGAGCAGCTGGGGCAACCCAGTCAGATAGGCAGGGTACAAATAAGAAAACTGTTGTTGTTGTTGATCGTTGTATGCCTCTCTGAGAGTCTTTTTCAGCTGAATAGCAGGATAAAAATATTTAAAATAAATAATAAAAGATTTTTATTGTGCTGTTTCCCCAGAGGCATGATGGTGCATTGTTCCTCTGAGACTCTTTACAGCTCCCATTGGATTTTTACAGGAGGCAACAATGTAAGATAGAGAGTGTTCTCTCTCTCTCTCTCTCTCTCTCTCTCTCTCTGTGTGTGTGTGTGTGCGTGTTTTAAAAAATAACCCTTCTGGGGAAGGAGCTTGTAAGTCTTTGGTTGTATCAAGAATTTCTTTACCCAATTTTACAGTAATTTGATTTGATAGTACATGACAAACGGATTAATGGATTTATTCGAGAGAACACCGAGATAAATAAACTTCCTTAATTAAAGCTGTCTTCGTTATCAGCCATACCAGTTTGTGGAAAGCACTTGTTCTGAACTGAGGATGACTCACCTTTTGTAAGGCTTAAGACTATCATTCTCTCTCCTGTTCTTCACCACCCTTCTGCTATATTTAGGACTGCCTTCAGTCAAACAACTTCTATGTTATCCTTATGTAACCTAATTTACATCGGGAGCATTACAGAGCCCAGCCTCATCATCATGAGAAATATAAACGATAAGCAGCAAGTTTCAGCTTTGATTGCGCACTTCTGGAGTCCTTTTGACAATGCAGCCTGCAAGCACAGAGCACATGCGAAGAGGTGGCACCATGGCACCCTCATATACCCTCCTTGGCACTCATCAAGACCCCCTCTCAATTTTAATTTTTTAAAATTTAAATTAGGGGTGTATTTTTTTGCTGGTGGGGGTGTTTTGACTGAAACAGGCTACTATGTTGGGGAGGGAGTTTCCCTGGGCAACTGGTTACTGGTCCTCAGAAGGATGCAAAGCTATTCAAACAGCAACTCGTGCAACACACCTGCCATCTTCTTCCTTTCATATCCCAGGTACTACTTCTGAATTGGAGCTGGATTCACCTAGCCCAGTGCACTAGTGGAAGCCAGCATAAGGACTCCTGCCAGCTCAACAAGACCACTCCCTCCTCCCACAAATCTGCACTGGAGGGTCGGGAGAACTCCCAGAACAATGCATGGGAAAGAGGGAAATCGCCCTGTCTGTCAAGCAGAACAAGCAGAAATGCTTGCACTGGCAGAACAACCATCAAATTGGGGAGGGGGAACCAACACAGTTCAGCCCTAAAGCCTAAATCACATATTTCCCACATTTCTAAATGCAGGGTTTTGCCATACTATCCAAACAACTCAACCTGAAAGCACTTTTTTAAGAAACCATCCAAACATCGCTTTCGGTAAACAAAGTATTTTTATATGCAGCATCCGCAGTTGATGTCCTACCTGTCTGTGCCACCATGTGCGTCCATCCATTCCAGACTCTTCTGACCTTTTCGCCCCCAAAATAGTGGGTTTCTATCTTCTGGGGTTCCAAAAGAAAATCATCTTTGCTCACTAACTGCTTGTGTCTGTTGCTCCCCCAGACATATAACTCTCCTTCATCTTAAAGAAGAAAAGAACATATTAAAAAAAAGGAAGTTAAAGGACACAAAAATGTTGACTAAATGTCATTTTACAGTTGCACATCTGTTCTCTGTCTAGTCTTTGAAACAGATGAACAAACATTCTAAGAAAAGTAATGCACTCAGTTTTTTAAAGTGGCAACAGACTCTACAAGCACAAAAAGCATATATTTCTGTGTATACAACTAGAGCTTCAACTTAATTCTCTATGCAATACATGTTGTTTGTTCGAGGAGGGTCACAAGCCTGTCTTAAATGTGGCAGGAGCAGGAAGCATGTTATGAGGGCAGCTAGATTAAATCTGAACAAAAACGGGGATACACATCTTACAGGAAAGAGGATGAACTAGTCTCAGAGACAAAATATTTTTCATGGTTCAACAGACAGACTTCACTTTGTCCAAAGCTACAGCCAACCAAACAAAAGAAACTCACCTGTGAGTGATGTGACATGATGCGACCCAGAAGTGATGCTCTTTACTTTGATGTTTTCTAGACCTAGGACAATAACCCATTATTTTCTGTTAGCTGGAGAGGGATACTTCCTTTTAGAAAGGCCCTTTGCAATACAGAATGCCACACCACAACACACAGCTGCATAAGAAAGCTAACGAAAGCTGTTTGTGCAGGCTCTTTGGGAAGCTACTTGGGCCATGTCAGGTTACTACCTCCCCAACTAATTTTATAGATCAGAGCTCATCTATATGCATCTAAGATATTAAAGAAAAGAGAAGGGGGACCACTAACAAATGGAAGAACTTTCAGCAACCATGGGGTGGTTAATTAGGCTATCAGAGAAGAGTACAAGGCCACAAGGAGAGAACAACACTGCCAAGAGGAGAGAGAGATAGGTGAAGATGAGCTAAGGAACAAATTGTTACTGTGCAGAGCCTAATAATGTAAACAGACCTGAAATACATTTTGATTTGGCTTATTATTCTGCACTCCACAAAACGGGAAAGGGGAAAGGGTTGCAAGTTTTGCAAGTTTTTTGGGTACTGGCTCTTAACTGGTGCATTCAGCAGCTGCAAGCCACAATAGGACAGTGGATAGTTCAACCTGCTAACAGCAATCAGTGCCAACGAGGCAGGGAAGGGATCATAATGCTTAAAACATTCCTAACAGAAGGTATATTGTTCCTGAGCATACAACTGGCTCCCACTGCCAGCTTGGCCAAATGACCAGAACTCCAGTTCCTGGGCAGAAGGAATAACCTCTCGAAGTGCCATCTGTGTGTTTATTACAGTGGTACCTCTGGTTACGAATGCTTCTGGTTACGCACACTGCAGGTTACAAGCTCGGCTAACCTGAAAGTAGCTGCTCCTGGTTACGAACTTTGCCCCGGGATGAGATCAGAAATTGCGCGCTAGAGGCACACGCGCGCTAGAGGCACACAGAGTCACCATTAGCGAAAGCGTGCCTCAGGATAAGAACGGTTTCCAGTTACAAACAGATCTCCGGAACAGATTCAGTTCATAACCAGAGGTACCACTGTATATCAATTTCACCAGCTCTGCCTGATAACAAGAGTTTTCAAACAATGTTATTTGACAAAAGAGATTTGTGATGTAAACATCTTAACATAACACTGCAAAGTACATAAGAAACTGTCAGACCAATTCCCAGCGTTAACATATTTTATTTTAACTGCTGTAAGAATAAATCCATATTCCCAGTTTTCTCTTCTTGAGACAAGGACAAATATGTGTTTTGTATCTTGTTCCTGACAAAGAGGAACCTGAAGGCCAGGATAGGGTGCAAACTATCTATTTCTTCATTCACCATTTGTTTCTACATGGTTTCTCTTTTCCCTCCATTCCTCTCCTTTCTCCCTCTGACTGAGGCCCTCCGGGGGAAAATTTCTGAAAAATCCAACTGGGAAGGGACTGTACTTACACAGATTGCAACATACTTCTCTTCTTCAGAAAAGAAAGCAAATAAATTGAGATTGAAAGTTTGTTTCCTAGTGGATTCTTCTTAGATCATGTTGCACAAGTTTTATGTCAACGACAGTAGGTTCCAGTTAGTTTCCAGGACCAATTCAAGGTGCTGGTGCTTACTGATAAAAGCTTATATGGAGAGAAGCATTGCAACAATAATAATAAAGGACAGTTCAGGATCAACATCCAAATGTTCACCATTAAAACACTACATCTGACTCTCTCTGTGGCTGGGCATTCTCTGGGCTCTGCAAAAGACAGAGTCTCATGTGCCAAGTATATGGCTGGGGTTTGTGTTTGGGTTGATTGGGAATGGAATCAGAGAGTGCTAAGGGAATGCGATACATGCTATTACAGCAACAACAGAGCAGCATCTGAGGACTTAGGAATGGAGGGATCAGCATCATTGGGTATAGCCACAAATAATGGCTGGCTACTAAAGCAAGCCAAAATTTGTGGACCCCTTGCATGCACATGACATACTTGATCCATACCTTAAATATTTAGATAACAAACCTGTTACTTTGCAAGGCTCTCTAGCCCTCCAAAAAGATGGAACCATCTGTCCTTGGCATGCCCGCTTTGCCTGAGATGCCATGCCAACTCCCCACTGGAAAACTGAACCATTTTCTTTTCAACATGTACATGCAAAAGGAAAATTAAATATTCATGTTAAAGGCTGTTCCCCTGCTAAAAGACATTGGGTGGGGGGGTGTTACTATTTTTACTAATGCAAATATTAACCTGGAAAATGTTAACACATAAATTATAGAACAACAAAACAATCTAGCAGGAAAAATTCTCAACACCCCAAATAACAGTACGCTAGGTTCGAGACAACTTCACGCATCTTGTTTTTAAGGTGCACACTAATATATTAAGCAGATACCTCATGTAATAAATGAATATGACCAATGTTTATTAAATACATAGACGGAGCTGCAATTAGCTGCAGCTTCCTGGAGATTTGGTGGCAGGTTCAGGTTTGACCCTCTGTGATTTGTGAAACGGTTGTAAGCTTCTCAAGAGTCCAGGCAATAATGTCATAAACCACAGGAGAAACTTCCATGGAATTTGCTGATAGGCCATTTGCACTTATTTGGTAATTATGACAAAGCCCTGCCAGTTGCAGAGATTCTCTCTGTGACTGTGCCTTATCAATCACTCCTTAAGTGATGATGGTAAGCCCATGTACACTTATTGAAGCTATGTATACAAGGTGACCTGCAAACACAAGGAGCCTCCTAATGCAGAGGTTGGAACCTCAGGCCTGGGGACCAGATGTGGTCCTCTAGGCCTCTCTGTCTGGCTCTTGGGGGGAAACCCACAGCCAGATATGCACCACTACCTCAGACACTGTGCTAGGGCTTGCATGGTGTCAGAAACTGTGTCGCTATCAGGCCTTCCTAATTAATTTACAAACTACCATGAAATATCCACCCACCCTGATGAGGAACACTAGGGTAACAGCAAGTGATTATAAGCAGGCTTCTAAGGTATATGAGACTGAGGTATCAGCCTGTCAGTGAATAACTGGGGATGAAGTACTTTTAATTGCTTCACAGCTTCCTCTAAATCACATAACAATTAAAGCTGCGGATACAGACCCATCATCTGAGACAATGTAACAGTTTTTATGTTGTTACATGGTTGCACCTTTCAGTAAGGAACTATGGACTGTAGTAATAACTCACCAGTTACAGCTACTGCATGTCTGAGCCCAGCAGCAACATTTACTACTTTGTCCTGTATAGTCTATGGAACAAGGAAGAAAAAAACATATTTACATTCTCTTCGACAGCTCTACAGTACAGAACAGTATTTTTTAGCCATGCTATTGAAATTTTCAGAACTAATGAATGAACGTGTAGTCCAGCATGCATGATACAAAGGAAACATCAAAAGCTGCTGATCCACAGTGAAGTGGCTTATGGAAGGAATCATCACACAACTGGGCATAATGGTGAATTTAAATATTTGTGCTGATGGCACCTCACCTTAATTTTCTGTGGGACAGCATTTCCTCCTGAGGCATCAGGAACTCCGAGTTGTCCAAAAGAATGAGACCCACAAGATAACACCTGACCATTTCCTGCGAGATAGAACAGCACTGGAAATCTTCACATTTCTATTGTTTACCTCAAGGAGATACCTAGGGCACTGTAGTCCATTTCCCCACTAGTAAGAAACAGGTTCATTTTTATTAAAAGTCACATCTACGCCTCATTGATGGTGATGGACTACTACTAACTTAAGACCCATTTACTTCCAAACTTCACTGGATCTAATCTTTGCTACACAGTGCCCTATGAAACTAAGGCCATGGGGCAAGTGCAAGGTCAAGGCTAACTGTCTTAGCTTACAGCTCATTTTCTTAACCATTATGCTACAGCAGCACTCGACTGAATGCATAGTCTTCCATTTCCAAAAAGTCAACAATTTATAGCCTTGTGATTTTACATATAGCTCACTGTAAAGCTTTTGAATGGTTATGGAGACCCAGATAAAGCTTGGAGCTTTCACATCATGTAACACTTGTTTCCGCCTAGTTGCTAGATTTACCTGTAAGTATTATGGTAAAATCCCAGCCACAGGCAACTTGTACAACAGGACAACCAGACAGGGAAAGGCATAATGTAAAATGTTCCACATCTTCAGTATGACCAAGTCCCAACTGCCCATCTTTATTTTGGCCACATAAAAAGAGTTCTCCAGTGTCTGCAAAATGAACAAATACTATCAGGAACATATGCAAAATAAAAACATATGCATATTTTGATCCAATATTCACTGGCACTTTAAGACCCAATAATTGTTATTTGTCCAGAAAACTTGAGGGAGTGTTCATACTAACAAAGCACAGTCCTCTCTTTCTCATTTAAAGAACTGTACTCCAGAAATGACTGAAGCACTAGGCTAGTGATGGGGAACCTGTGATGCTCCAGATGTTGTCAGGCTCCAAGTCACACCATCCATTCACATGGTGAATGTAGCTTATAGTAGTCCAACAGCATCTGGAGGGGCACAGGTCCCTCATCCCGACACTAGGCAGTCCGAAGACAAAATGAATCACATTGGGAAACAACACTGAACGCTACAGTTACGTCTCCAAGGCTTCAACTGGGGCCTTTCACTTTACAACTTAAACAGCACAGGCTAGGAGACCATCACAGATGCAGCCCCAGCACATGCAAAATGTGGAGGACTGTACGTGCTGCATGGGCACATCTGATCCCAAAATAAGTCTCATGCAGATTTGTCCTAAATTAGCTCATTACCATTATTTGAGTCACTGAGTAGCCCATCAGCACCCTCCACACACACACAAAAGAAATGATGAGGAACAGCAAAGCAGCAAAAATCCAAAAACCTTATCCACCATTTGATGACATAAAGAGCATTTCATCACCTCATTTTAAAGAAAGATGGAAAGAGAAATTTAAGCAACCATGAAGTCGTATATGGGTAGCAACAAGAGAGTTAAAAAATGAAGTCTTGCAAGTATACTATGGGCAGGAAACAGAAATGCCAGTTTCTTACCAGTAACAATTACAGAATGTCCTCCTCCTCCAGTAATACTTGTGATGTTCTTCTGACTGCAGGGCAATTCTTTAAGGGCCTGGGGCAGGAGTACATCTTCTTTATGACCAAGACCCAGTTGTCCATAGCTGTTTGCTCCCTAAGGACATAAGAAAAGCCCTGCTGGATCAGAACAAAGGCCCATCTAGCCCAGCATCCTCTTCTCACAGGGGCCAACTAGTTTCCTATAGGAAGCCCAGAAGCAAGACCTGAGGACAGCAGCAGTCTCCACACTCCTGATTCCCAGCAATTGGTATGGAGGCATCCTGTCCCCGACAGCAGAGGTAGAACATAGCCATGATGGCATGATAGCTTTGTCTAAACATCTTTAAAGCCATCCAGGTTGGTGATCATTGCTACATCCTACGGGGATGAATTCCATAGTTTAGCTATGTACTGCGTGATAAAATACTTCATTTTGTCCATCCTGAATCTTCTAACATTCAGCTTCATTAGATGGCCTCGAGTTCTAGTATGAGAGAAGGAGAAAAAAATCTCCCTATCTACTTTCTCTACGACATGCAGATTCTGGTCTGCACGTTGTTGCATTGAAAGGAAATCCTTCAAAGTTTAATGGTATGAGCAGTGGCAGTACTGAGACCCAACCACTCTTTTTTAAAAAAAATAATCAATAAGGATCAAAAAGTAATTAATTGAAATTATACATGGAAGGAGACTTGCCTGAAGTAATTCTAACTGTTGCACTATCTTGCAAAGGGTTTGACATAATCAGTCCAAGTGTAGCATCAGAAAGTTTTGTTGTTGTTTTTTACAGCAGTCCTGTACACTTCTGTCCTTTGCAGCTGAGGATTTTACAGTCTCCTGGACTCAGGAAGTCAATGGTGCAAATCAGTCTAGACCTTATTGTAACATAAATCTCATTAGAACCACTAGCCCTTGGGCTTTCTCCCCAGGGAGAGAGCTTTATCTTTTAAGATTCTTGCCAATGGCACTTTTGAATGGCTAAGTATACGTGCATTTCATATTTAACTACCCCCCCTCCCGTTGGAAGCATAAAACTGGCAAGCATCTGTTCGATCCGGCTGTTACTTGGAAGCAAGTCACATCAATTTCATTGAAAGGTACTTCTGAAAAATAATTTCAGGATCCAATACACATATATTTTACAACATACATCCATTACTTTTACAATGAAATGTCATTACGTGTTATCCAGCAAGACAAATCTTGGCCACCTTAGGGCATTTCCATATGTCATCCTAAGAAGTATTTCTGAAGTCATATAAATGCTGCTAATGAGATATAATTTGGAAGTGGGGGAAACATATGCACATCCCAGCCATCTCAGGTTTTGCATATGTCTTCAGGGCCAACTTTTTTTTTTTTAAGCTGATTTAAGCCTGTCTGCAAAGTTTCCTATCTGATACAGAAAAACTGTTTAATAAGAACTACAAGTCTTAACAGCTTGCTTTGACATGTGGTTATAATCCTGGCTTTTTTTGCACATTGAGAAATATTTATGCTCTCTGAAACAGACTAGCTGCTCAAAGAGTAGAATAGAATGCATTATATTTAGGCATTATATATGTAATATTTAGCCTTATTGGACAGCTGTGGCATGTGTGCAAACATGAAGTTAAAGCTAAGGAGGCAATGCTCAAAACTCTGTACCATTTCAATTCAGTTTCCTCAGCTCCACCAGAATTATACCTAGGCATGTCACATGCAGTACTTATAGTAATGGCATTGGGACAAGACTTTAGGGCAGACACCCATTCAGCAGAATGAGGAGGACCCTGAAACACAAGGCTGGCTAGCCATATTTTTAAGTGAAGTAATGCACATTACCATCTATTTATATTTCATCTGTCTGACAAGATCAAGGTGGCACACGGTCTTCCCCTTCACCATTTTATTTTAACAGCAACCCTGTAGATTAGGCTGTGAAATGGTGGCTAGATTCATGGCTAAGTGGAGATTCAAAACCAACTCTCCCAGATCTTATTGGAATACTCGCCTAACAACTGCACCAAGTGGGCAGGGACAGACAGCCGTGCTTAATTATTAAATTGGCGGATTTATCCATAAATCCATCTCCGATGACTTAGAAGCTCCGTTCTCCACAATGCATGGATATTAGCTAGGGTTAGGGGACTCACATCCCCAGAGACATGCTGCTGTTTATACCTCAAAGTTCTAAGGGCAAATAAAAATGGCCTCTACTGTGGCGGATGGACAGACACCAAGGCCTAGCAAAACATTTTAATCACTCCCCACAAACCATGGGCAAACGAACCAGGATGGGAGGGCCATGAAAATCAGAAGACACTTTCATCCCTGGGCAACAGGGAGCAGCATTGGCTCAAACACCTTCCTCCTCTCAGCAGATGTGTCCTTCTTGGTGCTTGAGGGCTGTCTAAAGTGGATTTAAAACATAAACAAAGAGTTTCGAGTTCACGCTTGTGAGCAATGGGCTCTGCTGTCTTCCCTGCAAGCAGATGCTTATGCCTTTCGAAACAGCGTGACTCAACAACAGGTTTAGCTGTTCCAAGTGAGAGAATCTGGCATGCCATATGCGCAGGGCCAGATTTAGGTTTGATGAGGCCCTAAGCTATTGAAGGTAATGGGGCCCTTTATATGTCCAGCTGTCCTTTGTCAACAACAAATTGTTGCTGTTTTTTGTGTTGAATATATGGTATCTGGTAATTTATGGACCTAACAGGTATCTAAAACCAGTGATATTTTAGGGAGCAGACTAGCAAGTGGGGCCCATTACTTATACCATAGGAGCCTACACAACTCAAAACACTGTTGCTGTAGGTAGGTTTTATTTTATTTGTTTTTTATCTTATATTTTGGAAATGTACACCCAGGTTATTTTTCCCTTAATTTTTTGGGGGCCCCCCTAGAGTGGGGCCCTAAGCTACAGCTTGTTCAGCTTATACGTAAATGCGGCACTGCATATGCGCCTAAAACGGCAGAGAGCTGAAGCCATGATGGAGCTTCGCCTGTTGGTTTGCTGCCTGTCCCCCTTAGTCACAGAGCCTGCTCCTATTTTAGTTTTATTAAAGTGGGGGGGGGGGGCACCAAACAGCAAATCCGACTAGCGCCTTGCATATTTCGACGGGTCCTTTCAGACACGGGGGTTTGCCAATAACATCCGTCAGGGGCGGAGGAAGCTGAGAGGGAGCCTGGTGCGATGTGTGTGAGGAAACCATGTCAACAGCTCGATTCTGGCTCAGAGCAGCGCCGCCGGAGCCCGTGAAACTTATTTGCAGAGGACCAGCGCATCATCATCCCACACGACCAGCAGTAAAGAGCAAAGAGCGGCCTCCCTCCGTTCTTCCTCCCCCCCCCCCCGCCCGCCGCATATGCCCGTAGGGCGGCCGCTTCCGCCCTTTTCCGGGCACCGCCACAGGAACTTACCCAAGCGAACAGCGCCTGGGTCGGCTCCTCGCGCACGGCGTCCATAACGTCGCAAAAGGGGAGGAGCCACTCCCGGAAGCAGCCATGAATCTCGCCTCAGGCCGCCCGCACTGACGTCAGAAGTGGGCGTGATCGGCGTTTCCCCGCACCTTTGCAGTCGGGCTCTGATTGGTGGAAGCGGAAATACCGCGCGCCTTTTTAGTTTGCCCTGCTCTCTGCATCTGCTCAGTGCCTAGCACTGGGGAGAGCTGTTGGGTTTGGAGTGTTGGGTCTTTCCTGTTATCTACGACCAGCCTTCCCTGATCTTACTTGGGGGGGAAATCACAGAATGGTAGAATTGGGAGGGTCCTTCAAGGATCATCTAGCCCAACCCCCTGCAATGAAGGAATCACAACTAAAGAATCCTTGGCAGATGACCATCCGACCTCTGTTGAAAAAGCTGTCCGGGAAGGAGAGTCCACCACCTTCAGAGGAAGTCCCTTCCACTAGAGAAGCACTACTGTACTGAAATTTGCGTAAAACATGTGCATACAAAAACATATTGTGGGAAATTACAGTCAAATATATTTAGTAAACGTGGGACTGAAGGGGTAATTTCTGAATCCAGCAAGCGTTAAAATCTAATCAAGGATTCAAATTTCCGAAATAACCAGACTTAACTTTGTGGTGAGATGATGGGTCATTAAGGGAACAAAGGAAGTGGGTCTGTGCCAGACAGCAAATGAGTGGGCCCCCTCCCTCAAATCACTGATAGTTAAAAAGTCAAAGGCCAGAGTTGAGAGTTCTGTGGTGTGAGCAGGAAGAAAAGCTGCAAGCTGGGAAGTGAGAGAGTCAAAAGTGATGTTTGATTTCTGTTTGAATCCAAGGATGGGGCTATGGGGAAACCAATGCCCTCTTAGGGTGTTAATGCTGTGAACCCCTCATCTAGGCTCATGTTGTATATTTGTGTAAATAAACCATATCTCATAAAGACTACACATCTATGTACCTCATTCTGAAGGAAACACAAACCCTGCATTAGCTCCTGGCACCCCTGCAATCTCACACTGCTCAGAGATTAGGGTAGTGTTATAACAACATTATCCCACTCACAATTTTATTGCCACCCAGCTTCAAGATTTTTCCAGGCCCCAACTAACAAATAACACAAAGCAGTGTGTTGCTTGAAGTTCATTTTTTAATTTGAAAATAGAAAAAAAATGGGGAGAAATATCATTTAGCTAAGCACCCTGGCTACTTAACAGTTCTAGCACCACAGTAAATTCACTGAAATTACTAACACAGATGACGAAGTTTACACATCCTAAAATTGAATATAAATATTTAAGTATCCTGAAAATATATCTACTTAGATTTTAAGTGAATTCTTGGATCCATCAAGGTCAATTGCAAAACTACAGCCGGCTTCAAATATATTTTTTTTAAATCCAAGTCTTAGAGTTTAAGGTGCAAATACTCATTTAATAGTACAATATTTTCTCTTGCATTACAAACATAACACAGACCCAAAAATGTCTAATAAAAAAGCACAGACATGGCATAATCCAGTTTATTTCGAGAAATGCTACTCTTTGTAGAAGCCCAGAAAATCTAATCCGTTACTTCCAGTTGTTTCAACTGCAATTATTTTTTTAAGTTTCAGATTCCTAAAAACCAATTCTAAGTTAAGACAAAAGTAAGGTTTATCTAAATATGAAGGCATATCCAGTTCAGAAGTAATTCCAATGAGCCTCTGTCTCCTGACATCTTGAGAACAAATGGGAACAATGAGCAGTTTCTTCTGTAGCAAATCATTGTCCCTCCCATCGTTCTGCAACTACACCACCCTCTACCCCTTCACATAGTACAAAAAAACTGGGTTTTTGAGGTGTAGGCCGGAGCAGGCTATAGGATGCATAAGGCCTAAAATACTCTTCAAAGCTGGTTTCTCCTAATTTGTGCTCATTTTGCTATAAATTCATCACTGTGTAGTCTCTAGAGCAGGGGTAACTAGCCTGGTGCCTCCCAAATGTTACTGGATTGCAGCTTCCCTCATCCTTGGGCATTGGCCATGCTGGATGGCGCTCACTGAAGCCAAATGCGAATATAATGGAATGAAACAACACTGATACAGCTTCCTGCAGGAGATCCCTGTTCTCCAAGTAAAAGTGTATCCAGATGCAAGTATATTGGAAAACCTAATATGAGAAATGGCACGTGCAGAGCAACTCAAGAAATAAACCCCCCTGTATTCACTTGGATTGATTCCTACGCACGTGTGCATCGAATTATAGTCTTCATCCTTCAACTGAAATAACTATTGAATCCTTCTTGAAACATGATGGCACATGCTGTACCTGGTTGGAGGCAGGGATGGGGAAGCTGTGGGCCTCCAGGTGTTGATGGACTCTAGCCCGCATCAGCCCCAGCAGAATAGCCAATGGTCAGGGATGATGGGAGCTGGAGTCATCCCTGGACTGGGTGGCAATAGGTCCTCATTAGATCTTGGTTTCTAGTTCTTTCCATTCTTCAGTAGCAGCTAGAATTAGCCCTCATTGGACTACATGGAACCACTTGCCTATTTCATTGTAGCTATTCCTATGTCCACAAGTAAGTTGCATCTGCTCTCCTTCCAACTTGCTGAGTATGTGGGTGAGCCATAAAAGAGAAAGGGGGAAATAGTATGCAAATATTGGTATGAATGTTTCTGGGGGGCATAGTTCAAAAACAAAGTATTTCCCCATGATTCAGCCTTTGGTTTTAGGAAAATGGCATCCTACTTTATTTATTTATTCATTCATTCATTCATTCATTCATTCATTCATTCATTTATTGAGTATACCACCCTTCATCCAAAGATCACAGGGTGGTAAAGCACACAAACAGTATTTCCATGTCTAAAATGGGACATAATCCATAGGTGCCAAGTGTGGAATGGTTGATGATCGCTGGAGAGGTTAGATTCCCAGCTGCTTGCCCATCTTGGTCAGGGCATCACTGACAATGTCCAGTTCATGGCGTAGCTCATTCACCACAATAGCAATGCTCCTTGTGTCTTTCAGGATCTGAATGCTTTGTGTATATGGGTTGTAATTCACTCCAAAGGGGCGCCTGATTGTCTTTGCAAACTCTCTGTTCAGATGGAAGAAAAGGGGGAGTAAATTTCCAATGAAAGCCCACTTACACCTTCTCAATGTAGCTGGCAACCAAGGACCATTCCTTGTGTGTGTGTGTGTGTGCTACAGGGAGGCAGAGTGGGGTTTGAGAGAGAGTGACTTGTTTAAGACCACTTAGCAAGTCTCCACAGAGGTAAAACTTGATCGGGGCACTTTCAGATTCATGGCTGAGCCTTGGGTCTCTTAGCCACCACACAGAACTGTTTAGCCAAGCTCTCAACCGCAAAGGGGTAGTGGTGGAGAATACAGTGGTAGCTCGGGTTACATACGCTTCAGGTTACATACGCTTCAGGTTACAGACTCCGCTAACCCAGAAATAGTACCTTGGGTTAAGAACTTTGCTTCAGGATGAGAACAGAAATCGTGCAGCGGTGGCGCGGCGGCAGCGGGAGGCCCCATTAGCTAAAGTGGTGCTTCAGGTTAAGAACAGTTTCAGGTTAAGAACAGACCTCCAGAACGAATTAAGTTCTTAACCCGAGGTACCACTGTAATAACTAAGGTGTGTGTGCCCTCCCCCACAAAGGTGGATAAATAAAGACACCTTTCAATCTCCCAGGTGTTTTTAGCAAAATTACCTCATCTTTTCTTTTGCATCTTCAAAGCTTTCAGAAATAAAGTAAACTTCTTGGAACGTTGTAATCATGCATTCTTGCTTGCAGGTGACACTGGGGTCAAAGGGCTTGACTCTGGCATTTCCAGACAGTGCATGCTGGTGGTCAGATGGAACAAAATGACAAAGATTGGGTTTTGCATATATTTGGGACCTCAAAGGTGTCAAGTGTATGGATGTCATGAATTTATGTTCTCAGGAAAATGTTACAGAATTGGCAGATATACATGAAAGCAGTGTGTCCTTCAGAGACCCTGGTCCTAAGCTGTATAGTACTCTCTAGGGCCTAGACCAAAACCTATCACCTTACAGTGTGTCTGTAAACTGACTGGAAACCTGTGAAGTGTGTTTTGTTTGTTTCTTAAGATTGACAAATTATGTTCTGACCAGTCAGTTCAAGTCAATAATTTGACCATCTTGGCAGACAGGTTAATGTGAAAAGCATTCCGTGAATGTAGAAGGTTTTTGAACAATTTGCTCTGAAGACCCATTGACTGTAGTTAAAAGAGACTTTTAAGGCTTACCTTCAGTTCACTGATAGAAGAGAGTAAACCAGCTCCATAGGCTCTTAGCCGGCCTTCTTGCTTACATAAGCCAAACTCTACTGTGAAGAAGTAGCACTGAGGAAAAAGGAAGGCAACACAGTGAGCCTTTGACAGAGATGCAACTTGATAAAACTCAAGCAACAAGTGTTTTCATGCTCCCTTTCCTAGATGAAGAGTAGGCATGAATGTTATTTCTCCTTTAATGTGGAATCCCTTATACCACTGACTTGCACCATCATCCATTACTTGCAATTTAAAACAACCCAGACTTTGGATTCAGAAAACCCCTAAACCCTCAGTTCATCCCTAAGAAATGATGGCACTCAGGAGCCAAGGCCCTTTGTATAGCTGGGAAATGGAATATAATTTCAACACTGTTCAGTATGAAGACAGGTTCTCTAATTTGGCCATGAGAAAAAAAGTGGTGAGTTAGAGGCCCTCCTCTGGGTATCTTCACTGTGTGAGGTGGCAACTAGAGAAAGGGCCTCTTCCATGGTGGCACACACAAGATGGAGTCACTGAGGTAGTATCTATGGAAATGAGGAACATGTTGCACAGAGCAGCCCGTATCCTTTACTTACAGTTGCCAGCTTCTGAACAGCTTCATCAGATGCCCCAAGGGAAGCCAAGCCAATTTCCTGAGAGAATTGGGCAAAACTAGGTTCAGCGAGAAGAGGTACATGGCCCAAAAGCTCATGGCAGGTATCACTGGAAAACAGGAAAAGCAAGCTAGTGTTGATCCAGGTAGTTTGTCCCTTACAGTTGATGTGTAAAAGCAAGCTCATCTAATATAATTAGGTAATCTGCCAAAAATATATAACAATTGAGGAGGAAAACCTCCAAGTATCCCATAGCACAACAGACATCAGCACGCTTGGTGGGGCATAAGCGCACATGAGCTATATGCCAGGTACACAAAGTGGTTTAGAAACTTGGTAGACATGTGTAATTACAAGAGCACAGAGAGTGGGGGATTTTACATGGGGCCAACACACATGCATACTCAATCTCGTCTCTGTGGTGGAAATGGTGACACATGGACATAGCCAATTTGGTGCAGTGGTTAAGAGTGTCAGACTAGGATCTGGGAGATCAGGGTTCAGTTCAGTTCATAACCCACTCAGTTATGAAACTCGACTGATTTTCGGCCAGTCACAATCTGCCAGGCCTTACCTACTACACAAGATTGTTGTGAGGACAAAATGGGGAAGGGGAAAACTTCATACCCCCAGCTTGAGCTCCTGAGGGGAAGGAGGTGGTTGCCAATGTAATCATTACTTATTTACTGAAGTTGCATGGGTACTCTACATTAGAAGCCTGCATGCCCAGTTTGAACTACTACTTCTTGACAAAAAAATGAGGAGAAAGATGACATGAAATGGGCCTTCCCAAGGAGTGCCTACATTGTTGCAAATTGTGTAATGTATGTGAACTGGAGTTGTGGGGATGGCAATAGGTGCAGAAAGTAGGATTATTAGGCTGGTCAAGCTCATGGAGTAGCAAAAATGTGCATGATAATGAAGATGAGAGTGCTAAAATAGGCTTAGTAAGTCCAAAATATAGATGAGTTAATTGGTCTGTAGGCACTCAATCTTATTTAATTCAATATCCTTAATCTAAGGATCTCAGAGAAAAGAAATCCTAAAGTTATTTTGATTCTTCAGTTGTACTAAAATAAGTGGAAATAATTCACATTGTGAGAGCTAGGCTTGTGTTAAATATGTTTGACAGCCCTCAGTTACAAGTTCTCTGCTCTCAACACCGTTCCCTGCCTCCCACCTCCAACTCACAAGAGCCAGATTTGATCTACATGTTTGAAAAGGAGAGCATTACTGTGTGTTGATTTGTAAAATGGTCATAAAGTCTAGCTTTAGGCTGCAATTCTATACCCAGTTACTTAGGAGTGAGCCCCACTGAGCTCAGTAGGACTTACTTCTGAGTAGACAGGAGAAGGATTTCATTGATTGACACCAAGCTTTCAAAATGGGTACACTTTCCTGGAATAAGTATAAATGTACATGTTATTTGGAATAAGGATGAAAAAATAGCTGCTTACGGTTCTGGTGTGTAAAGCGGGTCAGAACTATGTCGAACATACTGAGTGCAGTGGAACACTCTGAAGGCTAAACCTGCCAAGAAATCTCTGGGCGAGAGGTATCCAGCAACTGGGCGGATAGTAAATCCAGTGCGCTCTGCAAAAACCAAGATGGTGGCAAATTTAGAAGATAAACATCCAGCCAAGTCCCCTCACCAAACACCCATGTTGCAGCAGTTCAAACACATGGAGATCTCTAGCATCTTGTTCTTCATCAAAGCCGTATTGCAGAGGGAGCCAAGAAAAATAAATTTGACTGCAACTCCCATGACCCCCGACCACTGGTGGTGCAGGCTGGGGCTGATGGGAGTTGTAGTCCAACAACATTTGTAGGGCACCACGTTGGCTATGTCTGTCCTATTAAAACGGTAGCATTGCCTCAGCAAAAACATCTGGTCAGAGAGATGCCTGCGCATTACCTTTTAGAAAACGTGACACATCTTCCAGCTGGGGTATGTTGTCTTCTCTGTACCCACAGTACTTGGCTAGCAAAGGCAGGTTTTTGAGATATTCTCTGCAAGCATGGGTTGGGTAGAGCTTATGCAGTTCTCGGAATACTGTGCCCCAAGTCCTGATCTCCTCCTCGGTGAATTCAACTTTTGGAATTGGGTCGCCACTATGACGAGAAGGCAGAATCAAGGGTTGACTTTCAGAAACGTTTGTCAGAAATGAAACATTTGTTTTCAAATAACACTTCAGAGTCCTAGTGTTACCTTCAGTTCTGTGCATCATTGCTTGGGAATTTGGATTGGCCAATAATAACAACATAAACTGGTTTTGCCTGGTCTTGTAGGGTCACTGCAATGATTTTGGAGGAAAGCTTTATTTTGCTGTGCTGAACTCTAGCTTGGATTGGCAAAGGAGCTAAGCAAAACTGGCTGACTGGCATACTGTGATCCATATATTCTCAACCTCCACATTTGTCAGTCAGATTACCAATACACAAGTCTCCAAGGCTTTGACCCTGGCCCTGAAAGGTTCCTGCCCCATCTTTAGCAAGAGCACATAACAAAGATGACACATACTGTTTGTAGTTCATAGCCAGGTCTGCAAAATACTTCCGTCTCTTGCGATAAACATTGTCTTTGAAACCCTAAAAGGGAAACAAAAAAATTAAGCCCAAATCAGTCTTTGTGATTAACATGTTTCTACTCCTAAACCCCCCCCCCAAAATTGAGGGAATTTTTTCTTCATTCTGCATGCTTCTTGATTATTGCTGTTTTCAGATGGGATTGAATCACATACTGTCAAATTCAGGTTGTACAATTATAGCTCAGTATTATCATGTTTGATATGTTAGTATGTTCAATGTGCATCAAACTCTGATATTGGAATACAAGTCTAAAGTATCAGATATCCAGATATTCAAAGTAAGTGTTTTGAGGAGCTCTTTAAAGGCAACAGAAATATTGTGAGAGAAATATGAATCTACTCACTGGATGGTCTGCATCCAGATCAGAACCATACATTAGAACACGATTTGCACATTTATCCAAATCCGAGATCTTCTTAGGGAACCAGGGGATATTTTCCATATCTATGGAATGAATAAAACCCATATAGCTATTAATAAAATTCTACGGAATGAATAAAACCCACATAGCTATTAATAAAATTAAGCTTGCTACGAAAAGGAAACTGTTCTTATGGCCAGCTATGACAGCTAGAAAATGAAATCTAGTTTCTGAGGAATTAATGTCAAGAGGAGAAGAGAACATCTTCCTATCTGACCTTCACACAACATTGGGCACTTCCTCCTGTGGTAGATATGGCAAAAGGAACAATGATACTAAAAACAGGGGAAGAAAGTAAGTTTAGCTCTTACTGCTTGCATCAGGGATTCAGCTTAGCTGTTGCTCTCACACCTTCAACCCTCTGCTGCCAAATAAGGCAAAAAAGGGGAGACTCAGGTGTTGCTTACAGGAAAAGGCTTTAAATCTCAAGACTGTGGAAACTGTGCCCCTCCAGGTGCTGTTGGCCTCCAATTCCCATCAGTCCCAGCTGGCATGGCCAATCCTCAGGGAGTTGTAGTTCAAAAACGAAAAGGTTTTAAAGGAGAACAAACCAAAGTCACAAGTTCCGAATGTAAACCCAAATAACCAGAAACCCCACATATTGGGGGAGACCCAGGAAAAAGAGGCAGATATCCTTGGTTTGCTCACTACATAATTTTGCAGGCCCTCTATTGAGAAATGGATATTGTTCTACTGCATTATGGCCATTTGTACTGCTACAAGTGCTGGAGACAAAAACAAAGTGAAATAGTATTCAGAATTGCATAGGTCACAGAACGGACCTACAGCTCCTGTGGCCCAGCTCCCTTTTCCTAAGGCAGGGTCCTCTGTTCCTGAAAACCCCATTCATCCAATCATATCTGACTTCTATGGAACATCTTGAATCCCCATTAGTATGATGGCTCAAGCAAGTAAGGGAATGCACAGGCTACAGGACACAGGCAGAAAACGTTTGAAACCAATAGAAAATTTGTGATAGGGTAAACTTCATTTCTAAATATAGAGTAGGATTAGCTAATGCGCAAGGACTTCCACTTGGGCAATAAGGCTTTCCGTCCCTCTTCCCCTTGCGCCTTCAACATTGGCTCAGGAGGGAATTTCGGGAGAACCCCCAAAACATGTGGGGGGATTATTCCCTCCGGAAAGCCAAAATAATTGCCCTGATGGAACGATTGCCTTAGCGTGCCATCAAATTCCTCCTATGGTGATCAAATGGACCCTAGTTGTGAATCAAGCCCCATGCACTTAGGTTGAAACTCCTAACCACATGGGAAGTCCAATCTTATGCCGAATTAGAGGTATCTGTGACAAATTGGGCATGTCTAATTTTTCATGGGATCACAGCCTTATGAGATGGATTCAGTGGAATTTATATTTAAAATCATGCTGCTCCCTTCCTAAGCACAGGTTCACTTTGCCCAGCATTCCCATATCCAACCAATGTATGTATCTTTATTTTTAAACATCTCATAGTTGAAGGAAATCTGTTTTAAACTACTGTAAACCATACTTTGAAAATGCATTAGATGAAAAGAAAAGAAAAAGAAGAAGCCTCTCTAAAGAAAAAAAACAAGACATTGTTTTTAAAATCTAGCACCACAAACACTGGCACGTGATCACACCTTTCAAAGGGCGTGCACGTCTAATAAATCATTCTTATTTTCTTCCTTACCATCTTCCTGTACGAGGAAATTGTCTGTCTGGTTCACAGATACCACATTGGCATGGGATTTCAAGAGATGGAAGATCTCCTCAAGCTGTTCCCTGTTACTGTCACAATCTACAAAGATCTCAAACTCTGAATTTCGTCTCCTGGATTTTCGAGATTCTATGTGCACCAGGTTCACATGCTTTTCCTGATGGAGAAGAAATACATTTTTTTTCGTTGGTCAATAGCACCCGAGGACCAAAATCTCTGCTAGTCGCCCCTTCCTCTGATATAGTTCATCAAACATACTAATTAACACAAAATAATCTACACTTTGAATACACTCCCTGCCATAGTGAATAACCTTCTGATAATACTTCTCATTTTCAGCATGATAATTCACGTATAAAGGCAAAGAGTAAAGTAAGAGAATGTATTCATTAACCCAGGCATCCCCAACCTGCGACCCTCCAGATGCTTTTGCCTACGTCTCCCACGATCCCTAGATAACAAGACCAGTGGTCAGGGATGATGGGAATTGTAGTCCAAAACATCTGGAGGGCCAAAGGTTGGGGGTGCCTGCATTAGCCTCAAGCTTGTGCAGGGCACCAATCATATCTCCTTCCCTTTTGTGTACCAGAGTAGGAGAACTGAAGCACCCACTTCTGGCTTAAATCCACAGTTGCCCATGTGTACTTCAGGAGGGCACAGAACAAGGACAGTGAGGGATGCAGCCTACAGAGAGACCTGGAGGGCTACATTTGCCCCAGGTCTCACCCCTCCTCTAGAAAGTGCATAGGCACAGTTTCTTTACTTTCCCCCAGAGAAGCAGTTGATTGACTTCAACATTAAATTACTAGTCATATACTAATAAGCAGTGCACTATTTAGTACGAAGATGCCACAAAAGTGACCGTTCTAATGCCTTCTTTACACATCATGTGTAATAGTGAGCTACAGGGACACCTGGAATAACAGTTAAAGCATCTCTCCCAGGGAGGAGGGAACCTACAACTTGCCCCCTTGGGACATTACCCTTGAAATGTGGAATCAGCACTTCCACATAATGTGCAATTCTGCCCTGAGTAAGTTACAAATTTTCAGAGGTGTCTGAAACGCAAAACAAACAAATAAATTCTTCTCCAATACCCTTGAGGTTCAGTCCTTCAGATCAGATTCTGGGATTTCATCTCAACCTCCATTTGGAGCGCACAGTTGTATGGTCATACTATTTTAGGTTTAGCATTTGTTTGTTTATAAAATCTAAAATCTTAATACAGCAGCAAAACTTATCATGCCGTTACAGAGGTTGTTGCTATCTTTACTCTGTACCAGCTGTACACAACAGGGACTGGACTGCTTACCTGAAAGAGCTTTAGGGCTTTCACAAGCCCTCCAACTTCATTTTTTAAAGAAAAAATGACGGCAGCTCTCCCCCTTTCAGATGCATTGTCTTCATTCTCTTTGTTGTCATCATTCATCGTGTAGTTGGACTTGTGGATCTAAAAATGATGCAGATGGCAAGCAGAGTTAAGAGTTAAGTCAAAGTTTCAAAACAAACCTATTTTTTTAGGTTCAAAGTTGTCTCCGTTAGGCTGCAGAATGGGGTGCCATGAAAGGGCAGTAAATTCTTTATTTAATGTACTGATACTGTATTTTAACTGCCAGGGAGGAGAAGAGGCGCTTGTGTGATTTTCTGCCTCAGGTGCTAAAAAATTACATGGCTGGCCTTGGCTAGTCCTTTAACATGGTGGGATGAGAGGACACCATTTGCTGTCGCACCCCAGGAATCAAAATGAGATGGGCTGGCCTTCTTAGCAGGTGATAAAGGCTGAGAAGAGCTTCATCTGTTGATTTCTACAAAGCAAGCTACTTTCAAAGGCAGGCTGTGCTGTTTTTTCCCTGCCCAGTCATTTGGCAACCCTAGCTATCGCTTTGTTTCAACTATACCAACAACCAGTCTGCATAGCAGCCTCCGTCCGCTGTGGTTTCAGTGCTGTAGTGAAGAGCTGGAAGCACAGGAAGTGGCCGTTAAAATAGAAAATACCCTTCTCCCAAGCTAGCCTACAGACATCCTCCCACCCCTGCCGGGAGTGGAAAGCCAGCCCTACATACAGACTGTGTAGGCCACAAACACTCATAGAGGCAAGTAGAAGACCACCATCTCCTAAATTACTTTGCCCCTGTATGCCCTGAAGGAAAGACTTGTGTTTCGTGAGCACATCTAATGGTTGAATAATCCATTGTGTCCAAAATTCACCATTAAACTATGTGTGATTCTGATCCTACTAACGATTTTAACTTTTTACAATGGCTTTTACGACCTTTTTGTCTGACGCTGCTCGATAAATGCTTAGCTAGCTCTGGGTAGATCCAGAAAATTGTGGCTTTATGCTCAGGAAGGAAGGAAATAGTCAGTATGGATTAGTTTTTACAATTTTGAAACAACCCTGCTTGCATCATGTTTAGTACAACCTACTTGGGTCTAAAATCAGTAGCCAACCTCCCCTTAGGGTTAAATTTATTGTTTATTTATTTCTTGCATTTAAATCCCACCTTTTTCTCTAAAGAGAAAACATCGTTTTCCCCCTCCTCCTTTAATCCCCACAACAACCCTGTGAGGTAGGTTAGGCTAAGAGGCAGTTCCTAGCCCAAGGTCACCCTGTGAGCTTCATGACCAAGTGGAGATTGAACCCTGCTCTTGGGTTTGCCTGTCTTGACAGCCAGCCAGCATAGGGTTGATTGGTTCCAACAAAGCTATCTACAGAAAACTCTCGTTGCAAGAACAGGCTTAGTTTGCTTATGTAGACTTGCCTCTTCCATAATCTGCTCCAGATCTCAAGAAGAAGATCTTCAAACTGCTGACATCAATGGCAGGTTCAGCAGAGGTAAATCTCCTCTTACCTTCTAAGCTAGTTTTCCCGGCGCTGTCTCTTGCAAGACCCCCAGGGCACTGCAGTTTGCCAAGTACTCCTCGACCACTAGTTGTTGGTGGCTATAAATATGGCTCTTGTAGCTTGCAAAGCTCTCTGTTACATGGGTGGTTTTTAAACGCCTGCTTTGAATGATTGGAGTGATGGGGTACAAATATATTAAATTCAGTGGCAGCAACTGGAGGCCTGTGGGCCAAATCTGGTTCCTATAAATCAGCTGTCTGGCACCAGCAAATGTAGGGTGGGGAAAGTGGCATTTGTAGTAAAATACAGTGGTACCTCGGGTTAAGTACTTAATTCGTTCTTAAGGTCTGTTCTTAACCTGAAACTATTCTTAACCTAAAGCACCCCTTTAGCTAATGGGGCCTCCCACTGCCGCTGCGCTGCCAGAGCACGATTTCTGTTCTCATCCTGAAGCAAAGTTCTTAACCCAAGGTAATATTTCTGGGTTAGCGGAGTCTGTAACCTGAAGCGTATGTAACCTGAAGTGTATGTAAGCCGAGGTACCACTGTAACTTGCTGGCAGGCATCTCTAGAGGGGCTGAGGGGCTGTTCTTCCACCATTCATTCCTGTCTCCAACTAGCCCTCTGGGGAAGCTAGTTGCTGACCAATATAATATATATTTATTTGACCTGGTATCTCAAGTGGGGTAGCAGGATTGGGTAAAACGGTGACGATATAGCAAAGTTGGCTAGATAGCAAAACATAGTCAAGGGGAATTATCAGGAAAGTGAGATCATCCTTATGAAGACAGACTTAAACCATTGGGAAGGTTAACTCAGATGACTTAGATGATGGGCTTATATTATAATATGATTAGCGAAGTCGGGAGATTAGAAAGGGAGAGGTTATTCACACCTGCATGCAAAACAAACAAACTTTCAAGTCATCATTGGTAGGCAGTGGATTAAAGATGGTAAGCCAAATGAAGGACTCCGTCACAAAACACACGGCTCATGTACAGAACATCTTGTCACTAGAAGCCACAATGGCCACCAGGTCAATCACTTTTTAAAAGTTTCATTGTTAACGCTGAGGACTGGTCTATCAGTGGCTGCAAGCGATGTGAGTCCCCCAAAAGTGCAGCCTACAGAAATAGCATCTTCATTGTCATATGCTGAAGGGTAACATCAGGAGATGAGCATAGCACACATGCCTTGCTTAGCCGCCCTGAGCCCGGCTTCGGCTGGGGAGGGCGGGATATAAATAAAAATATATTTATTTATTGCTCATGCATCTCCCTATTTTTGGTAGACAGGATGCAGAAGTTCAAAGGCACTTGTATGTCATTTAGCACTTACTAAAGACAGGGGCTAGCCGAAAGGGGTCTAGGATGGGGAAATGAGCATTGGCAAAGAGGAAGATAAATAAGATGCAAGTAAGACATTGGATGGAATCTGAGTGCAACATCACGCTCAGTCTGCAGGTCCCTTTTTAACACTCTCTGATGAAAGGGTGTCTATCTGCACTACCCTGCAAATATTCAGGGTATTTCTCATACTGAGATATTCCTCAGTATGTCATGATCTCTTGTACACCAGATGGGCAAGGGGACAAGGTGGACACCCCAAAGTACACACAGGCAGGGAATCTCTTATTCCCTGGAAGTCCACATGTCTGCAAGGATCAATCTACACAGCTGACTTTCCACAGGGCTATTCAGAATAAGAATGGGTGCCCACCTTTTCTCAATTACCGTACATGGCTACAGTGCCTTCCTGAGATGCTGGTGCCCTTAATTAGATTAATGCCCCCAAATTTATCCAGATTATATTATCAATTGTGGTAGGACAATTGGGCAGTGAGTTTTCAAATTGCAGAGCTGAAACGGAAACTTGCCCAGCTTAATCCTCATCTAGTCATTTGAAGGACTGTGTGCTTTTAGCCATTGTGATAGTTGCCAGTCCCAGCTAGAGAGGAGCACTTGCTCTTCATTCTCCACAAAGTCTTCCTGGGTGCAGCTAGCTTAGATCCGATAGCTGACCTGTCTGAGGGTGTTTAAACAAGTGATGCTGTAAAATGCACCTTTCAGTGTGGAATTGCATCACTTCTTACTGGGACAGCCAGTGGGGAGAGCAGGGCGAACAGAACCGCACAGCTGCCCGAATTTGCTGAAGAATATGCACTAAGCAATAACATATACCTATCATTTTGCATAAGTTGGAGCGAATTTGAATATATTGTGCAACATTGTGAGGAAGGTTTCCTGTGGACCCACCAGAGGATTCTTCCACTTCTGAAAAGGAGGTGTCATTTCTTGTGGAAGTTTTAAGTCCCAAAGTACTTGATGTACTTTTACTATCTTTATAATACAAAGCCACACACGAACGATGTTCTCCCAGCAGCTCAAAAACTTTTTGCGGTACAATATCCTAAAATATCATCGTTCATATATTTTAAAACGCAGCTGTGATCTGACTCCTAGACGATTCTTTTTCAAACAGACACAAACTCATCAAAAGCAAAAAAACAAATGTCACCGTGGCTCTCTCTGCATGACCATATAGTAGACCAACCACGGGAGATCTCCTGGATCAGGAAGGAAGCTAAAAGAAGTGGAATGAAAGTCAAGAAGCGCCTCTCCTGCTGCGCACACCTACCTCGTTGAGGATGGCCAAAGAGGAGAGGTTGCCTACCACGTTGTTGAGCTGATTCTCGCCGAAGCTGGTGTTCATGGAGTCGAAGGATCGCCCCCTCCTGGGAACCTCCATTCTGCTGGTGTACATGCTGTGACGCCGCTGGCAGAGCTGGCTGCAGTCGGTGGCTCTGTGGCTGCTCTGGTCTGCGCGCCTCCTGGGGCTTGGCTATTTATGGACAGGAGGAGGGTGGGGGGTCCCAGGAAGAGACACGCCTAATCTCTAGCAAGGAGGGGGGTGCGGGAAGAGAAGAGCCCCTCCCCACGCTTCACGTGGATGCAGAGCAGCAGGGCCGCAGGCATCGGGAGGTAAAGGCAATAGCCTTCGTCTTCGTAATGGTTTTGTATGCTCCGGAGCTCTGGGGCGCACACTCAAATTCGACATTCTGCACAGCAGTATTTAGGCAGTGCCGGCGCCAGGCTGTTTTGCACCCTAGGCGGGCTAATTACTTGCACTCCCGCAAAAAAAAGCAAACTTCAGTGCTGAAAATCAGGCGTCTTGTAGAAAAAAAAGACAAGCTCAAAACTTGAAACTGCTAAATTTATTATTATTAATTGGAAGAATAAGTAGTACAACCACCTTTGATTATCTTTCTCAAATGCAAAAGTTTGTTCGGAATGATTTGGCACAAAAAAATTGATGTCGTTTTGATTTCATCAGGCACATTGAAATCTCATTTTGTGTACCTTTTCCTTTACAAATTTTGTCACTAGTTCCTTTGGGTCAAGTGCCCCTGCTTGGGCATGTTCAACTGATATAGCTGCTGCCAAGCCAGCTAGTCATTGTTGATATTATCCAGGAGCTTTTGTTGTAGTATGAAGGGAAGAGTTACTTGTGGTGGCATAGACTTTGGAAGTCTCCAAGCTGTTAAGTTCACAGCACAAATGACATTTTGGCTTGAATGTTTGAACATGCTTCTGTGTCTTAGCATAGGAAAAATACACCCAGTGAAATGGAACACAACTGGCCCTTGAGCAAAATCTATATCCTCTCCCCCAGCATGATTCAGAGGTACAAAAGCTCTTTGGAAATACTGACGTTACCTGGAGTGGAATGTACCAATACATGTGCTGTTCTGTGTGCATGAGCAATTTTTGAGGTTGGAAACCTTGGTCCACATTTACAACCTCCCCACTTGTAAATGTGGACGGAGACCTGCCCCTTCCCCAAACCCTGCTTTAAAGGGGAGCTCATTTCTGCCACTAAAACTCAAAAGGTAGCCATTATTTCACTCATATTAACAGCAATCCTATGAAGGAAGGCAGTTATCCTATGATTTTTGCCAAGTTGGGGAAAAATAGGCTTGGGGATAACAATGAAGGGTGCTTGCACAAAACGTTGCAGCATAAAGTGCTTCAGTTCAGGGTTCCAGTCATCCCATTCCATCCATGTTCTCCCCCACTCACAAATGCCTCAGTCTTGGTTGAGCTGCTTTGGTTTGTTTTCTCCATGTTGGTTTTACAGGATTTTGGGTGGGATGGATACACTTGTCTCGAGTCTCAGCTACATTCAGTTCTTTAACTTCCCCATTACTATCCATGACCAGCTCTCTCTTCCATGCCCATGACATTTCAAAACAGCATCTGAGTGTGAACCAGGAAGTGACTTATCCAGAGAATGAGATGCTTCTTTCTGCACTAGATACATATTTCTCTGTCCTCCCGTTCCAGCCCCTCTGATCTATTTCTCCCTCTGCCTCCTCTTATCACTCCATTTTTTAAAACATTAAGCAGTCAGTTAATGCTTTTAAATAAATAAAATAAATGGAAGATGACAGTGGTTTCTATGGATTGCACTTAATAAAACCCACCTCCACAGTTCTTGCCAGAGCACCAGAGCAAAGAATCTGTAGTTTGTGCCATGATGGATCCAGTAGTTTGTGCTGGATCTCTTATTTTTACCTAGAAGCAGATGGGATCTGTGATTAGATGGTGGATTAGGAGAAAGGCCATGTAGAAATCATGCAAATGCGAGTGGCCCCATTTATACAGCAGCCATTTTTTTGATGGACATCCACAATCCTTCATCAGACCAGTGTGCGCACAGACCCCAAAAGGTCCTGTCACAGAAAAGCACTGTCTGAAAGTGAAAACCTGGGGTAACAAAATGGTGCTTTGCTTGGTTATGAAACGCTGCTGTACTATTTTGATCCTCTTCGTAGGCTAGGGCATTGTAGCTATTCCATCAGTGGTGCTGAAAAGACAACATGACTTCAGCTCTTTCAAATCTAAAGGTATATTATGAACATGGAGGAGCTGTTCTTCTTTTGGTTCTGAACGTGATTCTCAGCTCTTGCTAGTTGCTACCAATATAATCAGTGCTGCTGTTCAAACTTTAGTTTATATATTATGAGGTCACTGTGTTGATAACATGGGGTAATAAATTTGTGGAAAATTATATTATCACTAGATGTATCATGTGTAAGCAAGTCATTACCATGGATTCCTGTTCTCACATACTTTGCTTGCTTTTCTTTACATATTAATTTTGCTTGCCTTCCCTATAAACACGCTCTTGTCAGCATCAAGGAAACAGAGTTCGGCCAAATCTCATGTTTGCTCTTTGATATGAAAACGAAGTGCAAACTCATTACACATTACGACAAATAATAGTAATGCAAAGGGCCCCGTCCTACTGCACAGAGCCCTCCTCCAATTTCTTTGCAGCTGTTTTCACTCTGTGATGGCTTGGCTAGTTGGAGTAGTGCAGGGGTAGCCAAGCTGGTGCCCTCTGGATGTTGTTGTACTACGACTTTCATCAGCTTCAGCTATCATGGCTGGTGATCAGGGATGATGGGAGCTGTGGTCCAACAGCATCTGGAGAGTATCATATTGGCTACAGCTGGTACAGTGATACCTTGGATTAAGTACTTAATTCGTTCCGGAGGTCCGTTCTTAACCTGAAACTGTTCTTAACCTGAAGCACCACTTTAGCTAATGGGGCCTCCTGCTGCTGCCGCACCGCTGGAGCACGATTTCTGTTCTCAACCTGAAGCAAACTTCTTAACCTGAAGCACTATTTCTGGGTTAGCGGAGTAGGTAACCTGAAGCGTATGTAACCTGAAGCGTATGTAACCTGAGGTACCACTGTATAGGGTGTGGGATATTTTATGTTTGTTTAATTGCATTTATATCCCACCTTTCTTCCATCACAGAACCCAAGGTGGTGGACACTAGGCTCCCAAGTGCTCACCCATCCAGACACTGACATGACCTGGACCTGCTTAGCTTGTGCCTTCAAACCTCTCCACCTTGCCTCATTCATCCAATGCCTTGCAATGGACACCTTTAAAAGTATTTGGCATTAGAAATCCCAAATTAAGCCCAGGCTAACTTTATGCAACTATAAACATGATTTTAAATAAGATCAAAAGCTATGAGTATATATATTTTATTATCAATACAGGACAAACACATTCTTCTGAAGCAAAGAGATCTGTGTCCCTGGCATGCTTACCTACCCGTAATTCACAGGTCCATTTGAGGAATGATCAGGTGTTAAAAAATACAGCAGGGGAGAACTTCCTGAATGGTAGGTGCCTCACGGCAATTCTAATTCACATCAGTTTCTACATGGGCAGAAAAAGAGCTGCTGGTGTTTACTCTGTCAGCTAGAAGGATGGAGTTTGACCCTATGAATGCTTCTTCCATTTGACCAACAGTTGTGTTGAAAACATAAAGCCTACCCTTTGTGCTTCTACCAGGAGTGTGTGTGTTTTTCTACCAAGACAGTGGCATTTGTTCAAAACACTCTCTGTTTCACTAAATTACTGAAAAATCATATATCACACAAACAAAAAACACTTTCCCAGACATTACCTAGGCTCTGAATCACTCACCTCAAATCTTTTATGAATGGTTATTCACTGTGAGGACATCTAGTGACTCAGTTTGATATCCAGAGGTTTATCTCATTCAGTGGCAGTGCTAAGATTTATTTATTTTTCTAAACAAAAGACTGCAGTATTTCAGTCTTGCAAAGTTCAAAGCTGCTAGTCAAAAGATTTTGGCCAGGATATAAAGAGCCACACAACCTGTGGCCACACCCACACCAGCACATGGCTTTCTCCAAAGAATCCTGGGAACCATAGTAGCTCTGTGAGGGGTGAACTACAGTTCCCAGGGTTCTTTGCATAAGCCATGTGCTTTAAATGTATGGTGTGGATATGTGACCAAGGTGCTATATAGCTTTACCCATAAATACATCCCACTGTCTTCCACGTAGCATATTTGCAGGGATGCGGGTGGCGCTTTGGTTCAAACCACTGAGCCTCTTGGGCTTGCCATTCAGAAGGTCAGCAGTTCAAATTCACGCAATGGGATGAGCTCCCGTTGCTCTTTCTCGCCTTCTGCCAACCTAGCAGTTCAAAAGCATACCGGTGCAAGTAGATAAATAACTACCGCTACAGCAGGAAGGTAAACAGTGTTTCTGTTGCACCAGATGCAGTTTAATCATGCTGGCCACATGACCCGGAAACCTGTCTGTGGACAAACGCCAGCTCCCTCAGCCTGAAGCAAGCTGAGTGCCACACCCCATAGTCACCTTTGACTGGACTTAACCATCCAGGGGTCCTTTACCTTTACCATTTTTTACTTGCAGGTAAGTGCATCAGAATTGTAAATATTAGCTGCTTAAAATGCAACAAGGTTGTTATTACCCCCGGTGCATTTTAAGTCCCATTTTTACATTGCTGTACACACCAGAGGTGGAGATGGCTTCACCTGATGTGCCTTGCCTGAGTTTTTCCCCATGCCTGCAGCCCCTCCAGCTTCTATTCAATGAGACCATTATCTGTGCAATGTGCAAGGGATGTCTGAAATGTGCACACCTCAGCTTAAACTCCTGCCAATCTAGCAGTTGGAAAGCATGTCAAAGTGCAAGTAGATAAATAGGTACCGCTCCGACGGGAAGGTAAACGGCGTTTCCATGCACTGCTCTGGTTTGCCAGAAGCGGCTTAGTCATGCTGGCCACATGACCCGGAAGCTGTACGCCAGCTCCCTCGGCCAATAAAGCAAGATGAGCGCCGCAACCCCAGAGTCATCCGCGACTGGACCTAATGGTCAGGGGTCTCTTTACCTTTACAGCTTAAATGGATGGAAGCAGGTTTGACGGAAAACACATAAAACAGCAGTTATTTCTCAAGAAACTACCAGATTCAGAAAGATTGTGGTTAACATCATGTGTTCTCAGCTTCAGAAACCAGCAATGGAAAGCATGCTGGAGTTGGAGTAAAGA